TTCATGTTATTCAGGGGCTTGTGGTTATACTCCGGTATTTTTGATGGGTTAACACCTTGCTTAGGGGGAGAGGACAAGAGCTACAAAAGTTATCGGTTTTTGAATTCTCAGTCCAGTGGGCTGTCAGAGCTCAGGTGATGTCTGGTCATGGCATGGCACAGACAAGGGGGAAGGGGGGGAGAGTCTGAGTCGAGGATCTAACAGTGGTGTTGGGGTGGGATTAACAATGGGTATATCAGGGATCACTTGGTGGAGCGAGTTCGGGGGTCAAGCCCGTCTCCGTGCCGTGTAGGAAGTCCAGGGGTACCAGAGGAGGGCACATTTGTCCGAGCGCTCCCACAGGGACGCAGTCATCATTTCCATATTATGGATTTCCTCTACCTTATCCACCCACTGTGTGTAGGTGGGTACTGTCTGGCTTTTCCAGTGTAGTGGAATGAGGCTTTTTGCGGCGGAGAGCAGGTGTATCACGTAACAGCAGTGGCTTGATTGTCGCATGGTGTCAGTTCGGTCACAGCACTGGATCTTATTCAGGGACACAATTCATGGACCGCCGTGTCAGCCAATACCCTCGCTGGGCAGCAAAATTTCTGATGCTTGTTAATTTTGGAGGGTGAAGGTGAGCTGCGAAAAAGGAGCAGCCCCTCCCCAACCCCAGACTCTGGTGTTCTGCCGCCGCCAGCAGTGGCCGATCTTCCTGCATAGTGGCCGATGCTTCGGAAGTATCCTCCTTGCAACCCTCGGACCATATGGGCGTTTGGTGTGCTTTTTGCGTATGAGTGGGTTTGCTTTACCCGGGATAGGCTTGCACCGTCTCCGCACCCCCGTCCCATGTGGCTTCTCTCTGTGGGTAGGGGGAGGCCCAGCGAGAAGCTTCTCTAGCTGGTCCCAGAAGTGTTGAAAAATCAGATCGAGGCTTGCGGTCGGTGCCATATTGCTGGGCTCGGCATATCTGGAGCGTGTGCTGTAATGGGCAGGTGTAGTCGACAGTGCCGTGCATACCAAGTCGGTGGGGAGCGGGATAACCCCCGCCGGTCCATAAGGGGGGAAACGGTAGCTCAAGCTTTGCCTGCAGTGTGTTGAGACGCAAGTCGGGCCACAGCCTCTGCTCAGCGTAAATCGGCTAGATATGCGGTGAGAAGCAAGAGCAGCAGCAACATGTGTCTGCTCTGCTCTGCAGTCATGCCCACCCCCTGGAAACGTATTTTATAATTTATAAGAGTTATAACACTAAGCTGGTTCTTCCATTTACCTACTTTATGGAACATTGCCAGGTATATAGCTTATTTTTCTGATATTGGCACTAGAAAGTATCTTTATAGTTAGATTTTAGTAACTTCCCAACTAATACTGTATGTTGCCATTTTCAGCAGCATTCGATGTCTAATACTTATTTGGCATATAACTAGCAACTTAGTTATTGTTGCCAGCATGGAGCAACTAGTCTATATTGTGGTTATTTTTTTTATTTTTTTTTGACATTCTTTATTTATTGAGTTTTTCGAGTCAGGATGGGAGACAGAAAAAAGAAAAAAGGGTGGGGGAGGGGAGGGGGGTTGACAATTATCAAGTTACAATGCGTGACATATACCTTTATAGAGCGTCAGTTCTGTTAGTGGATCAGGGCTACGGTCGGTGTGTTTCCCAAGGTCTATGCATCTTTAACTTGCAGTGTGTCCGCCTAGGCGTTTCTCAGTCGGGGGCATAGGATGCAGCGCAGGTGTGCCACTTGTAATTTAGGCGGGTTCATGTTATTCAGGGGCTTGTGGTTATACTCCGGTATTTTTGATGGGTTAACACCTTGCTTAGGGGGAGAGGACAAGAGCTACAAAAGTTATCGGTTTTTGAATTCTCAGTCCAGTGGGCTGTCAGAGCTCAGGTGATGTCTGGTCATGGCATGGCACAGACAAGGGGGAAGGGGGGGAGAGTCTGAGTCGAGGATCTAACAGTGGTGTTGGGGTGGGATTAACAATGGGTATATCAGGGATCGCTTGGTGGAGCGAGTTCGGGGGTCAAGCCCGTCTCCGTGCCGTGTAGGAAGTCCAGGGGTACCAGAGGAGGGCACATTTGTCCGAGCGCTCCCACAGGGACGCAGTCATCATTTCCATATTATGGATTTCCTCTACCTTATCCACCCACTGTGTGTAGGTGGGTACTGTCTGGCTTTTCCAGTGTAGTGGAATGAGGCTTTTTGCGGCGGAGAGCAGGTGTATCGTAAAGGATTTTTTGTATTGTTGTGTAGGGGTGGCTGTGTGGTGGAGGAGCATTGGCAGTGGTTGTAGTGGGAGGTCTGAGTCCGTGATTTCCTTAATCTTTGTGTGTATCAGTTTCCAGTACGGGACTATGCGGGGGCATGACCACCAGATATGGAGGTTGGAGCCTGGGGCGGAGTTACATCTCCAGCAGTCTCCAGAAGCTGTGTCGTGCATATGTCTTAGAACCTCCGGGGTCCTATACCATTGCGTGAGTAATTTATAGCTCATCTCTTGGTATTTGGAGCTTATGGAGCATTTGTGAGTTAAAAGAAAGATTTTCTCCCATTCTTGGGAAGTCAAGTGCGTGCCCGTCTCCCGTTCCCATTTTTCCGTAAACCCGAGTGGGCAGTCATTGCCCAGTGATTGTAGGCTTGTGTAGAGGTAGGATACCGCGTGTTCTAAATGTTTTCCATCTGTGCATAGCCGTTCGAAGTCAGTCAGTTGTCTGTGAATGTGGTCTTTGCCCTGTAGGTTCGTGTAATAGGTTTTTACCTGGTGGAAGCGGAACCTATCAAGCGGGGTCGGTTGCTGGGTAGTGATGACGTCGGGCAGTGGTTTGAGGATCCTGTCAACGATCCATTGGTGTAAGTAGATCCAGTCCGTCTGGAGGAAGTTCCGAAAGGCCGCGGGGGGGAGGCCCCCCGCTAGGTTTGGGTTGTAGGCGATCGGGGTGAGCGGGTTAGGTGATGTGGTGAGTTGGTGGGAAAAGCGCAGTTTGCACCAGACTCCGAGGGTAGCGTCAATGAGTGGGTTTTGGGTTCGGAGCTCCGAGTAGGTGACCGAACCGAGCCAGATTCTGGCCGGGATTGCGCCCCGCGACTGCTGGGTCTCCATGAGCACCCATCTTTTGGTACTTGGGCGTGCGTGCCAGTCAACCAGCCTCTGCAGGTGTGTGGCCTGGTAGTATAGCTGCACGGAGGGGAGCCCGGCTCCCCCCGCAGCCTTTGGCCGCTCCAGCGTGGTCCTGCGTATGCGGGACACTGAACGGTTCCATACAAAGCTTCGAATTTCCCGTGTCAGGGTGTGGAAGAATGATTGTGGGATTGCGGCAGGCAGCGTCGCGAATAGGTACAGAAGTCTGGGGAGGACGTTCATCTTCAGCGCTTGTATGCGGCCGAACCAGGTGAGGTATTGCGGGGACCATCGGAGGAGGTCTTTTTGGATGCTCGCGAGGAGGGGGGGAAAATTCAATTGATAAAGCTGCGAGAGGTCGCGTGGCAACCAGGTGCCCAGGTACCTCAGCTTGACTGTTCACCATGAGAAGGCAAACTTAGCGCTCAGGCGTTTGGCCAACCCGGCGTCGTCTAGTAGAGGCATGGCTTCGGATTTGTCTAGATTCAATTTCAGGTTAGAGACTTGGCGGTAGTCGCGGAATGCCTGGAGGAGATTAGGGATAGAGATGAGGGGTTGTTCTAGGAAGAACAGCATGTCGTCCGCGTACGCTGCCACCTTGTGTACCTCCGCGTCCAGCGTCACCCCCGTAATGCTAGAGAGAGGGCAAACAGTAGGGGGGACAGGGGACAGCCCTGGCGTGTGCCATTGTTGATGGGGAAAGCTTGCGTGAGGGTTCCGTTAATGCGGATCCGCGCCGTCGGGGTCATATACAATGCTGACACCCAGTTGCATAATTGGGGACCGAATCTTAGGTGGCGGAGAGTGGATGTGAGATATGTCCAATCTACTCGGTCAAACGCCTTTTCGGCGTCCGTCGATAGTAATACAGTCTCGCGTTTCCTGGTTTTCGTCAGGTGGATGATGTTGAGTGCACGTATCGTGTCGTCTCTGGCTTCCCTACCCGGAATGAACCCGACTTGGTCAGGGTGGATGAGATACGGAAGGATCGGGGAGATCCTACGGGCCAGGGCCTTGGCAAAGAGCTTGAGGTCCGAGTTCAGGAGCGAAATCGGGCGGTAGCTCGAGCAATTAGTCGGGTCCTTACCGTCTTTGGGAATTATTGTGATTGTGGCGGCTAAGGTATCTGTCGGGAACCGTCCACCTTCGCGGATTGAGTTCAGTCCTGTCAGTAGCCTGGGCAGTAAGATGTCGCTAAAAGTGCGGAGGTAGGAGAGCGGCAGCCCGTCTGGGCCGGGTGCTCTGTGGGGTTTCATGCTTTTCAGGGCTCCCTTGAGTTCCTCGAGCGTTAGGGGTTGCTCCAGGTCCTCCGATTGTTCCTGGGAGAGCGTTTTGGTTATGTGTTGGGCTAGGTAGTCTGAGACCTTCCGTTGGTGTGTCTGTTGGGCTGTCCCGTGCGTGGTCAGTGTCTGGTTGTATAGGTCTTTGTAATAGGCCTGAAATGCGTCAAGTATGCCTTCCGGGTGTCTAGTGCTACATTGGTCCCGCGTGTTTATCTTATGGATATGTTGCGCCCTCCTTCGTGCCTGGAGCATTTTTGCCAGGAGTCGACCGCTTTTGTTGGAGTGTTCATAGAAGTACCTGGCCGATTTGGCCAGGGTGTGCAACAGCCCCTGAGAGAGGTGGTCCCTAAGTTCTCTCCGAGCTTCGGTCAGTTGAAGGTAAGTGTTGTCGTCTAGCGTTTGTTTGCGTGTGGCTTCCAAGGTGGATACCTTGGATGTGAGGGTAGTGATGCGCTTGAGTCTGTCTTTTTTGCGCTGAGTGCAGACGGCAATGTAGTGGCCTCTCAGGACACATTTATGTGCTTCCCAGATCATCAGGGGGTGTGTGTCTGGGTCGTCATTTGTGTCAAAATATTGTGTGATCGTCTGAAGTGCGGATGCGCAGGGTTACGTTGAGCTTCCACTGTCTGTCCCTAGGTTTATAGAGGGGTGAGCTTGTGCGAACTTTAACCGGAGCGTGGTCGGAGTGGGTCGTGAGTCCAATATGTGCGTCGTGTAGTAGGGAAAGGTATTCTTGGGGCATAAATATGTAATCAATGCGGCTGTAGCGGTGGTGGACGTGGGAAAAGTGCGTAAAGTCCCTGTCGTCTGGGTGTGCGGTTCTCCAACAGTCTACAAGGCCCAGTCCGTTCAGTGCCTTGGTGGCGGACCGTAAGCAGTGTGGTGATATTGTGCTAGTTCCATGGGATGTATCCAGGTGTGGGTCTAGTGGCATATTCAAGTCCCCCGCTACCATCAGGAGGCCCTCTCTAAATTTGTTCAGCTTGGTTAGGGTGCGGGAGAGAAAGGTGTGTTGGCCGCGTTTGGGGCAGTATATGCTAGCGAATGTGTATGTGTGGTCGGCAATCGTGCCTTTGACAAAGAGATATCTCCCTCCAGGGTCCGTGTGGGTCGCAGTATGTTTGAAGGGTACAGTGTGTGCAAACAGTATCGCTACACCTGCTCTCTTGGCATCCGGGTGGTTGGCGTAGTAAGCCAAACTAAAACGTTTATTTTCTAGTTTAGGTGCGTCTGGGCCCCGAAAGTGCGTCTCCTGCAGGAACGCTACGGACACTCTCTCCGCCCAGAGACGGCGGAGTAGGTGAGTGCGCTTCTCCGGCTGGTTAAGGCCCCCAGTGTTGTTGGACCAGTATGTGAGTAGGGCTGGGCTAAACCCCATTTTGGCCTTCGTGGTTTGGTCGGTCGGAGGGAGGGGATCTATAGGGGAGGGGGGGGTAGTTGCAGGGGGATGGGGGGGGGGTCAATGCAACGTTTGAACCTTAACCGGTTGGTGGCGTTCAGGAGACTGAAGTGTCAGGAAGTCACGTCGAACTCCGGTCCTATGTACAGGGGAGGTCAGTTGCGTGAGGCGCGTGGAGGGCCACCTACAGAGTCTGTTCCGCAAATATATAGGTTGTCAGCACCTGTGTCCCGGGGGCTCCCAACCCGCCATGTTAAGTGGCTGTCGTGACATCCGCGGGTCCTGGGGCACTTAGGGGGGGGTGGAAGGTGGGCCCGAGTCATTCGAGTGCGTATGAGCGCATATTTGCGTGTCAGGTCAGGTCAGTCTGTGGTGGGGGAGGGTAGGCGTGGGTCCTTAAGGGAGAACTCTGTTATGTGTTGGTGAGATACATCTGCAGTCTGAGGAAAGAGTCATACAGCATAAATTAACATTGCAACCTTTGCCAGGGGTAAAACCGTGGCCCAACATGTGTATCTTAAACTTATACAAGAGCAAAATAACTTGAACACAGTATACATGCAGGCTGTCTCAGTTATTGTAGCTTATGCGTGAGCTACCCATCTAGAAAACGGCAGTATCACGTGCCCGCATTTTTCTAGCTACTGTTTGCTAGTGACAGTTACTTGGTGTTCCCCTAGGGGCTCGAGTCGGCCTAGGAGGTGGCCCCAGGTACCTGATATGGGAGGTCGGCTGTAGAGCCTCGGGTGGCTATTCCTCTGGGCCGTCGGGGCCGCCTCTGCGCCGCGGTGGTGGTGCAGCGCGTCCTCCCAACAGGTTCTCCGCCACTGGGTAGGGCCCGGTCGGGCGAGCAGGCGGATTTTCAAGGATCCAGTTCTGTACGTGGACATGTGGCAGACCTGTTGATTGGAGGAATCGGGGGACGTCATTGGGCCAGCGTAGTGTGTGCCAGCGGTTGTCAATCTTGGCTTGCAGGCTGAACGGAAAGCCCCACTTATAGGGAATCCGTTTTTCTTGTAGCATGGTCGTTAGGGGTTTCAGTGCCCGTCTGGCATCGAGCGTGAGGGACGATAGGTCCTGAAAGAGCATTACCTGGGAGTCCATGTAAGCAATTGAGCGTTGGGCTCTGGCCGCTCTCATAATGGCGTCTTTCTGTTGGAACGATGTGAGGCAACAAATCATGTCTCTGGGTTGCCCATCACTCCTGGGACCGCGTAGTGCTCTGTGTGCTCGTTCCATGGGTATTTCAGGGGGGGCATCCTCACCGAGAAGTTGCACGAAGAGACCTGTCAGTAGTTCCCTTGGGGACTCGTCGTCGGACTCGGGGAGACCCCGCACTCGTATGTTGTTGCGGCGGCCTCTATTGTCCAGGTCCTCTACCTGTCTGCGCATCTCGAGGAGTATGTTCCCCTGCCGTGCGGTTGCCAAATCTGCAGCCTGCTGATGGTGTGTGGCGTGGAGGCGGTGTTCCTCCAATTCATCCACCCTCTGTTCCAGTGCCGTGAGGTCTCTGCGTACCGCGGCAATTTCTTCCCGGATGACAGTGCGCAATTCTGATACCAGCGCTGTTTTGTCCCCTCGGGTGAGCATGTTGGCGGATATTGCAGCCAGGTCGACTGACATTTGGGCCAGTGCATCAGTGCCAGGCATATCAGTCACAGAGCCTGTCACACTGCTGGTGCTCGGCGAGGAGGGCGCCATCTTGTCCGCGCCACGTGCGCCTCTGAGGTGCTGTGGGGTGGACAGGAATTCGTCCATGGGACCGGGTTGTCGGCTCATGGTGGGTGAGGGAGGATGCCTCGGGGTCCCCGCACGTTTAGGTTTCCCCATGAGGACCACGCTGTCTGCTTAGGGTCTGGGCTTAAGCGGGTCGGGGCCTGGGAGCGAGTGCGGCGTGCGACTTACTCCATCAGCGGTCGAACCACGCCCCCTATATTGTGGTTATTTATCACACTGCTTTTACTGGTGAATTCTGCGATTTGGGGTATGCTTTGTAAATTGTTATACCATTATAACCTGTGAAAAAGTTTGGGGAGATGTTTAAAGAAGTACCTTATAGGCACGTAACATGTCAGTGTGTTTGCTGTTGTGCTTCCACCCATGTGCACTGTAACATGTTGTTTAATTTTAATATTTTTGAAACAGCGAGATAACATAAAGCTAAAATTTGTAACTAAAAAAATAAATTACAAATGGCAAAATTGGATAAAGCTGAACAGTTTGAGGGGAAATGGGGAAGATGGATAACCAAAGACAGGAGGACTCTTTTCCGTAGGCCGTCATTTAGCCAGTGGCAGCCTGGAACTCTGCACTGGATTGGAAAATAGCCATAGCCCGGCTAAACTTCATTCAATGAATTCTTGGGCTGGGTACATCCAATCCAGGCAATTTTTTTACATCTTGCTTGTGGGTATTAAGCATATCCAGTGAAGCATAATTTATTGATCTATTATTGGGAAAACGTATGTTTTAAAGTTACTATTATAAGGTGTCCTGCTGGCTGGAAGTTAATAAAATCAGTCACAGTTAATTGTGTTATCCCCCAGACAAAGTGGTGCCAGGGAAGGCATCTATTGTCCTAGTTAATGACCCCCCTGTTGTGATTGTCCCTATAAATGTGTGCCTATGTCACAATAAAGTGTGTGTTTTACCCTTCACAAAGTGTCATTTGGTGTTTAAGGAAAAGGCTATATTTACTTATTTATTATTTATTTATTACTGGCATTTATAAAGCGCCAACATATTTCGCAAGTGCTGTACAACTGGGAAAAAGAAAGTACAATATAAACAGACCCAAACAAAAGGTAAAGAGGCCCCTGCCCCCTGGGTAGAGATTTAGCCCCTGAAGATCTTTTATACAAAGTACTTTGTTAGATGGCCCATGAGCTTACAATCTAAAGGTTAAAATGGGGATATGAGACAAGAGGTAGCAGAGGAATTTGGAGATCATGGCAGAGAGAATTAATAGTATAATTGCGGTAAATGGTAACAAGGGAATGCGGAGGTGATTGACTGTGATGTCAAACAATTGGCTTACGTAGTTCGAAAGAACCAAGGTGGGTGGAAGGATGGGTGGTGCTTAGTAGAAATGAAGCGGCTTTTTTCAATTGGTTTGTGGAATTTGGCCTAGGCAATAGACATGCACAGTTATTTGAAAGGATTTACAGCAAGGAGGGGCAAGCAAGAGGGCCAGGGGGTAGAGTCTTTTCTTTGAAATATTTGCCAACCAAATTCTATCAGCAAAAATATTGATAACTGCATGTAACTGCAAGTACTAAATATATTGCAGTAGTAATCTATAGGTAAAATGGTAGCATTGTTATAGTAAATAAATGTGGTAACAAAGGTGAAATAAATCCGGTGGAGTATCTTCCCATATTTTTTTAGTGTGTACCTTAAAGTTGCAGGGAGAGGTAGAAATGAAGTGGCTTTGTTTCAGTTGGTTTGAGGAATTGGGCTACTTCAGCACTGTCTACTCCAGCGAGAGGGAACATTTGACAAAGGTATTCAGCCGGAGTATTGGAGCTCTGTCACAAATACATTTAAAAGAAGAACTACATTTTTTTAAAGGCAAAAAGCTTCTTCTTGCACATTGCACATGTAACACTATATAATCAATATAATCTAAAATCTTGTGGTCTCGCTGGATCTTCTATAGACCGCAGTGTATTGTTGTACTCACTTCCATGTGCAAGAGTACAGCAGAGATGTGAGTTCCTGGCAGATGAAGCACTTGGAGCTGAAGATGGAACATTTGACTGCACTAAACACTTGACAATTTAGCTTGTTGCTATTGACTGCAATGTCAGCATTTAAACATTGTGTAAGAAATCATTATAGCAAAAAATTATAATCATAGCAATCATAAAATTAATAAATGAATGAATAAAGATCATTAGATCTCAAAGGCAAGATTATTAGTCTTCTATGACGGTCTATGTCTATGTGTACAAGAACCTGCAGTCTGCTTCACGCCATATAAGATTGACTGATAATTTTGGCATCCCAGATGTTTGTGGACAATGAACTTGAGGGAAAGGATTGTCAGGCCTAAAGTGCATCAAAAGTCACTTAACTAGTAGCAGAGAAGAGCGGAGCGACTGCAGGGGCATGATCTGTACACTCAAACTGCTACATTAAGCTAAAGTTGTTTTGATGCCTATAGTGCCATACCATTACCACTGAATTTTGTTGTAGTAATTATACTGCCAGAGGTGCATGCCATAGTACAGCCAACTAATGGATATGTTACTTGGATTGTCCTTTTAAAGGAACACGCCAAGAATCATAAACACTCGCTGTAGTGGTTATGGTGTCATAACTGCCCTGGTGCCCCCAGCCACTGTAAACAGCCAAACCTTTTTTGTCTTACCTGGATTCCATTGGGTGCTGCTTCCCACCAACTTTACAAATGCTGGATAGCTCCAAAGCAGGATCTGGCATTAGCTCACCTGAGCTAAGCCCTGCAAGGTTTAGCTTTCTTGCTGAGAGCAATCAGCTCCTGCTCTAAGCTAATGAGCTAGCCATGCACTGTAGAGCTTAGCTTAGAAGAGCTCATAAGCCAATCGGCTAGTTCTGCAATGCAGAACATAGTTTAGGAAAGCTAAATTTCCTGTTTAGGAGCTGCCAGCTTTCTACTGTTAGTGGTTGAGGCAGGGAGTGGACCCCAGGTAATAAGTCAAGCAATTAATAAACAGTTTGTCTATTTACAATGGGGAGGGGGAGCAGCGGGGAACTCCTGGCATCATAACCAGGTGAGCATTCCTTTAAAGTGGTATTCTAACAACCATAACCACTAGAACTTGCTGTACTGCCTAGCTGCCTAAAGACCCATTGCATTATCCCGCAATTTAACTGTTTGGTAAGCAACAAGTTTTCCTGGGACAGTGAGATTGGAGTGGTCCCTTGCCTTGAAGCGGGGAAGTCATTCACTTTTTGTTAAAGTTATCTTAAACAGTTTGATATTAAACTGAGTGATGGAATCAGGATACTCTAGGTAGCATAACAATGACAACAAACTTTAGTGATGAATTTTCCTAAAGTGCCCCTTTAACCCCTTAAGGACCAAAGTTCTGGAATAAAAGGGAATCATGACATGTCACACATGTCATGTGTCCTTAAGGGGTTAAAACCACACATTATCAAATTGTATTAAAGAGGCCCCTATTATGCTTTTCTTTATTTATTTTCCCTCAGCAGCAAATAAAAATATGAGAAAATCATGAATAAAAAAAATGTAACATAGCTTAGGAACACTGCAACCAGGATCCATTGCAGTCCATAAACGTGTAGTACTCCTTGACTCCTCCTCTTTTTTTGCTGTTCCTTCAGACCAGCTACGTATTCAATTTTATAACTGCCATTTGAGTATATGTTTTAACCCCTTAAGGACACATGACATGTGTAACATGTCATGATTCCCTTTTATTCCAGAAGTTTGGTCCTTATGGGGTTAATGGCATTTATGTATTATTTGCAAAATATTTTTATTTCTTATTTGGTTATCTGTATTATTTATGTGCTCTGAGAGTGCTGCCTCTACCTCTTTTTCCTTTTTGTATTTCAGGGACTTGTTTTCCCTGCCATTTCTGTCTCCCTGTGTGGATGTGTTTTTCTCCTCACCCCAGGTGAGGGGGCCTTGGACCGCGACTTTCTGCGGTCCCTGTTGTTGTAGGACGGGCCATGCGAAGGGGCCGGAAGAGGTAGGAGCTGTCTGTCCGGCCGTGGATTTCAGGGCACGTTCCGAGCCGGCAGAGGCTCCTTTAATACGCAAAGACCTATACAGGAGCGTAATTTTATCCCATTCTTTCCTTCTCAAGGACATCCCTGGAGCTCCTGTGAATCGCGGAGGTCAGTCTCTGGCAGACGACCTTATGGTGAGTACCGCTTATTCCCATTTTTCCCATGTAAAAGTGGGTGGCAGACTGGCACTGTTTTACCAGGCATGGAATGTGATAACCTCAGATGTGAGGATTGTGCAAACAACACAAGAGTATCAGTTGGAGTTAGTCTCTCATTCCGTACAGGTGCTCCCTCCTTGAGAGATAATCATGCCCGCCAACCATCAAAACTTAATTTTGCAAGAAATTGCAGAGCTGGTGTCAAAAAACGCAATTTAGCAAATCCCTGGGGACTCAGCGGGTTTTGTGAGCAAACTGTTTCTAGTCCCCAAGAAAAGAGGCTGAGTACGACCAGTCATCAATCTCTGTCCTCTAAATGCATTCATCCAATACCACCATTTCATGATGGAAGGTATTCATTGCCTTTGGGACATCCTGTTACCATCGGATTGGATGGTCAAGCTGGATTTATGAGATGCGTACCTGTCAATCTCTGCCGCAGAGGTTCATCAGAATTTCCTTCAGTTTCAATGGCAAGGAACGAAGTGGAGGTTTGTATGTTTCCCATTTGGCCTCTCTTCTGCTCCCTGGTGCTTCACAAAAGTTCTGAAGCCGGTTATTGCCTTTCTATGCATGCGAGGCGTATGCTTAATTATATACTTAGACGACATCCTTCTCTTGTCACAGTCACAATTCTTAGCTTCGGGTTCACCTGTCTTGGACAACGCATTTTCCCCAAAACATTTTGGTGAATTAGGAGTAGTCGGTCCTTCTACCTTCCTAATGCATAGAATTTTTGGAATTCCGAGTAGATTCGGTTCAGCAGATGTTGTGTCTATTGAAAGACAAAATCACTTAGATGAAAAAAGAGATCTGACATCTGATGAATCGGAGAGAAATTTCGCTCAGACAAGTAGCGAGAATTATCGGACTACTGTACTGGCATTGTCCATACAAGTTTTTTTTCCATACCCTCTACATTATTGAGCTCTACAAAGACTCAAAGCTTTATATCTACGTTCCGGTCACTCGTACAAAACCTGTGTTTCACTAGACATGGAGTCCAAAGAAGAAATTACTTGGTAGCTCGCTCACATGGAAGCGTGAAACGGACGGGCGACTTTTGGATCTACTCCGGATCTTGTCATAGACTTTTATGTCAGCTTACACGGAAGGGGCGCGCAATGCAGGACTGTTTCTACCAGTGGCACATGGTCCGTCAAAGAGGTTTTTCTGCACATCAATTGTATGGAGCTACTAGCGGCATCCTTCGCCATATGCTGCATGTCTCTCACCGGCATTTCCTGCTCAATCCTCCTCAAGCTGGACAACGTCTCAGCCGTACATTTCATCAACCACCTGGGGGGAACGAAGTTGAAGATTTTAGCAGTTATGGCTCCAGAGTTTTGGCATTTTTGCCTACATCACAACATTTTGGTGATAGCAGAACATATTCCGGGCCAGGAAAATGCTACAGCGGACTGGAACTCTTGACACCTATGAGACGCAGAGGATTTTCACCTTCACCCATCACTGCGCTGTTGAGGATGTTCCAGAAACAACACTCCATCTCCTGGTAGATGCTTGGGTAACAGGAACTAGACGCTCCTACAAATCGGCTTAGAGAAAGTGGGCTGATTGGTGCGTGAGACGATTGTTGGATCCCGTATCACCTCCTCTGAAAGCAGTCTTGCAGTATCTTACTCTGCTCTTTGAGGAGGGCAAGGCTTTTCGTACCATAAATCTCTACAGATCAGCGATCTCATCTGGTCATATGGGCTTGGATGGAGTCCTTATCGGTAGAAATTCCTTCATATATGTCGACTCCTCAAAGGCATTCGTTTTTCTCAACCTTGATATTTCTCTTTTTGGGATGTTAATGTGATTTTCAATTTTTTGGAAGCTTGGCCTTCCAATCAAGATTTCCCAATTTCTAGGGAAAACTGAGTGGAAGCCCAGAAAGGGTCTAGATTTTTCTCTAACTAACTGTCAAGACAAGGTCTTGGACATTTTGGGCCCTGCAGCAAAAGTCTTTGATGCGTTCGAACACGACCGGGATCTGGATTGGGATACTATCCGTAGTTGGATCCAAAGAATAATTTGCCTAGTGGGCAACGTAAACACAGCGCTTGCTACTGAGCGCCGCAAGTCCATCTTGCTAAAAATTGAGTCAAAGCTAGGTAATCTAGCTATTAATGAGTCAGATGCCCAGGCTAAAGGGCTATTATTTGGTGACTCCTTTGTGAAAGAATTGGGGGCTTTTGTGCATACCTTCACAGCTTTGGAATATGCGCAACATTTTTCACCAAAATGTTTTTGCCGGTGCCGGAAGAGGAAGGAGCCGTCTGTCTGGCCGCATACAGAGAGGTTCTTTTAGACAGAACCGAGGTTCCTATTCAGGATGAGCTGGCTTTCAGGAGCAAAGAACAGCACCAGTATTCTTCCCACAAAGAGGCAGACCCTGGGTCGCAAGGGGCATTTGAGGAGCTCCTTCTTGCGGATGACATTATGGTAAGTGTCTACTTTCTCCTTTTTTCCCTTTGGGTTGTGGGGGGCAGACTCATACATTTTTCTCATGTGTGGTCGCATCTGACGTCAGATGCTTGGGTCCTTCAAGCTGTAACAGGTTATTGCATAGATTTTGTGTCACACAAGATCAAAATCTCCCCTCCCAGAGAGATTGTTTTTTCCCATCAAGATACTCTCCTTGTAGCCAAGGAAATTCAAGAACTGATGCGCAAATAAGCCATCATAGAGATTTCAACCCATACCCTGGGTTATGTAATCAATCTCTTCCTGGTACCCAAAAAGCAGAACAACATCAATTTTCTCCAGTTCACGTGTCAAGGACGGAAATGGAGGTTCACATGCCTCTTTCGGCCTGTCATCAGCCCCGTGGTGTTTCACCAAGATCATGAAACCCGTGGTTGCTCTGTTAAGAAGTTGAAGCGTTTGGCTAATTATCTATCTGGACGATATACTCCTTCTAGCCCAGTCATCCAACCTTCTCCACACACATCTGACGTGGACCTTGGCGTTGTTACAAAACCTGGGTTTCCTTATCAATTCGGAAAAATCCATTATGACACCTGCTCAACATATTGTGTTCCTGGGATTAGTAATCGATTCAACCTCTCAGACGTTACATTCACCAGCATCAAAATTGCTAAATATAAAAAAAAAAAGAGATCAGATGCACATTGACTGTTCCCCAGCTCTCCCTCAAACACTTGGCACGATTCATCGGACTTCTAGCAGCTTCAATCGAAACCATATTCCCAGGTTCAGATCCATTACCGAGCACTTCAACGGTTACAGGCCTCTTACCTCAGAGGCGGAGCATCCTACGAAGACATGGTGACATTAGACAAAGAGGCGAAAGATGAGCTTCAGTGGTGGCTTCTCCACATGGAAGCATGGAATGGATGCACTATCTTCGGAACAACCCCAGACCTGATTATAGAATCGGATGTGAGCTTACACGGTTGGGGTGAGCTTTGTGGAGATAGCTCCACAGGAGGCACATGGTCAGACCTAGATTCGACGCTACATATCAATTGCCTAGAACTTCTGTCCGGATCCTTTGCTGTATGCAGTCTATCTCCTAATCATTCTTAATGCACAATTCTACTGAAGATAGACAATGTTTCTGCAGTCAGATACATCAACCATCTAGAAGCCACGAAATCCAAAGTTCTGGCGAACATGGAACGCGATTTCTGGCATTTTTGCCTTATGTACAACATCTCGGTGACAGCGGAATATATTCATGGCCTCTCCAACACCACATCTCAAGGACTTCAGCAATTGGCGTCTGGACCCCCTGATAGTCAAGAAAATTATAGTCACTTGGGCACCTTTGGGAATAGATCTTTTTGCCTCTCATTTAAATGCTCAACTCCCTAGTTTTTTCAGCTCTGATGATGAATGCCTTTTCTCAAGATTGGGCCACGGAGACAAACTATGCATTCCCCCCGTTTGCACTTATTCCTCGTTGCCTTCTGCAACTGCGCCACCAACATGGAATGTTGGTATTTGTGACGCCCCCCCCTCTATGGCCGTCACACCCATAGTTCTCTCATCTATTGGAAATGGTGATAGACTTTCCCCGCCTTCTTATGTCATACGATTCTCTCCTCTAGGTTCCACACGGACAGTTTCACCCGTTAATCCTCCAGGGTCTCCTTCAACTTATGGCTTGGCTGATTTCAGGGGACCTTGGTCAATCGAGGACGTTTCGCAATTAACTCTCATGGGCACCCGGCACGAGACAAGCTTATAAATCTGCTTGGAATGCATGGAATGATTGGTGCTTGGAAAGAGATCTGGATTCCTTATCGGCTCCTTTAACATCCATCTTGCGTTTCTTGATTTCTTTTTTTGAAGCAGGGAAAGCACATCGCACTGTTAATCTTTACCGTTCTGCACTTTCCGCTGGACATCAGGGCATCGATGGTGTACCCATCGGACGACATCCCTTTGTCTGTCAACTCCTACGTGGAGTGCCTTTTTCTCGCCCTCTGTTACCTCGTTATTCTTCAGTTTGGGATGTTTCTCTTGTCCTCAGTTTTGTAGAGTCATGGCTGGAGAATGTTTTCTTATCCCTCAAACAACTTTCTGCAAAATTAGTCATGCTTTTCTGTCTCATCTCATGCAAAAGAGTCTCTGATGTACAAGCTATTGACACAGACACTCGTTCCTTTACACCGGAAGGTCTCCTCTTTGACATTTCTAGAAGGACCAAGACCTCTTCAACGTCTGTACTGTACCTGGCATTTCAGGTGAAGCCTCTCCTTTGCCCAGTGGCATGTCTACGAGAATACAAACTCCATACTGCTTCGCTCCAGAATCCTATGAGACCTTAATTATTCATCTCTTTCCACAAACCACACCTTACAGTATCCTCTACTTCTCAGGCCAGATGGGTCAAATGGATTATGACATTAGCCAGCATTGATACTTCCTATTCTCTCTACACTTTTTGTACGAGGTGCTATGGCCTCTAACGCTTCTGCGGTAGGATGCCGACTAGACGATATTTTACAAGCTGCCAACTGGTCATTGGAATCTATGTTTTGAGACTTTTATTTTAAGCCGATTCAACATTTTGCTGGAACAGTTATTTCACAGCTTTAAATTAGCATAATAGGAGCCTCTATGTCTTAATAAAATTACCAGATTTTACTATTTACTTGGCGTAAAGTCATGATTTTATTAACGACACGGAGGCGAGTATAATCCCTGCCACCCTTCCCTGGATGGTGGTGTAATCTGGGTAAGTTACGTACGGTACGTTTCTTTGATTAGTCTTGTTCCCTATTAAGGTGATTTGGGTTTTGAATTTTCTAATGTCTGTCTCCATCTCCAACAATATGTTGACTGAATAAAAATGTAAATCAGATATTGACTATTAGTTTACACGATGTTATTTTATGCATGAATCCAGTTTTATACTTGGATATTACCATATTCTACTCTCTCTTACAGCTTGACCTGGAAACCCACTTGTTATTGGAATTATCCCCTTATTGGAGTTCCTTTTCTGTTGAATGGTTGTCCTTGTTCAGGATCGCAAGGAAAAGGAAGTAGTTTAGTGAATGCCGCCTATTATGCTGGAGAGTGGAATCTGATTTGCTGTTTAGTTGCTATGTTAGATATATGTTACTGACTGTTTCCTTTATTGATTTCAATGTTAAATTTTTCTTTGCTACTGGGGGAAATAAAGAAAGAGTGCAGCATAATACTCGCCTCTGTGTCGTTAATATAATCATGACTTTATGTCATGTAAATAGTAAAATCTGGTAATTATAATATATCCTAAACTAGAGCAAGGGACAAGTGCCCCCTTGTGGCAGCAGTGTTACAGATTTAATTTCCAAAAGGTAAACGAAATAGTAAACTTTTTTTGTTTTAAATTCTTTATTTTGGTTGTGCTTCATTTGTAGTACATAGTGATCGACATGCCTGTGGTGTCAACAATTCTTCACAAAAAGATAATAGGAGCATGACAATGGTATATAGCACTGTTTTGTATTTTTTTTTAACAGCTAGTCATTGCCAAAGCATTATACTAAGTCTGTCAGCTAGCGTATTGTGTGTGTATATGCGCTGAAGGGTCTCCCTTTGGCCGTTGAAGACCTGGACTGTCACACTCGATACTAAGTGGTAAAAGTGTCATCTGGTTTGTTCGCCGCTATGGCGGTCGGCTGTGTTGTAGTATTGGTTGTTGCGTTGCTAGCCGCATTTTTACACATATGGGGTGGCACCTGTCTGTCAGCTGGTTGTGGGGGGAAGGTCATTGTGGCTGTCAGATTTTACGTCAGTTTGCGGAGCCAGAGACTTAGAAATCAAGTTAAGTAAATGGAACATCATTAAGTAAAAGAAATGGAACAAAGATATAACAAAAATATAAACCGCTGGGGGTAGCCCAAGTATTTAAGTCCTTGCGTTAGAGGAGAAAAGGTGAGTGCAGTTTGAGTTGGCCTGCAGTCCTTTCCTACAGCAGTGATGTAACTCTTCAGGTCAGTGCGTTGCAAGGTGGTGCCGCCATTGCTCTTGGTACAAATGGTGTTATCCAGTCAAACGACCACCTCGGTTGGGGTGTTGTCGATAAGGTTCCATTTGGCAGTCCCAGCTTGCTGAGTATGGCAGAAGCCTCCGAGAGGTGAGTGAGGGAGTGGGTCTTGCCGTCCTTCTCCACCCGGAGCCTGTGCATACCCCATTTGTAGGGAACCTTGTGGTCTCGGAGTAATTGGGTGATTGGGCGAAGTGTCTGTCTCCACAGGATGGTGTGGCGGGACAAGTCCTTATAGAAGGTGAGGTGGTGTGGTGGAATCTCGGTAAAAATAAATTTAGTAGGCCGAGATTACCACGTGGCATGTGTACGTGCATATGCTGACGTATCGATCAGTTGGTTGCACGAGGCAAGATACGATCAGTAGTGTACGGAGCATGTGCAAGAATACAGGATGTAGTATTCCCCTCCTCCATTGTGCTGGACAAGCCATGTGGTCAAGCAGGAAGTTAATTCTTATTTGTAATGATTGGTCAAGAGAATGTGCGGGTGGAGCTTAATATGGGAGGAGTTATGTGCCTATATAGGGAGCCTGCACTATTGTTCAGGGCTCAGAACTTGCTGTATTTTTGGTGACATTAGTCCCTCTGAGTCCCGATCGGTGATCCAATAAAGAATCTCTTCCTTCCTGAAGAAACCTGTGTCCATCTCTCTGTGCTTTGCTTCCGTCAGTTTCTCCGGTATCATTTGGTGCATTGGCCGGGAAGCTCATCGTTCAACGGTAGCTGAGAGGCAGAGGCGTGAGACGGTCTATCTTTGCCCACGTTCTCTACGGCTGCACCCCTGAACTTCTGCGTGGACCTCCCTTCGTCTCGGCGCCACTGGTCTGTTGTCCAGGAGATCATCGGCCTCTACGTAAGAAGTGCTGGGGTGTCCCCGTCGATGAGTGTGAACTCAGGTTCAGGAACGAGGAGGTAAGACAACTGCTGTTTTAGACGGCAGACCCACTAGGGGTATACCGATTGTGCGGTAGGCCCAAAAGGGGTTTAAATCTGTGTATGGAATCTGCCCCCTCTGTCGGAGGGAAGGAGCGAAGGCGCACCGCTCGATCGAACGCTCTTTAGTAAGACCGTTTGATCTGGTTAGTCAGGCGGGGTCCTGTGTAAATAGCCCTAGCCGGACACCGGTGTCTTGTCTAGACTAGCGTTCTAGGGTGTATATTACGTTCGCTAGGTCGGAGGGACCGGGAGACTAAGCGGCGCCTGTGTAAATTCGGTTCGCTAGCTCTCAACCTATCTTGGCTAAGTGGGAAGGCGTGTAAATTTGGAACCCACTAGACTTTTGATAGAGTAAATAGACTAGAAGGGCAATTTTGTAAATTCCGCCCTCTAGTTCGCTATATGTGGTGCTTGGGCAGTGTGGCTAACCAAAACGGGTGTATATAGTTTTAGGTAGTCCATTCAAGGTACTGGCCAATAGTTTAGTTGGGATTGTACATGTGTTAAAGATTGTTAGTAAAGTGTATATCTTGTTAGATAGCGCGAGCTCAGCCGTCTAGCGAGAGTGTTAATAGTGTGTTGCTGTATCATAGTGCACGGTACCATAACCCTGTATATTTACTGACACTGTATATAAGTACTAATCATTGTCGTCTATTGCATGTTTAACACAGTAACCACTAATAATTGTATTGTGACCTTAAATTGTGCTTTGACCTATGCTAACCGTACTGTAACCGATACTAGTAAAAGACGATGTTACTGGGGTGTGTTATAGACGGGTAATTCATATATAGAGAATTATAGCGTGGGTGACTGTATAGTTTCGCCAAAGGGCATAATATTGATTATTTAGTGACTGGTGTAACAGCTGTGTGTGTACGGGAATTCCCTGAGTGATTATTGTGTTATTGTGTACGTTTCACTCGGTAACTGTACCACGTGGTGCTGTTGCCAGAGGAAACGGGTGTGACTGTTGAATAAGAACGCGTGCATAGTATTCGTTGTCAACGACGTTCCATTGATAAGTATGGGCGCGTCAGAGTCAACGATTTCGGATCCCTTAGGTTGTATGGTAAAGAATTTTAAAAAGGGATTCAAAACATGTGATTTTGGGGTTAAAATGTCTCCTGTACGTTTGGTCACTTTGTGCACTAGGGAGTGGCCTACTTTGGTTGCGGCATGGCCGCCGCGTGGCAGTTTGGATCCAACCCTGGTACAGCGTGTACACGTGGCTGTATCAGGTAGGCCTGAACTTTACGGACAGTTTCCATACATTGATTGTTGGGGCAGGCCGTAAACGACTCGCCAAAATGGATCCGGATATGCCACGAGGAGCAATGTCGCCTCATGGTGGCCAGGACTTGTTTGTCCACTAGGACTGGTGTTAGGCCCATTTTGGACACGCCCCCTGAGTCCGAGATCCCTTTGCCGCCCCCTTACTTTCCTTTAAGAGGAAGTGACGCGAATGCAGGAAGTTCTGCACCCCTTCCCCTATTGCCCCCATCCACTTCCGCTTCCTCCTCCAGTACAGAATCCACCCCCCCTCGTATTAAAACTCCCCTTCCGGAACCAGGACCAACCCCCATTAGATTTGAATATCCTGATTTGGCGCCACTTCAAACTTCCGGTCAAGCTTCTTCTAGCTCGGCTCGGAGTATACTATTCACTAACTTTTCCCAAAATCAAGTTCCCACATCCTCATGCCCTATTACCTCTCGACCGGAACCTTTAACTGACGCCCCTCCACGTAGCCCCATACTAACCCGACAACTGACCGGTACCCAACAATTAAAACATTATCAGATGCCTCTTCGTCTGAATCCTGGGTCAGCCTATATCGATGCCGCAGGTCAAATGGCACATGCTGACCCAGTCTTCGTATATGTCCCGTTCACGACTACCGATCTCTTGAATTGGAAGACCCACAATTCCTCGTACACTGAGAAACCACAAGCTATGACCGATCTGTTCACCTCGATAGTTCAGACACATAACCCGACATGGGCTGATTGCCAGCAGTTATTAATGACATTGTTCAATAATGAGGAAAGGACAAGGATTAACCAAGCGGCCATTAAGGCGCTAGAGGAGAGAGCCCGTGCTTTAAATCAAGCCAATCCGGCAGCATGGGCCGCAACACATTACCCTAACACCGATCCTGACTGGAATGTAAATGGCGCAGATATGGCTCAACTTAAAGCCTATAGAGATGCTATAATTGCTGGCATGAAAGCCGGAGGGAAGAAAGCTATTAACATGTCGAAGACAGTTGAGGTGATTCAGAAAAGTGATGAAGCGCCCAGTGTCTTTTATGACCGATTATTGGAGGCATACCGCTTGTATACCCCCTTTAATCCGGAAGACGCTGATAATTCCCGAATGGTAAACTCCGCCTTTGTCAGCCAAGCTTACGGAGATATTAAGCGCAAGCTACAGAAATTAGAAGGGTTTGCAGGTATGTCTATCACCCAACTAATGGAGGTAGCGAACAAAGTATATATGAATAGGGAAACAGAAAGTAAGAAAGAGGAAGAGCGCAAGATGCGTAGAAAGGCAGATATGCTAGCGGTAGCGATCGCAGGCGTAGATAGACGGGGCCCAGATAGAAGCGATGGTAGATGGAATAGGGAGCCTTTGAGTAGGAATCAGTGCGCGTACTGTAAGGAAGAAGGGCATTGGAGGAACGAGTGTCCGCAAAGAGAGCAGTATAAGAGAGACTTACCCAGGGCAGGTTACGGAAACTTTAGAGGCAGAGCGAGAGGTAGAGGAGGCCCCGGAGGGAGTAATGGGAACAGAGGAAGTGTAAGGGAAGATAGGTACTATCCAGCAGCGCAAAGGTCCCGCGATAGAGAAGGTAGGGACTTTGTGGGATTGGCTGACACGGTCATGGAGGACTATTGATACCGACCGGGCTCCATCCCCCTTGGTCGAGCGGAGCCTATGGTCGATGTATCAATAGGGGGAAAAAGGAGTGCGTTTATGATCGACACTGGTGCTGAACATTCGGTGGTGACTAATCAAGTTGCTCCTCCATCTGGAAGAACTATTACTGTAATAGGAGCAACTGGAAGAAGTGCTGAAAAAACGGTTCTTAAAAGTCGACTCTGTACATTGGGAGGCCACGTAGTAAAACATCAATTCCTTTATATGCCTGAGTGTCCAGTCCAATTGCTGGGACGTGATATGCTATCCAAATTACAAGCGCAGATTACGTTCCTACCAAATGGAACAACATCCTTAAAGTTTAATGGACCTTCAGGTATTATGACATTGTCCGTACCAAAGGAAGAAGAGTGGCGACTTTATACAGTGTTGACTAGCCAAAACCCGAGGAGTGATGAATCCTTATTTAACATACCAGGAGTTTGGGCAGAGAACAACCCACCAGGACTGGCCCGCAATATTCCACCTATTAAAATCGAACTAAAACTTGGGGTTTATCCAGTAAGCCTGAGACAATATCATATTCCGCAGAAGGCTAAGAAGAACATCCAATCTTATCTGGATAAGTTCATACGGTATGGTATCCTAAAATTCTGTACTTCCCCTGGAACACCCCATTGCTGCCTGTTCAAAAGCCCGGTACAGATGAGTATCGACCTGTGCAGGACTTGAGAGCAGTCAATGATGCGGTTGTTAGTATACATCCAGTCGTGCCCAATCCATATAACCTGCTTGCTTTAATTCCGGGCGGGGCTACTTACTTTACAGTCTTAGATCTCAAAGATGCCTTCTTTTGCCTCCGAATTGCCGCAGAAAGCCAATGTATCTTCGCTTTCCAATGGGAAAATGCTGTAACGGGCTCGAAACGCCAAATGACCTGGACAAGATTGCCCCAGGGGTTTAAAAATTCACCTACCCTATTTGGTTCAGCTCTAAGTCAAGATCTACTAGATTTCGAGTCTATCCCAGGAGAGTGTGTATTATTACAATATGTAGATGACTTGTTGATAGCAGCAGTTACAAAGGAAGTATGTCAGCAAGCAACGCACGATCTACTACACATTCTCTGGAAGGCAGGATACAAGGTGTCAAGAAGGAAGGCTCAGTTGTGTTTGCCAACTGTCAAATATCTGGGATTCCATATCTCTGAAGGTCAAAGAATTATGGGGCCAGAGAGAAAAGAAGCTGTGTGCCAAATACCGATACCCAGGAATAGAAGACAAGTGCGAGAATTCTTGGGGGCAGCAGGCTTCTGTAGGATATGGATTCCCAGCTACGCGATACTGGCAAAACCTCTGTATGCAGCTATCAAAGGTACAGAGCACGACCCCTTCTTATGGACTCAAGAACAGCAAACGGCATTCGAAGATGTGAAGAGGGCTTTGATGAGTGCCCCAGCATTAGGTCTACCTGACCACACACGGCCATTCTACCTGTATGTACATGAGCAAAGAAGAATGGCTGTGGGAGTATTGACACAGTACTTGGGATCATGGCAAAGACCTGTTGCCTACATGTCTAAGCAACTGGATGCAGTGGCCAGCGGACTTCCACCTTGTCTAAGAGCTGTAGCTGCAGCCGCCCTGCTAGTAGCTGAAGCCGATAAACTCACTCTGGGTCAAGAACTTTATGTACGAGTTCCACATGCAGTACAGACGTTGTTGGATTACAAAGGAAATCATTGGTTTAGTAACAGCCGTATGACCAAGTATCAAGCAATGTTGTGTGAAAACCCAAGAGTGCATTTAGAGACTGTAAATACCTTAAATCCAGCTACCCTTTTGCCACAACCTACTGAAAGTCAACATGATTGTTTGGAAGTAATGGATGAAGTATTTTCAAGTAGACCAGATCTTCGTGATTTTCCCATCCAGAACCCTGATGTTCAATATTACACCGCGGCAGTAGTTATGTAAAAGAAGGGATCCGCTATGCAGGATATGCAGTAACAACGATAGACAAGGTGATAGAAGCTCGGCCACTGGCAAAAGGAACATCAGCACAAAAGGCAGAATTGATAGCACTGACACGAGCGTTACAATTGGCTGAAGGTTTAAGAGTGAACATCTACACGGACTCCAAGTATGCGTTTTTAACCACTCATGCCCACGGAGCTTTGTATAAAGAAAGAGGACTATTGAATTCAGAAGGCAAAGAAATCAAATACGCAGCTGAGATCCTACAACTATTGGAAGCAGTGTGGGAGCCGAAAGAAGTCGGTATTATACATTGTCGGGCGCATCTGAGAGGAGATGGTGATGTAACCAAAGGGAATCGGATGGCAGATAGTGCAGCTAAGCGTGCTGCTGAATCAGGAAGACAGGAATATGTAGGGCATATAGCTGCTCTTATACCAACTCCACTGTCTCAATGGACTCCAATTTATACAGCTCAAGAAGAGGAGTGGTTAAGGACTGAACCTGGAAAGTATTTGGAGAACAAATGGTATCAGTTAGAAGATGGAAGAATAGTTATTCCAGCATCACTAGCGGTAGAAATTGTCCAAAACTATCATAACGGGACACATTCTGGGAGAGACAGTACAGAAGAATCTCTCAGAAAACATTTCTACATACCAAGATTGTCCAACTTGACTCAGGCCATTGTACGTAGATGTGTAGCGTGTGCTAAAAATAATGCAAGACAAGGACCAGTAAAGCCACCAGGAGTCCAGTTTATGGGGGGACTTCCCATGTCCGATTTACAAATTGACTATACAGTGATGCCTAAATCGGGTGGACATCGCTACCTGCTGGTAGTGGTGTGCACCTATTCAGGCTGGGTAGAAGCATGTCCTACTCGTACAGAGAAAGCAGGAGAAGTCGTGAGATTCCTGCTACGAGAAATAATACCCCGATATGGACTACCCTGCTCTATAGGATCGGACAATGGTCCAGCTTTTGTTCATCAGTGCCTACAACAATTGACTCATATGCTTGGTATAAAGTGGAGGCTTCATACGGCATATAGACCCCAGAGTTCTGGTAAGGTAGAGAGAATGAATAGAACTATTAAGAATCAGTTGGCTAAATGTGTCAGGAAACCCAACTTAAGTGGAACGTTCTCTTGCCCATAGCTCTATTGCGAATCCGTAGTACACCTACCAGAAGGATGGGCCTCTCTCCTTTGAAATCATGTACGGGCGACCACCTCCCGTGCTTGGTAACTTAAGGGGGGATTTGAGTCAGTTGGGAGAAGGAATTACCCGGCAGCAGGTTGTAGAGTTGGGTAAGACTATGGAGGAGGTACAGAAATGGGCACAAGATAGATTACCTGTGAATATTTATCCCCCAATTCATAGTTACCACCCAGGCGACCAAGTGTGGATTAAAGAGTGGAATAATGTGCCGTTAGGGCCCAAGTGGAAAGGTCCTTATGTTGTTCTTCTGTCTACCCCTACAGCGATAAAAGTAGCCGAAGTGGCTCCGTGGATACATCACTCCAGGGTTAAACCAGCAGCAGCCGATTCTTGGCAAGTTACAGCAGATCCAGAGAATCCCTGCAAGATCCGGTTAAAACGCACGACTCAGTCGGAGTGACGAGGAACCTTGTGGATTACAAATTTTATTGTTTCAGAGACTTGGTAAGTGAGTGAGAAGGCCATAATAAAGCCTGTCCACTCACCAACGAGTGTATAAGTCAGGGAAAGTCTTGAGGGACCCCTGTGAAGACGAGCAGAACTCCATTCCCTGCAGCCCTTACATCCTGGAAGCTGAGGTGCCTTCGCACGGACGAAGACTGAGGATGATGACGAAAGATGTATTTTTAATAATGTTTATTTATGTGTATTTTTATATTCAGGAAGGTAGAGGTACCGACACTCCTAGCTGTGAGGTATGCATTAAGACTACAAGAACAGGTAACCATATATCCCGGACCCTAATTTGGCATTCGCAATATGAGTGTAAAGGAGATGTATCAAGATGTAGATACTTAAATATAGAATATAGTGTGTGTCATTTAGGAGTAGGAGAACCTAAGTGCTTCAGTCCTGGGTATCAACCCCGTACAATTTGGTTGACTCTCAGAAATGGAGATCCTCAGGGGACCCTAATTAATAAGACGGTATTAGAATCCGTATATTCTTCAGGTGCTCTGCTATTTGATGCATGTAAAGCAATATCAAGTGGTAGAAAGCCGTGGAATGTATGTGGGGATCTTAGATGGGAGAGGACGTATGGGTCTAACGATAAATATATTTGTCCCAGTAGTAAAAAATAAATATGTAAGTCCAAGATGCCCAAATAGAGATTATAACTTCTGCCCATATTGGTCTTGTGTGGGGTGGGCGACTTGGGGACAGACAGCAGACAAGGACATGAGTGTGACTAAGTTGCCTACTAATCCATATTGTAAGTCTATGGAATGCAATCCAATCCATATACTTATAAATAACCCTGACAAGTTCTTAGATAAATATGGGAATTTATTTGGGTTTCAAATATATGGGACGGGTTTAGACCCTGGGACAATATTGTTTATAGGGATAGAGACTGATACGGTAACCTCCCAAACTCATCAAGTATACCATTCCTTTTATGAAGAGATGAGCATAGATAATAAGATCCCCCATAATGCTAAAACTTGTTCATTGATTTAGCCGAGAGTATTGCCGGTAGTCTTAATGTTACCAACTGCTATGTGTGTGGAGGTACTAACATGGGAGACCAATGGCCTTGGGAAGCAAAGGAGGTAATGTCCGGTTCTGAGGCAGTTGACCAATTATTATCTACACAAGCCGACTATCATATGAGTGTTAGAGGTAAATCTGAGTGGAGATTGAAGACCTCCATCATAGGTTATGTTTGCATAGCGAGGAAAGGAATGATGTATAATACTTCGGTAGGAGAATTAACTTGTCTAGGGCAAAAAGCTTATGATGATGATACAAAGAATACAACTTGGTGGTCGGCTTCAAATATCTCAGAACCATCTAACCCGTTTGCAAGATATGCCAATTTAAAGGACGTATGGTTTGATCTATCCATCACATCTAACTGGAGAGCCCCAGCCAATTTGTACTGGATCTGTGGTAAGAAGGCCTATTCGGAGTTACCACAGGACTGGGAAGGGGCATGTGTGTTGGGTATGTTGAAACCATCCTTCTTCTTGTTGCCTATTGAAACAGGTGAGACTTTAGGTGTTAAAGTGTATGATGTGAATCATAGGAAGAAAAGGGAACCCATAGAGATAGGTGCCTGGGAAGATAATGAATGGCCTCCCCAGCGTATTATAGATTATTATGGGCCAGCCACGTGGGCAGAGGATGGTACCTTTGGTTATAGAACCTCTATTTATATGCTCAACCGCATTATAAGGTTACAGGCGGTGGTTGAGATCATTACTAACGAGACATCACAAGCGCTCAATCTTCTAGCGAAGCATAATACCAGGATGAGGACAGCGGTTTACCAAAATAGATTAGCCTTGGATTATCTTTTGGCAGTAGAGGGAGGTGTATGTGGGAAGTTTAACCTGAGCAATTGCTGTCTTCAAATAGATGACGAAGGGCAAGCAATAGCTGAGCTTACTAGCCATATGGTTAAACTAGCACATGTTCCTACTCAGGTATGGAAAGGGTACAATCCAAGTAGTTGGTTTGGTAGCTGGTATGAGTGGTTTGGAGGGCTTAAGGCAGTGGTAGGTGGAGTCCTACTGATTTTAATGTTGTGTCTACTCCTGCCGTGTCTTATACCCTTAGTAGTTAGGTCTGTGCAAAGCCTGATAGAAAATATAGCAGAGAGGAAGGCTGCTCCACAGATAATGGCAATTTATAAATATAAGGCTCTAGATCAGGGAGAACCAATGCAGGAAGACGAGTGTTGAAGATTCACATCATAGGATAAGTCTGGTCTGGTTCAAAGGTAACTTGTGGTGTATGCAAACCAAGGTTAAGTGATGCCTCAAGTAATTGTAAAATATCAAGAGGCATCAAAGGGGGGAATGTGATGGGATTCCAGCATGGTTAAAATTTAGTAGGCCAAAATCTCCATGTGGCATATGTGTATGTTGTGTCAGTTGGTTAGCTACATGTATCTAGGATACTGTCATCAGTGTACTGAGCATGTGCAGGAATGCAGGAACTGAAATTGCACTTATTTCCTTTGTCTTGGATGGGCCATGTGGTTTGACTAGATGTACAAGTCTATATTCTGCTCATTGATTGGTTAAAGGTATATGTGGGTGTAGCTATTAATGGGAGGAGTTATGTGCCTATATAGGGAGCCTGCACTATTGTTCAGGGCTCAGAACTTGCTGTATTTTTGGTGACATTAGTCCCTCTGAGTCCCGATCGGTGATCCAATAAAGAATCTCTTCCTTCCTGAAGAAACCTGTGTCCATCTCTCTGTGCTTTGCTTCCGTCAGTTTCTCCGGTATCAGTGGTGGCCCTCAAAATCAACAGCAGGTGTCTTCCTGGTTGCTCCCATAATGATCCCCCTATCAGAGTCCCGGACACATTTTATCAGCACGTCTTTGGGTGCCTCTTGAGGAGCTATAGGCAGGCGAAAATAATAGTCTGTTGCTACCTGTTTCGAAATATTAAACTTTTAAATCTACACATTAATGGCATACATTCAGTGGGATTTCTTTAGCAAACAACGTGTACTTATCGACTTTTTTTTTTCTTTCTTACACATCTTTCTGCAAAAAAAGCCATTTATATATACATATATTTTTGCTTCTCAACGACTGCCATACAAACCGTACTAACTTCTCGCCACCAGGTGTCGCTCTACTTTTCATCTCGCAGTGCGCGTTCTCTAGGACCCTGTGGAACTCCGCATTGGGTTCACTGATCCGCTCGTGCGCTTGTGACGGAGAACAACGCTGGCCGGCGCGTTGACGTCACTGGGAACGCGCAAAGACGGTGGAGGAGGGGAGAACGGAGACCGGGGGTAAGAGCGTGAATACCCCCCCCACCCCCCATCCTCACTATATTAACACCCCCTCCCCCCCCTTCCTAATACAGGATAGAGGAGCCGTGTTATAGTGTTATTATAATATCCTCCATTGTCATCACTGTGTGTACAGCACGGCTTGCTATGGTGTCAGGAGGGACAGTGCTGCCATAGCATGGGAATGGGAACAGCAACCTCTGTGTATAATGGCTGGCTGGCTGGCTGTGTATAGAGATATAATATAATATAGTGTGTGTATATATATATATTAATATAGTGTGTGTGTGTGTATATATATATATTAATATAGTGTGTGTGTGTGTATATATATATATTAATATAGTGTGTGTGTGTGTGTGTGTGTATATATATATATATATTAATATAGTGTGTGTATATATATATATATAAATATAATATAGTGTGTGTGTGTGTGTGTGTATATATATATATATTAATATAGTGTGTGTGTGTGTGTGTGTGTATATATATATATATTAATATAGTGTGTGTGTGTGTGTGTGTGTGTGTGTATATATATATTAATATAGTGTGTGTGTGTGTGTGTATATATATATATAAAATGCATCTCACTGCCTTCCCCCCCCATTTATATACAGTTTTAATGATACACAGTGATTCTGTGTAGAGAGTTGTTTGTTGTTGTTGTTATTATTAAGATTGTGTCTAGCCCAAACCCCCCTGTTTCTGCAAATGAAACATGTCTTGAATTGACTTGTATATTCACCCATTCTTATGTTGGTACATAAAAAAAAAAATAAAAAAAATAAGAATAATGCACTGGTGGACAATATATACCAAGGTGTGTAACTCTGAGGTAGGTAATGGTGGTAGGGTTTTAGTTAATTGTAGCGAAAGCTGGATTGCAGAAAAGATTAAATAATTGCAAGTTATTTATTGAACAAGCGATAAAGTATGTCTCATGCATTATAATGTCACCCCGTTAAATAAAAACAAACATTGATTCATATTAAAGCTGGTATGGTATCCAGAGTATAACTGGAGTGTCAAAGGTTAACTGTCCCTGTAATATGTTATCCAGTAAGTATTCTTTTACTTGTGCTTTACAGTTTGTTTTTCCTTGGATGAAACGTGAGTACTCACTTAACACTCCAAGCACCATAACTGCTAAAAAGCCTTTGTAGTGGTTATGGTGCCATGACAGCTCTAACCTGTCAAACTATTCTAGCACTATCTAACAAGTATCTGGTTTGTGCTGCTTACAGTTTCAAGAGTTTATGATGAGCACTCTCGTCAGTTAATCTCTTCCTATCTAACAAAATTAAAATCTGACATCTCCGGGTCAAGCAGCCATCAGGTTCCGGTAAGTGCAAGACCACACTAAAACCGTTTGCATTGTGATGTGCCTCTTGGCACCATATCCACTACAGCTGGCTATAGGAGTTTGAGTCCTTGGGGTGTTCTTTTAAAAGGGTTCAACACCATGTTTTGAAATTTTTGTGTCTGCCAGTTTCATTGTGACTCTTAATATATTATGTAAACATTGAAATAGATTTTGCATACATGTTGCAACTGAGCAGCTGGTTGGTTAAAGATGTGGGTGGTGGGAATGTTTGCATGTTATCTGTTAAAGGACAACTGTAACCTCAAAGATGTTTTTAACCCCTTAAGGACCAAACTTCTGGAATAAAAGGGAATCATGACATGTCACACATATCACGTGTCCTTAAAGGGACACTCCACTGCCCAAATACAAAATAAACAGAAATCACTGTTTAGAAGATACTCCCCAACTGAAAACTTGTATTTAATTATGTATTTTTTTATTGGGATTATATTGAAAAATAGCTTGTAAAATTGCAGATCTATTGACTGCTGCCTCTGCAAGCCTTATACTGCTAACCCTGCCCAGACAGTGCCGGACTTACCCACCGGGATACCGGGACATTTCCCGGTGGGCAGTCGGCACCTGGGGCCGGGCAGGCAGCTGGCTCACCTGCGGCCGCAGAGGGAGCTCCCTTGGCGGCCGCCGTGGGAGCTGGCTGTTCTGTCTCTGCTCCCCCTCCCCAGCGCACTAGAAAGATACCCAGGGCCGGAATATGACGTCATATTCCGGCCCCGGTCTCAGTAAGCAGTGCGCTGGGGAGGGGGAGCAGAGACAGAACTGCCAGCTCTCCCTGCGGCCGCCAGAACAGCTAGCTCCCGCATGCGGCCGCCATCAGAGCTCCCCACAGCCCCAGGTAGACATTGTGTGTGTCAGTGTATGTGTGTGTCTGTGTCATGGTGTGTGTGTGTCTGTCTGTGTCATTGTGTGTGTCTGTGTGTCTATGTCTGTCATGGTGTGTGCGTCTGTGTCATGGTGTGTGTCTGTGTGTCTCTCTGTCTGTCATGGTGTGTGTCTGTGGGATGGTGTGTGTGTCTCTGACTGTCATGGTGTGTGCGTCTGTCTGTGTCACGGTCTGTCTGTGTCACGGTCTGTCTGTGTCACGGTCTGTCTGTGTTACGGTGTGTTTGTCATGGTGTGTGTCTGTTTGTGTCATGTAATGTGTGTCTGTGTCACGTAATGTGTGTGTGTGTCTGTGTCACGATCTCTCTGTGTCGTGTGTGTGTCTGTGTCATGGTCTGTGTTATGGTGTGTGTCAAGGTGTGTGTGTCTTTTTTAAGGTGTGTCTCTGTCATGGTGTGTGTGTCTGTCTGTGTCACGGTGTGTGTCTGTCATGGTATGTGTGTTTCTTTACTCACCTTTTTTTTTTTCCCCCAACGTCGTGCTGGTCTCCCCTCAACTGGCCCTGCCTCTACGTTTGAGATCATCAAGCTTGATGATCTCAGCCAATCCGCACTGACACAGGAAGCACCTCTAGTGACCGTCTGAGTGTCTGTCACTAGGAAGCAATGTAAACACTGCCTTTTCTCTAAAAAGTCAGTCTTTACATTGAAAAGCCTGCAGGGACAGGCTATAGACACCAGAGCCACTACATTAAAGCTGTGTGTGAGTGCGCGCCTGCTAGTGAGTGGGCTTGCTTGTGTGTGTGTGTGCCTGCTACTGAGTGAGCTTGTGTTTTTATTTTAATGACCTTATGTATATCAGAGAGATTGTTTGTCTATAAGGCTGTGTATCAATCAGCTTGTGTCAGTGAGATTGTCTGTGTCTGCATGTGAGTATGCTTACTGTATAATTAAAAACTTTACTCTGAAAGGACCAATATTTTATATTGGAAAAAGATATATATCTCTCAATCATCTAGGATGGCAAGACATAACCTTACATATTACATGTGACAATATATGGCGCAATGACTTATGGGGCTGGCATAGATTTTTTTTTTTTCCAGGGCTGCTTTTGTGCCCAGACTTTGTGACTGTTCAATCACAGACTTTCCAGTGTAGCTCAATGTGAAGTCTTTGCTAAGGCAGGTGCTCTGGGCAATTGCTGCCTCTCGAGTTAAGTGCAAATAAGCTAACCAAACCAAGAAGTAACATTACCTGTTGTCTGCTTGAAAAGTCAAGGTGGGTGTAACCAGTTGAATTGATAAGTGTCAATTTCTATTAAAAACTGCACATTTTACAAAATGATAAAAATATTACACACTCCACCTTTAGGGGTCTGGAGTGTCCCTTTAATATGATAAGGTTATCCTCAAGTATTTAAGGGAAATAGATTGTGTTTCCACTCCAGAACTGTTGGACTGAAACACTGTCTGAGAAAAGGTGCATTTATTTTTTTTTTTAATATACATATTTTTTAAATTCAATACTTGATGAAAGGATTAAATTACAATAGTTTTGAAGAAGCATTTGTCCTTTGACAATGTAATTCATTGATTTAATGTACCTTCATAACTGTGCATGACAAAATCTGTGTGGCTGTTAGTCTTTGAGTTTATTTAAAGCAATTGCTATCCTTCCTCTTTACAAGCAAGTTAGAGGGAGAGAGCAATCTAATCTCACATGGAAACTGTGCAGCCTGCCAATCCTGCTTCCTATTGGCACAAGTCCCCTGCTGGCCAACAAGCTCTAGGTCCAAACTCTGCTTTGAATATTTTAGCATAGACAGGGGGTTCATTCACTAAACAGTGGCTTGCTAACCAAATTGCAGCATTGAATCATTTTTAAGGAATAAGTCCCATAGTGCTTACATGCTACACAGTTAAAATGCAGCTCAATTTGAAGTCTTTACAAGGCAGGTGCAATTCCTTCCTCTTGAGTTTAAGTATTTTAACCCCTTAAGGACCAAACTTCTGGAATAAAAGGGAATCATGACATGTCACACATGTCATGTGCCCTTAAGGAGTTAAACAACCAGGAAGTAACAGGACTACTTATCTGACAGCCGGGGGATGTAACAAGGTTAATTTGTAATATTGCCAATATCAATTGCAATCTGCACTTTTTATTAAAGGGAAAAAACTGGCTGAAGTAGGTCTAGTGTTTTAAACAGCTGGCAAGCTAAAAACAGAACTGCTTGGTGTGCTCGCTACTCATGTCAAATGTGTTAGTAATTGCTTTAAGAACTAACAGAAAAACGCACTACCCATTTAACAGGTTTTACTAGCGATCCAAAATGAGTAATCGCACTTAAAGCAATTGGGAATTGGCTGAGTACCTTAGCCAATACATGACTGGGTATTCATTTCTATGAAGATTTTACTGGGCATGCAGACATGTACAAGTTTCTCACACATTCATGTTTGTTTATTCCTAGTGGAAATTAATATAAATAATGGGCACATTGCAGTACAGTTGCATCCAACCATTGTTAAACACATAAAAGTGAATTTAAGCAGGTGATGACTCACTTATTTTCCTCAGTCTTTTTTGTTAATCTAATGAAATGTGATGAGCCATTGCTTTAACCCCTTAAAGGGACTCTCCAGTGCCAGGAAAACCGTTTTCCTGGCACCGCAGGTCCCCTCTCCTTCCCGCCTCCCATCCCAAGTTGCTGAAGGGATTAAAACCCCTTCAGTGACTTACCTGTATCCAGCTCCGATGTCCCTAGGCACTGGGTCGGGTCTAGTAGACAGCCACTAGAAGAGGACTTAGTCCTGCAAGGTAAATATTGCAGTTTATGAAAACTACAATAATTACACTTGGGTTAAGGGTAGTGGGAGTTGGCACCCAGACCACTCCATTGGGCAGAAGTGGTCTGGGTGCCTGGAGTGTCCCTTTAAGGACCAAGCTTAATTTGTTTGTTTTACACTAAAAGGGACACTACACTTCCCAAATACAAAGTAAATAAAAATCACTCTTTGGCAGATATACTCCATGTGACGAAAGTACCCTCATCACGGGTTCTTGGAGGGGCCTGCTTGCTTGCCAGCCTCTTGCCTCAGGACTATGGGTCCTGCAATATACCTTGCCCAATGCACTTTAAAAGGCTCGGTTTATGTGAAGTATGTACTTTTGTACTCCAGATAGAGAGACCGACCGTTAGCCCTAATTCTCTGGAACCGTTTTGGGCACAATGCTTTCATATGGACGCTGGCGTCTTCTCACTGTGATTTTCAAGAGACAGCCACTGGAGGCTGGATTAACCCATTTATAAACATAGCAGTTTCTCTGAAACTGCTATGTTTATAAATAAAAAGGGTTAACCCTAGCTGGACCTGGCACCCATGTCACTTCATTAAGCTGAAGTGGTCTGGGTGCCTATAGTGGTCCTTTAAATCCTAACCATATTTTTTAAAATTTATTATTTTTGCTGTGCATAAAAATACATACATATGGCTAACAGGTCAAAATAAAAGGCATATAAGTGACAAGGCAATCAGAGAAACATGCCCCTTTTTTTTTTTTTTTTTATTATAGTGACAAGCTAATAAAACTGTCTGAATTAAACATATATAGACTTGGCTCATAATGTAAGCTTGTGAAGGTATAAATGTCTAAACATGAGAAAATTAGAGAAGCAATTGCGTGAAGTTAAAACTCAAGAAAGGACCACTGTGTCCTAGGACAGGGCTTGGCAAATTTGCTTGGAATCTAGGAGCCAGCTAGAAAAGTTAGGAGCCAGAGAAATCAACGCCAAAAAAAACAATTCTTAAAGGGACACTATAGTGACCAGAACCACTACTGCTTAAAGAACACTGCTCAAAAAAATTAAGGGAACATTAAACAACACAATGTAACTCCAAGTCAGTCACACTTCTGTGAAATCAAACTGTCCACTTAGGAAGCAACACTGAGTGACAATCAATTTCACATGCTGTTGTGCAAATGGGATAGACAACAGGTGGAAATTATAGGCAATTAGCAAGACACCCCCAATAAAAGAGTGGTCCTGCAGGTGGTGACCACAGACCACTTCTCAGTTCCTATGCTTCCTGGCTGATGTTTTGGTCACTTTTGAATGCTGGCAGTGCTTTCACTCTAGTGGTAGCATGAGACGGAGTCTACAACCCACACAAGTGACTCAGGTAGTGCAGCTCATTCAGGATGGCACATCAATGCGTGCTGTGGCAAGAAGGTTTGCTGTGTCTGTCAGCGTAGTGTCCAGAGCATGGAGGCGCTAACAGGAGATAGGCCAGTACATCAGGAGACGTGGAGGAGGCTGTAGGAGGGCAACAACCCAACAGCAGGACCGCTACCTCCGCCTTTGTGCAAGGAGGAGCACTGCCAGAGCCCTGCAAAATGACCTCCAGCAGGCCATAAATGTGCATGTGTCTGCACAAACGGTCGGAAACAGACTCCATGAGGGTGGTATGAGGGCCTGATGTCCACAGGTGGGGGTTGTACTTACAGCCCAACACCGTGCAGGACGTTTGGCATTCGCCAGAGAACACCAGGATTGGCAAATTCGCCACTGGCGCCCTGTGCTCTTCACAGATGAAGTAGATTCACACTGAGCACATGTGACAGACATGACAGAGTCTGGAGACGCCGTGGAGAACGTTCTGCTGCCTGCAACATCCTCCAGCATGACCGGTTTGGCAGTGGGTCAGTAATAGTGTGGGGTGGCATTTCTTTGGGGGGCCGCACAGCCCTCCATGTGCTCGCCAGAGGTAGCCTGACTGCCATTAGGTACCGAGATGAGATCCGCAGACCCCTTGTGAGACCATATGCTGGTGCGGTTGGCCCTGGGTTCCTCCTATTGCAAGACAATGCTAGACCTCATGTGGCTGGGGTGTGTCAGCAGTTCCTGCAAGACAAAGGCATTGATGCTATGGACTGGCCCGCCCATTCCCCAGACCTGAATCCATTTGAGCACATCTGGGACATCATGTCTCGCTCCATCCACCAACTTCACGTTGCACCACAGACTGTCTAGGAGTTGGCAGATGCTTTAGTCCAGGTCTGGGAGGAGAACCCTCAGGAGACCATCCGCCACCTCATCAGGAGCATGCACAGGCATTATAGGGAGGTCATACAGGCACGTGGAGGCCACACACTACTGAGCCTCATTTTGACTTGTTTTAAGGACATTACATCAAAGTTGGATCAGCCTGTAGTATGTTTTTCCACTTTAATTTTGAGTGTGACTCCAAATACAGACCTCCATGGGTTGATAATTTTGATTTTCCATTTTTTAATTTTTCTGTGATTTTTGTTGTCAGCACATTCAGCTATGTAAAGAACAAAGTATTTCAGAAGAATATTTAATTCATTCAGATCTAAGATGTGTTATTTTTGTGTTCCCTTGAAGTCTATATGCTGTCCCTGAACACTTTTTTTCAATGTAAACATGGACTTTTCAGACAAAAGGCAGTGTTTACATTGCTGCCTGGTGACATCTCTAGCGACAGTTACTCAGATGGCCTCTAGAGGTGCTTCCTTGGTCAGTGGTTCACAATGTGCAGCACCTATGTTAATTTTCCCCATAGGGATGCATTGATACAATGTATCTCTATGAGAAGTTAAATTTATGCAGTGGTATTTTGCCGTGCATGCGCAATAGTCTCCCAATGCTTTCCTATGGGGAAGATTTGGATTGGCTGAGATCGTCAAGATTGATGTTCTCTGCCATGGAGGTGGGGCCAGCCTCTGCGTCACCAGCGCGGCGTTGGAAAAAAGTGAGTAAAAACACCTTCCCATGTGATTTGGTGGGAACACACACGCTGGAGTGGATAGGCTTTCACTGGGGTCCAGTTGGGCTGCTGTTACCTCCCTGCTCTGCTCCATCTCGCACACTGTTTAGTAAGCTGGGGACCGGAGAAAATTTATATAGAAGCAGCAGAATGCGAGTGGTAGTAAAGCTGCTTGTAGTATAAAGTTCCAGGTCAGCCGAATCCAGGCCTGGCAGGTGCAGGAACTTCAAACCCCAAACAGCCACAGACTTGCTCTGTTTACCTTCGAAACGTGCAAAGCCCAAGTCCTTCCCATCAAGGGAATAGTATAGAAAGAATACGGTTTGTCGGGATCTTATATGCTTACTTCTTTTTCTGTGTAGTTGATGCGTTAGGGAGAAACCTTTTGTGGCCTGCAGCCCAGGTGTGTGCACGTGGTTGGAATTAGTTGCTTGTTACATAGTTACATAGCTGAAAAGAGACTTGCGTCCATCAAGTTCAGCCTTCCTCACAAATGTTGTTGCTGTTGATCCAAAAGAAGGCAAAAAACCTGGTCTGAAGCGCTTCCAATTTTGCCACAAACTAGGAAAAAATTCCTTCTTGACCCCAAAATAGCAGTCAGATGTCTCCTTGGATCAAGCAGTTATTACCCCACTAATTAGAAATATGTATGTTATGTTTTTGTAAGTATTTATCCAATTTCAGTTTAAACATCTGTATGGACTCTGACAAAACCATCTCTTCAGGCAGATAATTCCATATCCTTATTGTTCTTACTGTAAAAAAACCTTTTCTTTGCTTTAGATGAAATCTTCTTTCTTCCAGCCTAAATGTGTGACCTCGTGTCCTATGTATAGCCCTGTTTATGAATAGATTTCCAGATAAAGGTTTGTACTGGCCCCGAATATATTTGTATAAAGTTATCATATCCCCTCTCAGGCGCCGTTTTTCCAAACTAAACAGATTTCATTTTTTTAACCTTTCTTCATAACTAAAATGCTCCATTCCTTTTATCAATTTTGTAGCTCGTCTCTGGACCCTCTCCAGTGCCATGATATCCTTCTTTAGAACAGGCGCCCAAAATTGCACAGCATATTCAAGGTGTGGTCTTACCAGCGATTTATAAAGAGGCAGAATAATATTTTCATCCCGAGAATTTATGCCCCTATTTATACATGACAAAATCTTACTGGCCTTAGCAACTGCAGATTGACATTGTATATTGCCGCCTAATTTGTTGTCTATAACAATTCCCAAATCCTTCTCGTGTGTGGTTATCCCTAATTCGCTACCATTTAGTGTGTAAGTTGCTTGTGCATTCTTAACCCCGAAGTGCATAACTTTGCATTTCTCGATGTTAAATTTCATCTGCCATATTAGTGCCCAGTCCCCCAATCTATCCAAATCTCTCTGCAGGAAAGCAATATCCTGCTCACATTTTATTACTTTACAAAGTTTTGTGTCATCTGCAAACACTGATACATGGCTTTCAATGCCTATTTCAAGATCATTTATAAATATGTTAAATAGAAGTGGTCCCAAAACAGAACCCTGAGGGACACCACTTACCACTTTTGTCCAGCCTGAAAATTTACCATTAATTACAACTCGTTGTACTCTATCCTTAAGCCAGTGTTCTACCCAAGAACAAGAATATTCATCTAGACCAATTTCTTTTAGTTTGAAGACTAACATATTGTGAGGAACCGTATCAAATGCCTTGGCAAAATCCAAGTCGATCACATCCACTACAACACCCTGATCTATACTTCTACTTACTTCTTCGTAGAATGCAATTAGGTTAGTTTGACATGACCGATGTTTCATAAAACCATGCTGATTATTGCTAATAAAGTTCTTCCCAATGAATTCCTGAATATTATCCCTTAATAGCCCTTCAAATATTTTCCCAGTTACAGAAGTTAAGCTCACAGGTCTATAATTTCCAGGCAAGGATTTTGAACCCTTTTTAAATATAGGAACAACATCTGCCTTCCTCCAATCCTCCGGTACAACACCTGAAACAAAAGAATCTTGAAAAATTAAATACAGAGGTTCACTTATTTCCCCACTTAGCTCCTTAAGTACTCGTGGGTGAATACCGTCAGGCCCCGGAGCTTTATTTACATTAATTTTCTTTAATAGCTATAGCACCTTGTCTCGAGTTATCCAATCACAAGTTATTTGCAAGTTTTTTGCAGCAATCATTTGCATATCTCTTGCCATAGGATCCTCATTAATATATACTGAAGAAAAATAGTTATTTAAAATTTCTGCTTTTTCCTGGTCTTCATTAGCTAATAAACCCAACTCTGTTTCAAGTGTACCTACACTTTCATTTTTTGTTTTTTTAGAATTGATGTACTTGAAAAAAATTTTGGGGTTGGTTTTGCATTCTTTAGCTATCGATTTCTCATTTTCTAGTTTAGCCACTTTAATTGCCTTTTTGCAAGCGTTATTGGCTTCCATCATATATCTTAAATAGGATACCTTTGATTTGTCTGATTTAAATGCTTTAAATGCCTTTTTCTTAGTTTTAATCTCTTGTTTTACTTCTCTACTAAGCCACATTGGTTTTAATTTGTTTCTTTTATATGTATTACCCAATTGTACATACTGAGAAATGTACCTTTCTAATATTTGTTTGAATAGTTTCCATTTATTCTCAGTGTTTTTATCACTAAGGAGTTTATGCCAGTCGATATATTGTAGAGCTGCCCTAACCTTATTGAAATTGGCTTTTTTAAAATTATATGTTTTAGTATACCCCACTTGCTTTTGCTTTTTTGAGTTTATTTCAAAATGTACCATATTGTGTACGAGTAGTACCCAAGGGAGGCTCACCTTCACTCCGCTTTTCATCTTCCCGGGAACTCGGCTTACATGGTGCCACTCGCGCCTCTAGTGTAGGCTAGATTGCGTCCAATCTCAGCAAATATCTCTCCAGAGGGTCGTAATGGTCTTGTGGCTGCAACTCCAGTGTGTGATCTATAGAAATATTTTTTATTATAGAGGAACTGTCACTTTTGTCTTGCTGACTATTATGTTTTCATTCCGTTTACTGGTCTGTGTATTATTGAGGAGTATACAGGGGGAATATTTGTAAACCACACCTTTGTAGCACTTATAGATACTGGAATCGGCATCTTTCCAAAATCATGTGAAGACTTAATATATGCTTTCCCTGCTAATGAGATACATGAGATATACATCAAATGCCAGTCTGTGTGTTAGCAGTCATGCATAAGAAGTATAATAATAAAATAACTGAACAATATTTGGGGAGAATATAAATCTTACAAACCATGTTTAAATGTTAGCTAGATATAAGCTGTGGTATAAAAGCTCTGAAGGACCAATTCATCTTTAACAGAATTATGTAGTTCTAGGAATTATAGCCCTAAAATAGATGTAGGGCCAGGGTTAGCTATACTTGGTGTTGACCATATTTACCTAATCCTTGGGGCAGCAGATTTTAGTTTCCTAAACAGACTTGTTTGTACCCTCTCATGTGGACAGAAGTCATAGGAACATGATAACGTAGCAATAGCATAACCCTCGTGCTCGGTGTTCTCTTAACTGAATTATGTCATGTACCCTTTGGGCACATTTTCCCTTGTATCATTTTTGCAAATGTTTTCCACGGATAAAGTCATGCTTTTACCTTTGTATGTGTGCCAATTTTGTTCTTCCTCTGTTTTTTTTTTTTCTTCCCAATTTTGTTCTTTTTGACCCTGAGTTTTGGCTGCTGTCCCTTACCCGGCTGTCTGCGTCTGTCTTTCTTAGGTTGGCACTTGCATCCCAGCACAGGAGGAGGAGGAGGGCGGCACTGCTGCAGCCAATGTCTGCCAAGCCTGGACTGGAGCCCCACACCTACAGACACTGACCACCAGGAGATGCCTGTATCACTACAGGCTGAGATAGGACTAGACTGGAGAGTAAACATTGACAGAGGGTGTTACGGTTAAAGGACACAGCTGACTTCACAGATGAAAGTGTGCTCTAGCCAGTTCCTTCATAGAGAAGTGGCATTAAATGTTGGCAACACAGACGGGACCATCGTAAAGGCATCCAAGAGGTAGTAAACTACTGTAGATCAAATTGCACTTTTAGAAATTATTTTATTTTGTGCTGCTACGGAAGGATACTAGAGAGTGAATCACTTTGATATGTCTTTGAATTTACTCTTGGGTACCACAATCAAAGGATATTAACAGGTGACATCACTAGATAGCACAGTAGAAACAAAATATTATATTGTGGGAGTCACAACTACAAGAAGCCACTTGAATTCCTCAGCATGCCAGGAGGCACTATGTATTTACTGGGTGTGTAATAAAACCTTTTTGAAAGGGTGTGACATTTGGAGCACTGCAAGTCCCATCATGGGTATCCTAAAGTGCCCATTTCTGCCGAACCTGAAGAAGCAACAAGCATTCTGAGTCTGGAAGAAAAAAAAAAGGCCTGCTTTCCTCACTGGCATCATCCTATATACCTCTGTCCCCTCAGTCTGTGTTGGCCAGTCTTCCCTTGCCCTTCCCTCACACACATACACCATGAGCTCCTTGCTCCCCTTTGACAGTGTGCTATGTAACCTTTTGGGACTGTCCCTCACACTGTGGTTCACCCTGCTCCTTGTATTCATCATCGTTCCTGCTATCTTTGGTGTTTCGTTTGGCATTCGCCGGCTGTACATGCACACCCTGCTCCGTATCTTCACGGTGAGTTTCTCAGTGTTGTCACTGCACGTTTTGGTGGATTTGATGGACATCTTTATCCAGGTGCACACTTGTGTGAGTGTTAGTACATGTGTGCAAGCTTCTGTCTATTTAGCACTCTTAGTGATTGTTTCTTTATCTTACAGTGGGCAACCTTACGGATAGAGAGAGGAGTAAAGGAGAACCGTAATGCACTGTATAAACCTCTTACTAATGGTATGTACTATATATAAATAATTGTCAGAGGATCAGGTTGCATATACCCGCTACTGATATTTTGTACAATTTACAACCAATTATGTATAGAAACACACATTACATACTTGCAATGGTAAATCAAATTAAAATTATAAATAGGAAAAGGCTAGGAAAATCTGCCTAGAGCAAAGTAAAACTACTAGCGAAACACTATCTTAGATGTCTGAGATACATCTCCAAAAATGCCTGCACTAATAGTTGAAACATCCAATGCATGTTTTGCAGAACTAGGCTCATCAAACTTAGAGGGCTTTCCAATCCAACTTGTTTATCCTAAAATTTAAAAATCACCTTTCAATTTACAATTCATTGAATAAATAACTGTGTAAAAATGTTACTTATGGTACATACAATAAACAAGATGTGTGTGTGTGTGTATATATGTATATATATATATATATATATATATATATACATAAAAAATAAAAGATATTACTCGTGTAGGCACAGAACCACTGCTTGAACCTTTTACTAATGGCGGGGGGTGGGGTCATAGTGTTAGCAAAGCACTTTTGTATCTAACACAATATAATTCCTTTAATTTTTTATACCATCTCATTTACATACTGCTCACAGCTGTAATGAAAGTTACACGGTCACTTCAGGTACACACAGCTTACAAGAACACAGCAATCAACTTTTTATAATATAATAACCTACGTTGGAATAAGCAGGCACTCTATAAATAATCATATATTTTAATGTTATACTATACCATCTCATTATTTTTTTTTAAATTCAGTATATCTATTGATCTATATACACACACATATTTTGAAGAAATAATTTGCCTAACTTTCCCCTTTCCAGACAGCCATCTTTATGCACCTTTTGTCAGTTTATCAGTTATCTGACCCAGTGCCCAGTTTTTCAACATGTATACATTGCTTTTCCAAATCATGTGCTCTTTTTGCCTGCATCATTTTCTGTCAGGTGTGAGCTTTGGGCCACTTAACTGACAGTCTTAATGAAGGTGCATGAAGATGGCTTTGGAAAAGGTAGGCATGTAATTTCAATATGCATGAATTTAAAATAAATAAGTGAATGAAACAATATATAAGCTTCTTACATATACAGAGCAATGTAGTTATTTATTTAACTGCAACTATTATTAAATAAACATATATTGCAAGCATTTGGAGATGCAAATGAAAGCATACCCTCTGCAAATTACCAATTCTGTGTGTTTGTATTTGCTTTTCAAATTCCAAACTCAGGAATTATTGCTAGAGAGAGAACATCGCTGGAGGATGGCATCTCAGAGCTTCGTGGATCTGGGAGCTCGATGGAAGATCCCGAATTTGCTCTGTCAGACATCTTTTATTTCTGTAGACAAGGCATGGAGAGCATCATGGACGATGAGGTGACCAAGCGTTTCTCAGCAGAGGAGTTAGAGACCTGGAATCTGCTGAGCAGAACAAACTATAACTTTCAGCATATCAGCCTGCGGCTTACTGTGCTGTGGGCTTTAGGCATGTTGGTCAGATACACCTTCTTACTGCCACTCAGGTAACAGCTTTCTATGGGTTGCTATTTCTGTGTTTGGCATATTTGATTCAGTGATTTTTTTACATGATATCCCTTCTATTCACAGGATTGCTTTAGCTGTTACAGGCATCGGCCTTCTGGTTTTTGGTACTACTGTAGTCGGATATCTGCCCAATGGCCGGTGAGTACCTTCTGATAACTGTGTATGTACAAATAACTATTAAAGTACCATGTCAGTTATATATTGTCATATATGTGGGAGCATTTGTCTTGGCTTGCCTTGCCCCAATATGTGTGTATATGTATATCTCGGGTCACAGCTAGATCATACAATTCAAATTAATTTAAAACCCATAGTGCATATGCCTGGGTACGTATATGTATTTCAAAGGGAAGTGAGTTCTATATTTCCACCTTACTTCTGTGGAATATTCTGTAGAAAGATATAGTTTTATTTTCTTTTCCCTACAGCTGTCATTGGAGACGTCTGATGGGAAATGACAAGCTTGACTAAACCTTTTGTCGTAGGAAAGATACCAAGACAAAGCGTTCCCTACTTTGTCTCGGTATATCTTTTGACTGGATTGGAATTTAATGTGAATATTTCATGAAGATTTTATCTTCACAAAATATTCATTTTTGACATGGGGTGACAGAACCGCTTTAAATTACACCTGTTATCAACATAAAGGGAAAAGTTGTAGTCCTAGCAACTATAGTGTCCCCTCCCCGCAGCATTGAAAGCATAGCTCATCTCTGCCTCCGCTCCTCTGCCGCCAATGTCAGCTGGCAGGGGGGGACCTAATATGCATGCTTTCCTATGGGGTTTTAGCTGACGCTGGATGTCCTCATACAAAGCTTATGAACTCAAATCCCTTCGTTAAGATGAAATGATTTTCGAGCTTTGTCTGTCCCTTTTATATTACATGAAAGTGCATCATAATTCATAGATACATTTTGCAAATTTGAAAGCAGATTTATCTTCTCTGTCACAGCAACTAAAGAACATGTTCTGTAGTTGCTGTGAGAGCACTCTAGCAAGTGTTTGTTATAGGAAAATAGCAACAGGAGGCCGATGTCACTCCAGTCTGATGCTGATAATGTTGATGCTATGGGAGTGTCCCGTGTGTGCTTTATGTGTGAGAAAAAAGACTTTTAAATGTATTATTAAATGTTATGTTAAAGAGTAACGGTAAACGCTTTTGCAGTATTTACTGAGGTGAAATAACAAGAGACTACCATTTCTCGGAAAGTGCCAAAATGTATTAAAGTGTGTTTTTTCACATTATTAATGAATCGGAGATAAGTGATAAAAAATAAAAAATAATCCCCATACCTTCATTGCACTTCTTCGTTGCACTTCTTCGTTGCAACTTTGACTTCCCATGACGAGGCAGATGAGCACATGCCTGTTTGGATCCAACAAACAAATACATGCACACATACAGGATCCACATTTTCTCAAGATATGCAATACACGTGCTGTGCGTTCAGAACACTTCAAGAATTTGCTAATTTATATACTTTGAGGAGCATTGCTTGGCAAAGTATAAATTAAAAGAAAAGAAACAAAAAAAAAATCTGGGCATGTCCAATAGCTAACATTACTTTTGTTTTAGCTATTAGGATGTACTAAATTTAAGGAAGAGATCTACTTTAAGTTGTTTTTAGGAAGCATTGTGTGTTTGTACAAATGTAGTACCACAGATTTATTTATTTTTTTATTCTCTTACATTTTTTTTCATTTAGTTTTGGCGAATTCTTGATATCTGCAGCTGCCTGTCTTTCTACATATATCTTTATAATAATGTGCCTAATTGTCTGCTTCTTTTTAGATTTAAAGAGTTCTTGAGTAGACATGTGCATTTGATGTGTTACCGGATATGTGTGCGTGCACTAACTGCCATCATAACATATCATGGGAGGTGAGTACATTGTGCTAATTGCAGCCAGCACACACCAGGTATACACAACATACATCCAGCACACACCAGATGCACACACCGTACAGCCAGCACACACCAGATGCACACACCGTGCATGCACCCGATGTGCGCGCACACACCATACAGCCAGCATGCACCAGATGCGCGCGCGCACACCATACAGCGAACACACACCATACAGCCAGCACACACCAGATGCGCGTGCACACACCATACAGCCAGCACGCACCAGATGCGCGCGCACACACACCATACAGCAAGCACGCACCAGATGCGTGCACACACACCATACAGGCAGCATGCACCGGATGCACGCATCATACAACCAGCACGCACCAGATGCACACACCATACAGCCAGCACGCACCAGATGCACACACCGTACAGCCAGCACGCACTAGATGCACGCACACACACCATACAGTCAGCACGCACTAGATGCACGCACACACCATACAGCCAGCACGCACTAGATGCACGCACACACCATATAGCCAGCACGCACCAGATGCACACACCGTACAGCCAGCACGCACTAGATGCACGCACACACCATACAGCCAGCATGCACTAGATGCACGCACACACACACACACCATACAGTCAGCACACACTAGATGCACACACACACTATACAGAGAGCACGCACTAGATGCACACACACCATACAGCCAGCACGCACCAGATGCACACACACCATACAGCCTGAATTCTTAATACATACATACAGCCAGCACAAACACACAACATACAGCCAGCATATGCAACACATTACGTGCAGCCAATTCAAACATTACGTACAGCCAGCAAACACCACATGTATTACACCTAGCTGAAACACACACACTATGGGGAAGGTTGTGAGGGCAAGACACTAGACTCCAAAAATGTGCACAATAAATCTGAATTAAAAAAAATGCCTGTTGTAACTATAGCTGAGTTTGAATATTTTTCCAGATCAGCTATTTTGGCCTTAGTTTTTCTTTGATTTAACCTGGGAAAATGTGTACTTTAGTGAATCACTGTACCTAAGCAGGGTACTTTCTAATTTTACATTTTGTGTGAGAGCAAGTAGATTGTCAAGACGTGCAAGTAGATTTTTTTAAAATGTCCACACTTCTGGGCATGTTGTAAGAGAACAGTGCACAACATAAAAGTTATAAGCCTAATGCAAAGTGCATGCCAATAGCTATATTGAATCTAGCAGATGTAAGGTGCAGTAGAGTCTATCTCTCCAGTCAGCTGACGGTTAATTCAGTCTAGAAACTGGTGTGGGAAACTGTAAGGGGGCCATCTGGTGGCAGTTCATGGGTAGATTCCTTATTACTAGTTAAATAAAATGACCTATGCCTCAGAGTGCATTTCATCCAGAATCCTAGCTGATTTTATGTCGACACTGGCATAGTTATTCACTACATTGTTAATTGTTTGGAATGAAATTCTCCCAAGTCTGCTATGTTCACACTTTAGTGAATCATCCTATAGGTGAGCAGAGATGTTGCTGCACTTTGTTAACAGCAGACAGACTTTTGCAAATATTCACACACATCACATTACAAAGTTTCTGGAATCAATCAATTACAGATACTGTTAATATAAATAAGAGAGGTCTTAAGGTCCTCTGCAATCATTTAGGTAAGAGGTCTTCAACACTGCCAATGATGGCTATACTTAGACACTCTATTTGTTCGGGACTACCCTATTCAAGACTATAAAATTGTATGGGTGTATCCATCATAATCTCTTGTTCTATACACAGATTATTTATGTAGTATATTTTGTTAACCAGTACTGTGCTAATTTTCATGTTTATTAAAGGAACACTCCCACCCCCAAAACAATTAATTGTCATTTAAGTTCGTATGAGCGCAAGAGTGTCCGGCAGCCATCTTACCTCCGGTGTAGAATTCCTATTGCCCTATGTCCAGGACATGTAGTTCTGCTACAGGGAATGTGGGGGAGTGGTTGGTGCTGGCGAAGAATTTGCAATGTGAACCTATGGTGGGTGCAGAACACCGTAAATGCTCCCTTACAGTCTGCTCGCAAATGAGTAAAAGCACAACTACCTGGTATTCCGAGTATGCACTCTAACTCGTTGAATGCCTGAACTTTGACGGAGTGATTAGTGTGCACCACCCTTTAGAGGGGCAAAACAAACACTCCCGGACTGGACCACAACGGATTTTAACCACATTAGACCTCCAGGCAATGTAGCAGGTGGGTAGTAGCCAAAGCGCACAAACATATTACACGCATGCACACCAAACACACTAGTTAACACACATCACACTACACAGAAGCAGCACACAACCTACCACACACATGCACATTATACCCTGCACAAAGTGCCCCCACATCTAAGCTCTTAGCAGGTGCCCCAATCTGAAATTATTGTATGCGTTAGGAAAAGTAGTTTGTTTTTGTTTTTTGCAACAGTTTAACCCCGTAATAGGGACTTTGAACTTATGCCTCCCAGTGTCTTTCCTCTCTGATCTGTAGTATGAGAGGTTTAGCGGGGCAGCCTGTGATAAGCTGAGAGTGTCAGCTGACTCTTTTAGCCTATTACTAGGCACCCGTTGAGAGAAATATTATGTGCTATAAAACATAACATGGTGCATGGACACTCCAACTTCCATAACAACTTATTTGACACTGTGTTACTCTTGTGTATGTGGCATCTCTGTAGCTTCTTATCAGTGCCTGTTATATCATTGGGTGTCCACTGCAGCTGCCTAATTAGGAATGGCACCTACAAACAAAGATTAGTGCTATGTGAGCTGAAACGTCATGTATATTTTTCTTTGATAAGTATGACCTTTATGTGTTTTTTTTTTTTCTTCCTCAGTGAGAATCGGCCCAGGAATGGTGGTATATGTGTTGCTAATCATACATCTCCAATCGATGTGATCATCCTGGCCAGTGATGGCTACTATGCTATGGTTAGTTTGAGTCCGAAGCATGATAGATGGGTGGGATCTATTAACAGAGTTGTGAAGTAATTATCTGTTATGTCTTTCTCCTTCTGACTGCAGGTAGGACAGATCCATGGTGGTCTAATGGGAGTGATTCAAAGAGCCATGGTAAAATCCTGCCCGCATGTCTGGTTTGAGCGCTCAGAGGTCAAGGACCGCATTTTAGTGGCTAAAAGGTAAAGGATGGAAATTTTTTATTTTAATGATAATCCTATTTAGTACTTTCAGTACAGGAAGATGCTGGAAATGACACACATCTCTCGCTACCCAACACCATTTAACAATAGGTACTATGCAACATCATACAGAGACTTGAAACGATTTGCTCTTGAAAAGTTAACCTGGAGATGTTTGTCAAGGATAAAAGGAAAGAGCACATATCTGGCTGAGTCTTTGTCTCATCAAAACAAAAAATGAAGAGGGAGTTAATACCCGGTTTTGTTCCTTGACACCTTTTCTATAGTCTTATAGTTCTATAATAAAGAAAAGGGCAATCCGGAATTTGTTTTGTAATTTTATACAGAAAATATGACTTGTGTAATTGTTATATTAAGTTGAATATATTCTTGCAGTCGAAGAGAAATAAATAGAAAAAATAAACAGTACAACATTTTTAGTTACTGTACATATTGGTGAATGTCATAGAAAGTCAGATCTTTTCAGATAAGTTAAATGGTGGGTTGGAACCGATGTATCTCTGGAATATTATTCTGCAGTTACTACTCTCAGTAGGAAAGTTTGTTAGGTCTATGGATTTAAAAGATATGTATGTGACTCAGCTAACAAAATGACATACATGTCTGGATTCCAAAGTCATCTAGTTAAATGGACACTTAAAGGACCACTCTAGTCACCCAGACCACTTCAGCTTAATGAAGTGGTATGGGTGCCAGGTTCCTCTAGGATTAACCCTTTTTTAAATAAACATAGCAGTTTCAGAGAAACCGCTATGTTTATAAATGGGTTAATCCAGCCTCTAATGGCTGTCTCACTGACAGCCACTAGAGGCGTTTGCATGCTTCTCACTGTGAAAATCACAGTGAGAAGACGCCAGCATCCATAGGAAAGCATTATGAATGCTTTCCTATGAGACTGGCTGAATGCGCGCGCAGCTCCTGCCGCGCATGTGCATTCAGCTGAAGAGGAGGATCGGAGGCGGAGAGGAGGAGGAGAGCTCCCCGCCCGGCGCTGGAAAAAAGGTAAGGTTAACCCCTTTCCTTGCCATCCAGCCCGACGGGAGTGGGACCCTGAGGGTGGGGGCACCCTCAGGGCACTATAGTGCCAGGAAAAGGAGTATGTTTTCCTGGCACTATAGTGGTCCTTTAAGTCACCAAAAAAACTTTAGTTTAATGAAGCAGTTTTTTTTGTATAGATCATGTCCCTTCAGTCTCACTGCTCAATTCTCTGTCATTTTGGAGTTAAATTACTTTTGTTTCTGTTTATGCAGCCCTAGCCACACCTGCCCTGTCTGTAACTGACATCATCTTTTGTTGTACATCCCCTTTCTATAAAAAAAATATTTAAACACTGTTTGTTTCCGAACTGATCACCTATTTAGGATACAAAATAAGTGTAATCCATGAATGGTCATTGACTAGTCATATTCCAATTTTTATATTTAAGTTGTTCCTAATTTTGTTTGTGTTATATTTATCTGAGTAAAACTTTTGAGTTTTGTTGGGATTTTATTATGTTTCTGCAAACGTCCAAATAATACAGCTGTACTGCACATCCCTTTATTATTACACACAAAATTACGATGACTTATTTATGTATAATTTTTCTTTAAATGCTTTCTTCCTGTTAGTGCATAAACATTTTGATTTGGAATAAGCTGTTATTGCTAAGCCGTTTGCCTATGCAAATATTTAGTAAGTGTCATATGAGATTTGAGTAGTGTTATGGAAACTTGCAAATTGGACATATATATTCATGGAAAGAAAATAGGAAACATTTATAATAGGGATTTAGTATAAGGTATACAAATTCACGTTAAGGCAAACAAAGGCACCTGGAGGATATCTGAAATAGGAACACAAGATGACTGTCACCTTTAAAATAGCACTGTAAAAATGTGAAAGGTGTCAACACGCAGTACTTAAAGCATATGGGCATGATTATGTGCATGGTTTAAACATTGCAATTAAAAGTAAATTCAAGCCGATCTCTAAGACTCACTTTAAGTCCCTCCAAACACAGATAGACAAATTTATTTGGGCAGGAAAACGGTCCAGAATCAAACGAAACACGCTGTATATCCCACACAAAAGAGGGGCCTTGGACTCCCGAACTTCTGGGACTATCACCAAGCGGCCCAACTCGCACAAATACAAACCCTTCATGCCCCGGCCTGGATCAAGATATGGGTAGATCTAGAACACAACCTATTTCGCAGGGACTTCCCGTCACTGTACTTCTGGGTACAGAAGCAGCACAGACCAGGGATGCCCCTGACCACACCGGCCCTGACGACATCCCTACAAATATGGGACAGAGCAACACGCAAACACAAACTCACCAACACACCCTCCCCTCTAACCCCCGTACTAAGAAACAATCAATTCCCTCCAGGCATGACACTCCAAAACTACGCCCACTTTGAAGACAATGACCTAACTAGGCTCTGCCACTTCTTCCACAATGATCACCTCCTTTCATTCGCCGACCTGCCGCAAACCACCCCCCTTAACACCTTTGACCACTTCCGCTATATCCAACTACGCAGCTTCTTGTCCAACCTAAACATTACAGCAGTGGCGATGGAAAAGCCCACGCAATTCGAGAGGAGGTGCCAACGCACTTCCATACAGAAAGGGCAAATATCCACTCTATATAACATACTGACCCTAAACACCCCCCCTCCCCCCCGGAAGCCTTCTCATATGTAAGAGCCTGGGAGAGAGACCTGGGCCCCCCATGGGATCCCTCGGACACCCCCCTACCTCCCCCACCTCTCCCTACCTCGCCCTCCCGGCCACTATCACCCACACAGGACCCGCCAAAAGATACGCCTCTCACTAAAGTCCTGACACCGAACTGACCTTCCCCCCTTGGAAGCACTAGGACACAACACAGAAAGGCTGACCTAGCGGCCCAGACAACACTAAAGGCCGCTACCATCACAACGGCCCTCAAAGTACCAACACATCTTGTAAAATTACGAACAGAGTAGAAGCCCGGGGTCAAAGGAACTGAAGTCCAAAAATGCAATCCAAGACCAAAAGCCAACCCCTTCACACCCTCCGGTACTACCTTCCCGAGACAAACCCCAAAATAATGTTTACACCCAACAACAGGACCACTGTTACCAACGCTCATTCAGTGTCTACTTTTCTAATGATACCTCCTCCCTTCGTCCGGTCTCTGTTGGAGTCCCCCAAGGCTCTGTGCTTGGTCCCCTTCTATTTTCTCTTTATACTGCCTCTCTTGGCAAACTTATTAACTCATTTGTATTCCAATACCACCTGTATGCTGATGACACTGAGATATACCTCTCCTTCCTGGACTTCTCCCCTGCTATCTCTGATTGGATGTCCTCCTGCTATTTTAAATTCAATCTCTCTAAAACTGAACTCCTTGTCTTTTCCTCCTCCTAATACTCCTAATCCTGATCCCTGTCTTTCACTCTCCCTTCAAGTGAGTGGTACCCACATCAGTCCATCCTTGTAAGCGCGCTGTCTTGGTGTTATACTTTATTCTGGCCTCACGTTTGAGTCTCACATCCAGTCTGTTACCAAATCCTGTAGATTCCATCTTAAAAACATAGCCCGCATCCGCCCCTTTCTTACACAAGATGCTACTAAGGAGCTTGTCCGTGCTCTAGTAATCTTTCGCATGGATTATTGTAACTCTCTCCTAATAGGTCTTCCCACAACTCGTATTGCCCCGCTAGTCTGTAATGAATGCTGCCACTAGACTGATTTTCCTCTTCTGTCGCTCCTCTCACACCTCTCCCCTGTGTCAATCCTTAAATTGGCTTCCTGTATCCTATAGGAGTCAATTCAAGGTACTAATCCACACCTATAAAGCACTGACCAATTCTAGCCCCTCCTATATTTTTTCACTGATCCGCAGGTATGCCCCTTCTCTGTCTCTCTGCTTTGCCTTCTCCTGTCTGCTGCTCGCACCCATACAGCCAACTCACGCTTGCAGGACTTCTCGCAGATTGTTCCTTTTCTTTGGAATAGCCTTCCTATGACCATCAAGCTCTCCCCTAGTTTTCAATCATTTTAAAAAGTTCCTCAAAAGCCATCTCTTTAGGAATGCTTATGGCCTCCCAGAGTAACCTCTACCTCCTAAAGAGCAGCACTCTATTCTCTCCTCCAGCTCTGCTTCACTCCACCTTGTTTAATTGCTACTTCCTGTCCTGTTGGGTTTTATGCCCTACCTCCTATAGACTGTAAGCTTGTTTGAGCAGGGCCCTCTTCAACCTATTTTTCCAGTAAGTTTTTGTAATTGTCTCCCCCTTTGAAGATAATGTAACGTGCTATGGAATATGCTGGTGCTATATAAATACCAGTAATAAAAATAATCTAATGTTTATACTTCCTTTATTGCACCCATTGTACAGCGCTACGGAATCTGATGGCGCTATATAAATAATAAAATAATAATAATAAAATAATTGCACAGTCTGTTTAATTTAGCACTTCCTATCTTCTGCTCTATTAATAGCCTGTACGAAAATCCTGTGTGTAATTAAAGTCTAATTAATTAAGAATGAGATAAAAACTTGTAAAGTAAGCACACTGTATTGATAGAAAATGAACCGATTTTTAATTTTTTAATTTTTTGGGGCTCTGTTAGTCACAGCTGGGGGGAGGTGGGGTGGCTCGGGCTACATAAACAGAAACAAAAGTGATCTAACTCCTCAAATGCAGAAAATTGAGTATTGAGACTGCAGGGTCAAGAGCTATACACTAGAACTGCTCCATTAAGCTAAAGTTGGTTTGATCTCTGCTCCTTTGCCCTCTAACATGGTTTTTTTTTTTTTTTTTTTCACATCTCCATATTTCTCTTTCTCCTTGTATTTAATACACTCTTTACATAAGCTGTATAGTTTTGTTTGTTTTGGTATTTTCTTCTTGCCTGTAGTCTCTACATTTTCTCTTGTCTTTTTAGGCTTACTGATCATGTGCAGGACAAGAGCAAGCTGCCTATTCTTATATTCCCAGAAGGTAAAAAATCATCTAAAATTAGTTTTTTTTTTGTTTTGTTTTTAATTGGAGTTTGAATACTTGAAATACAGCATTGCCGCAGTATGCAATTAAGAACAATGTGTCTTCAACATTAAACATAAATCATAAGTAACTTAAATGGCAGTAGAAACAATCTACAGGAACTGTATATGTGCATCAACATTGTGGTGTCATGAGGGTCAGCAGCTGCAGTGGGTGGTCTGAGTCTGATTTTCCTCACAGGAGCTTGACGTCTGCGGGCGACCCAGAGATGGAGTGTGTTAGCTTTGTGGTATAGTCTAAGAGTGTCTCTTTAGTAAAGTTGGCACGTGTAAGCCCTTCTTCGGCCTTTGGGTGATTTTGGTCTGACACGGTGTGTGATTGCCTTCGTCTCTGGGTTCCCCTGTGTCTTTATCCTGCTGGTTTAGCTGCTGGAGAAGCCGCTTTTGATCATCTGTGGAGGACAGGGTAAGTGTCTGGTCTCCCTGTGGTACTGCCAGGGATCCGTCTGCACCCCACCGGTATCTGATTTGCGCGTCCATTAGCTGTTTGGCTCAGGTGCCAGCTGTCGCCATTCCACAAGTGCTGCAAACGGGATATCCCCATATAGGGCCATTGTGCTACCCTCCATTTGCACTGTGCCCAAGTCTCTGGAGTGGGACAAGATAGCAGAGCGGGTTGCCACGTCCTTTGTGATAACTATAGTGTCTCTGGGTGCGTCCGCGGGAGCTGTTGCAGCTTTTCAGATTCTGAACATGGAAAGTATCATGTTTGGCTCCGCGCCCCTTTTAATGCCCATTACAGATAATAGGCGGTGGATGTAGGGCAGCAGGGCTTCCTTCGGAGGCGAACATTCCGTCATCTGTGCCGTGTCTCCATTGTCGTGACAGTTCGTGTGAGCTTTTGTACCTGCAAGGTAAGAGCCTTCATCGAGTCTTGGGAGTGCTGTAGTTGGAGCTCCCTTGCACCTTCCCTTGACTCCACTGCTGTCATCCGCTGTTGGAGGTTCCCCACCTCTTTCTGAGTGCTCAGTAGGTCGGCCTTCCACACTTCTCTCATTTCCGCCAGGAGGTCTCGTATATCCCGCTTAGTTGATAGGCATGAGTCCTTCTTCCGATTCAGAGTCCTGGTATCGGGCCCCTGCGTCTGCTGGGGGCGAGGTATGGCTCTCCTTATCCTCATGGGAGCCCTCGGAGGCCTCCTCTTCACTGGGTGCCTCGGACGCCATTTTGGCAGGTGCTGGTGGAGTAGGTCTCGTAAACGAGAGCCGGATATGCGACATTCTGGGTGTCTCTTGGGGGTGGAATTTTTTATTTTTGCGCCCCATTGACTTCTGTGTGTGAGGCGTGTGTGTTGCCGCAGTTGGGCGCCGTGTGACGGGCTTTTTAGTCTCTTTTTTCAGTCGTATGTATGGAGCTCCTCAGAAACGCGTCCGTCTCCCTCAGCAGTTGGCCACGCCCAAAGTGTTTTTAAATCTTCTTTTTTTTTGTCCATCTTGTAGTCTTGTTTCTCCATCACTCATTACTACCCTTGTGTTCCTTCTGTTTAGGAGCTCAGACTTTGTGGTGTGAATAAGTATATATCCCAGTGGTTCACAGTAGTGTGCCTTGTGCATATGTATTACTGTAGTCAAACCCACTGTGAAGTGTGCTGTGCATCATAGAGCTCTAAAGTCATACATAAATGGTGTTTATGAGTAAGTTACAAAGCTCCTAATTAATAAATGATATGTGGGGGAATCTTAGAGCTTTGCAGCAATGTAGCTTTTAAATTAGTATCTAGACCGCATTAAATGTGTTTACATGTTAGTTTGTGTCCTGTGTTCTAAATTACTCAGTTGCTCATGAAAGTGTTCATTGCTGCATATTGATACATTTATGTTCTCTGTAACGTTAAGTAATTTTAGGCAACACTCCAACTTTTATTTATTCCTTAATCTTCTACCATTAAAGGTACCTGCATTAACAACACCTCCGTCATGATGTTTAAGAAGGGAAGCTTTGAGATTGGTGCCACCATCTACCCTGTTGCTATTAAGGTGAGGAGAAAGTCAGGGGATATGTCATGTTATTATCCAGGCCTTGCCTTATCAGTAAGTGTCACCTAACAATATACATCTGCCCTCAAATCCGCATAGATTGTAAGCTTGTTTCAACAGGGTGCTATTCACTCTAAATATCCCATTTCTGTTTAATATGTAGGCACTATATAAATGCTAATAATAAAAATAATAAAGGAGGCCCATGCATAATGGGATGTGCTTGTAGTGTAGTGCTGGGTGAACATTGCCTACGTCGCAAACATATAATACACTAATATAATGTATATTTTTTTATTTTTTACATCAAAACCTCTGTATTGTCTGCCACTTGCTACCAAAACAGCAGTGTTTGACATAAAAGGTTTATGCTTCAGGCAGACAATTCTATCTAGGTTTTAATGTTGTCTTCCATATTATTTATTTATTTATAAAATATTTTACCAGGAAAGATACATTGAGATTTCTCTCGTTTTCAAGTATGTCCTGGGTCCACAAATCCTTGCATTGTTACAATTAGGGTACAATAAAATACAAAAACAATATTAATACACAATAAATACAATATTTAATAGGCAGGAAATTTATAATCAACCATGACAGGTGGATTCTGTTTTGAGGTATGTATAGAGGGATCTCTTAAAGGACTTTAGGCTTAGGGAAGATTTTAAATTGTGCGGGAGGTCGTTCCACAATTGCGGTGCTCTGTAGGAGGAGGGGGATCGGGCTGCTTTCGTTTTGTATTGAGGTAGACTAAAGTGTTGGTACTGGATCGGAGGTTATAGGAAGTGGGAACAGCTGAGGAAAGCATTGTGTTCAGGTAGGGAGGGAGTTTCCCAGAAAAGCTCTTAAACACAAGGCTGGAAAGATGAAGGGTGCGTCTGGATTCCAGCGACAGACAGTTTAGTTCTTTTAGCATGTCACAATGGTGGGTCATGTAATTACATTGTAGCACAAATCGGCAGAATGGGTTATACAATGTGTTGAGTTTATTAATGTGGGATTGCGATGCAGATGCATATACTACATCCCCATAATCAATGATTGGCATCAGCATTTGCTGTACAATCTTTTCCTTTATTGTAGGGCTTAGGCAGGATTTGTTTCTGTACAGGGCACCTAGTTTTGGATAAAGTTTAGATGGGGTCTAACATCATACCCAAGTATTTTAAAGAGTGGACTGCGGTCAGTGTGCCATTTGAATTTGTTTTGATGGATAGGTGGGAATTGTGTAATTTTGTGAAAGATCATTGTGACAGTTTTGTCAGTGTTCAGGAAGAGTTTGTTTTTTGCGATCCACTTTTCTACCTCTGTAAACTGGTCTTGGAGCACAGCCTCAAGCTGCGGTAGATTGGAATTGCTCGCATAGATTACCATGTCATCTGCGTACATGTGTACATTTGAGGATTTGCAGACATTAGGCAGATCATTTATAAATAATGTAAATAGTAGGGGGCTGAGAATGGAACCTTGGGGAACACCACACGTGACCGGGAGAGGGAGGGAGTCACTGTCAGAAATGGACACATATTGCAAGCAATCCGATACATACAATCGAAACCAGTTTAGTGAACGATCACCAATACCTGAGTTTTTGAGTTTGTGCAGTAGAATGTCGTGGTCTACTGTGTCAAAGGCCTTAGCAAAATCAAGGAAAATAGCTCCAGTTAGGTCTGCTTGTTCCATACCAGTTTGGATGTCATTTCAAACTTTTAAGAGGGCAGTTGTAGTGGAGTGATTCTGGCAAAAGCCCTATTGATCAGGGGTCAGATAGTTTGATTGTTGGTAGTACTCACATAGTTGCGTATGGACACATTTTTCTAAGATTTTAGACAATATCTGGAGATATTGGGTGATAGTTAGAAACCAAAGTAGTGTCACCACTTTTATGGATATTCACTACTCTCGCAGTCTTCCAAAGTTTGGGTATGTATCCAGACACCAAGGATTCGTTAATTAGAGTTGCGACGGGTTTAGCAATTGCCGGCGCACTGAGCTTCAACAGCATTGCTGGGATTTGATCAGGTCTGGACTGGTTTTTCATTTTTAGATTATTAAGATGTTTTTCAATGACACTAACAGGTACAGGTCTAAAAATCAACTTGTCTATGTTGGGACTTTGCAAATTTAGTGGGACCTGATCCACATTTGTAGTTTCAGGATGCGTGTCATTTATTAGCTTGGCATATAATGTCAGGACCTGACTAAGGTACTGTACCTTTTGCTTTTCATTAGGAAAGTGTTGGTCATAAAACCTTGCTCTGCTATCTGTTCCATCCTGGACTTTATATGGTGAGACTTTATGTAAACAGAACAGTTTACTGTCCCACAAGAGAATCTGTACATTTAGCCCATAATTTAAGGAATATATGGAATTAAAAAAAACAAAGTGTGTATATATAGTGTGTCAAAGCTGTTGTATGCAGCAGACACATACTCCAAGGAATCCATGTATAAAGTGGATTTATGAGGCAGTAGTGAGAGCACTGTTAAAGTGAGATTTCTGTGGGAGAAGTCTTGGCTTGACTGGTGTGTGTATTTGTGTTTAGCAATGTATTAACACTCTCTATCTCTCTATATAATGATTTTAGCTAGCTTGTGACTTAACACTTTTGTATTGTCTAGATAAGGGGATTATAGTTTATCTTTTTTACAGTATGACCCTCGGTTTGGAGATGCTTTCTGGAACAGCAGTAAATATGGGATGGTCACCTACCTACTGCGAATGATGACAAGCTGGGCCATAGTATGCAGTGTTTGGTATTTACCTCCTATGACACGTCGGGTAAGAAAACTGTAATAAGTGGTCTGAGGCCACCTACCTGCCATTCTTAAGCTGTTGGTGAATTTTAACTCTTAAGAACTTTTTCTATATTTTGAATGTTTGCTAACGGTAAGATGTATCATAACATTCTTTGTAATATTCCTATTTGAGTTAGTCAAAATGAAGCAAGACTTCCTTTTTAAAAGCAGCAAAAATGTAAAAATTAGACAACCAGTCTTGTTACTTCCTGGTACTTTAGCTCAGTGCAGCTAAACTCAACAGTCAGGCAGTTGCTCAGAGCATATGCCTCCTCACATAACTGCATTGGGAAGTCTGTGATTGGACAGCCACAGAGAATCTGGACTTGGTTAGAGGGGGAGAGCTTAGAAATAATTCAGACAAGTGATGTGCGGCTCTTTCAAGCTGTTTTAGACATACCACCAGTGAAAAATGCGCCATTAAATATATGCATGTTTTTATTAAGGGGTATATCTACTAAGCAGTATTTGTTTTGTTTTTTAATTCGGGATGTGGAGTGTCCGTTTTTAAATGCCAAAATACAAGATGTGGTGCTTGCATTAAGATAACCACAAAAGAAAATCCAAAACCTTGTAAAAGTTGTAGTTTTTTGTTTCTCTCTCTTAATTTGACAAGTGAACACATCTGTTTGAATGAACAATATTATTATAGTGGTAAGTCCTGGTCACACAGATACATATCCAATGTTATGATGTGGAACTATTGCTTAAGTGTCATTTAAGGGGGTTATATAGATCACCACTAAAACAAACGTTCGTTTTGTAACAGCATATATAGTACATTGGTACATTGAATAACAATCAACAAAAAGAAAGTTAAAAATTGCAGGTACTAAAAAAAAAAAAAAATCGGCAGAAAAATCCAAGTAATGCCATCATTCCCTTACATGTCAAGGCACAGTGCAGCACTCTGTTGCAGCATAATCTCTGCCTGAAAGGAATGTGTCCCACAGGATCCATGTTTCCTTCATTATAACTGGAGTGAGTTGAGTGAACCAGAACAATTAGTGTAATAACCTAGCCATTCATTGTGTCCTTGTTGTCTTGCAGTGACATATGCACAGCAAATTGTCCTGTCTATTACAATATGAACACCATCTGCTCTGATTTGTAATGATTTAAAAGTGCTGACTAAAAACTGTGTATGATACAGTATATTTTCTTCTCCCTCCTATATTCTTGAGGCACACAGATTGAAAGACTTGCAGTTCACAAACTTAAGTTGGTCCATTGTTAACCTCTTTAAAAGAGAGTCTATGTACCTAATACGTATTGTCTATCTAGCTAGTACCTACTTAACTTAACCCCTTAAAAATGTGCATGTAATATCTAAATGTCCTAAATGATTTGCCTTTTTCCTTCTAACAAGTTTAGTTCTGAGAATGTTATGACTGGGTCTTGCCTCTCACAGTTAGACCTGTAAAGCAGCCTTTTTCTATGTAATGTTATCCAACTATCATACCATGTTGTTGCTTGCACGTACCTCCTCTCCTAACTATTTATGCTGAAAAATAGTCTTCATGTCATCATACACAAAAATGTGCATTGTGTTCCCATGTCATGCTCTATTGAATCGTCGTTTACTGTTATATAGTGAGTACATGCTCTTGGGGCATGACAAACGCATATGTAACTGCTTTCTCTTTATGCACTCAAAAATAAAGAATTAAAATAAATAAAAGAGAGTCTATGGGAGCAGTTGCTTTCTATTTGTTTATGTATATTATAATCTTTGCACACTCCGCACTCAACAATTCCGTTCATGGTTGCCCCAGTGCAATCTCTGTCCAACAAATATAATTTCATATAAAGAGAGCATTTGAAAATCTTGTAATTTTTCCCATTGACTTCAAACAGACAAGCATATAGTATGGTCAACATTTCAGTCCCAACACATGGCCTTTTATTCAAGACCAAACTAAAAGAAATCAAGCAAATAAACAGATGAGAAATTGAGATAAGAGTGAATTGCAAGGACAAGTGTGACCTAGAGAAGATCCACATACCACATAATATTATATAAAATAGTCCATACAAACTCCCCATGAAAACACCAAATAACCCCCTGGCAGTAAGGGGTGATACAGAACCTAGAATCTGTAAACCATAAACCATTTTTTTTGTGGTGTACAGAAATTCCAACACCCAGCAAAGGTCAAAAAAGATAAAGTAACAAAAGAAAAGACCTGTTCAGTGCTAGGTATATCTCCAAAGCATAGGGTTACCAAGTGCCCATAATAACACAACATTAAAAAGTATACCCCTATAGCCATTGCCACATAGTGTCTCCTAGCATGTCAAAAAGAAAAACCAAACAAAACAAGTGTATAACAGGAGCAAGAAAGAGCCATACTAGCACTTATCAGAAAAAATGTCAAGGAGTTCTTTTTATTTAACCCTCTTGGTGCAATACAATCCAGTGTGTGGATTTGGGGGGTGGGTGGCATATCAGATGCCTGTATAAAAAATGTTATACTGTAACTCTACCTTTCACCCATTCTTTCCTCACAGGTATTTTGTGCAGAAAATACAATAAATTGGGATCACATCAAATAATTGACACTGTGGCCACACCATGCCCCATCTTTATAAAGCCCTAGGTGGGGCCGAGTCGTTGATTTTAATTTATTTGTAAAATATATATATATATATATATATATATATATATATATATATATATAATATAGGATTTTGTGGAATATATAGATACATACTTACACATACATATATATATAGGATTTTGTGGAATATATAGATACATACTTACACATACATATATATATATAGGGTTTTGTGGAATATATAGATACATAATTACACACATATATATATATATATATATAGTGTGTATATTTATATATCCCTCAATACACAATATCTTCATAATTTGACTGTTTTTCCACTGAAACATTTGAGAGCTGTGCAAGAATTTTTTTTTTTTTTTTTGTGGCATGATGTGACATGTAATTGTTGCTAACAGAGGGAAGTAGACTGTGTGCTTGTCATGGTTGTGTGGCTGAGGCGACTCTTATCTTGTCCTTCTCAGGAAGACGAGGATGCAGTGCAGTTTGCTAATCGAGTGAAGTCGGCAATAGCACGTCAGGGTGGGCTCGTTGATTTGCTATGGTGAGTCTGAGACAAATCCCTCTCCTCTATGGAGCTGTCAATCTGTTTTTACTTTACTTAATGCTTTCTTACATTTTGCAGGGATGGAGGACTGAAAAGAGAAAAAGTTAAAGACGTTTTCAAGGAGGAGCAGCAGAAATTGTACAGTCGCCTCATTGCCGGAAACCATGAAAACCGCAGCCGCTCCTGAGCCATGGGATTGGAAAGCGGGCTCCTGAGCTACATTATCGCTCCATAGCTACAGGAAGGAGACACTGAGCCACAGGAATCTAAGCCATGGAGTGAGGACTGAAGGAACACAAGAACAGGGAATTCAAAGGGACTACTAGATCATCCAGTCTGGATCTTTTTATTTCCACCTATTGTGCAAAAGAACAGTTGTATGACAGGTTTAAAGATGATTTTGGTGATGTCTATTTCTTAATCACGAATTCTTGCTTCTGGTATGGGTGCACTACTTCATATGTGGAGTTGAAAAGAGCCAGGAGATCTGGTGACCATACCAGGTCCATGTCTGTTACATTGAACGTAAAGCTACTATGCCACTTTCGATGTATAAATTACGTCATCTGTGGGATGTTACTGAATTCCATGCCTCAGAAGCTTTGGGCCAACATTAGACCAAAAGGGCTGCACAGATAGGAGAAAGATAGTCTTGAATATGAAACGGCAGTGCCTGGAGCTTGCATTTGGGGACTGGTTTCAAGGAATTAATTTGAAGCAAACAACATGTAGGTCAAAAAACTGCTGTGGCTAAGACACTTCAAAACCAAACCTTGTATGTGGCAGAAACGTCCTTCGCAACTACCCATACAAATTCTCATCCAGTCACACCATCTACTCCCTCTGTTGTCGCTTCTGACTATGAGAGGAAGAAGGCATCTATCGTTAATCATTCGAGCCTAAAAAGGGGATTAATGATGCCACTAGGTTTGAAATCCTTTCTCTTTCTTTATCCATTGAAAAATGTGCCTCCCTTTCTGTCTGTTACACAATGTCCTGCATGAGCCAAGAGCCACCTTCTTTGTTTTGTTTTTATAAGGTCAATAAAATACCTTGCAAAAAGAAAAAAAACCTGCACTTTTATTTGCCTAATTTTTGTTTATTTTTATGCCAGTGTCTTTTAATAATTGCAAAAACATAGTAAAATGGGCTGATTTTTTAGGTACTCTGTGCTTTAACACATGTAAACCTGAATTGCATTGCTTTGTATTATCATTTTGCCAAATGTAAAATGTTAACATTTCCATACAGCTGTTTAGCTGAAATATTTGTGCTTGTTGAGAAATTCCTGATTTGGTTGGCAGGAATTAGGAATGTTAACTGGAGGCTGCATTATTTAACCCATTAATGACCTAAAGAGATTTGAGATGACTACTTGAAGATTGCATTATGCTAAGGGATACAAAGCAATATTACCCATCTCATGCATGTCGAGTCAGTCTTATAAAAGTCATAAGGTACCAACAGACTTGTTTGCTTCTGTTTAAACAATGTTTATTTTTAAGTGTGCACCCCTCCTCCTTAAACACAGAGGGAAAGCAGCTGTATTCATTTTGGTATGCAGCCACCATATGTTTCCAGTGTAAACTGTGAATGTTCTTGAAGGCGCCCACTTACAGTCTTTCAAAACTGTGCTCCTGGACAGTCAGTAACTTTTTTTTTTTTTTAAAAACACTGAGTAACTCTAGGTCAATTTATAAACAATTGCTTCTATAGCAGAAGACAATATGGTTTTAGATAAGATTTCTCTGCTGTCCTTTTTCTGCTTTTTACTTAAAACTTAGAAAAACATTTTACACACGCATCCATGGTATCACAGATTTACTATTAGTGTTTAAATTCCATGCCTTTTTATATAGTGCTTTGCCCTCCGCTGGTTTCCCTGCTAAAACCTCATAGAGTCTCAGGGGGCTGCAGTCTTTCACCATCTTGTTAAATCACTCCCAGTAAATACAATTTATGGATATGTTTGGTTAAGCAGCAAGCAGAAGGTTAATTCTCTCTAATTTTAATTTTGTGACATATGCTTTTAAGTACAGCCTTACATTATCTACAAGAGTGATTACAGCATAATTGCTGGTGTTAACAGTACACACATCTTTCTGAAAACTATCTTATTCAAAATCTTTGAATGATACAGTTGCCTCACTCTGCAAGCTGAAAAAAGCAGGTAATTATGATTTTATTTTTTTACATTTACCTGCTTCTTTTTTCTTATGCTTTCCACACCCACTTTGGGGGGGATACTGATCTAACCAATCAGTGACCTATTCCTAGGAATGCTGGAAATGTGCATTGGGCATTCCTGACAGATTTACACATGTGCAGTTGGAAGATCTCCTCACCTTGCAACATCCTGACAGGGGGAGAAGAGAGGGAGTCAAATTTCATAAGTAATTCATGCAGAACTGGCTCCGGTGTTGGGTTTCCTCTCCTGCTGCTGCACAATGTCCTATTTCTGTCATTATTGGACTGGTTGGAAACTGAGATTGGTAGATTAACATGTAGGGGGCAGCTGAAGAAACTCCCTTAGCTGAGAAGCATGCCCAGCAATGCAATTTGACCAAGTTTATAGTTTAAGTTTAACATTGATTACATGCTTTTTTTTTGTTTTTAACTTTTTCTTGCTCTGTTTTGGTTTGTATATTTGTTTAAAATTGTTTGCTTGCTGGTTTAAAACACAATTGTCAAGTGATGCATGTCCCTTTAAAATTTATGAACTAATTTGGTAATTTTTCTACATGTTTACTTACTGCTATATCATGAGTCTTTGCTTAAATGGGATAAGGTTTATTAAAGAAAGAGATGGATTGTACGCTGTGACAGGGATTTGGGCTTGCTTTTTACCGTACGATTCTGAAACGGGGTATAATTGTAACTGTGAAGAACAGTAATACCTTCAAGGCAGTGTGTTCAGGAGCTAATTCGCTTTTGAATGGCTTAATCGGTTAGATTAAATATATTTCATTAAGCAGATCATTTGGTGTGTAACAGATAGAATCTGCCTTTAGCAGATTTAAAGGTATACACACCACACATCTTACTTTAACCATCATCAACTGTTCCAGATGTTGACATAACTATTATATTTAATCTAACCGATTAAGCCATTCAAAAGCGAATTAGCTCCTGAACACACTGCCTTGAAGGTATTACTGTTCTTCATATCTCCAGACAGGTTTTGGGTGTATCCCTGTCTTAGTTCAGTTCTGAGCAATACACTTCAAGTCAGACTCCCTCATCTCTGTGTGTTGCATTAGGCAGACCAGATCTCATATATAATTGTAACTGTACTTACTAGAATTTGGATGTATTAGATGACTACTGCTCATTACCATATAGCTAATTTTAGTTGTTTGCTTTGTAGTGGGTTATTTGAGATTAATAGCACCTTTCTGGATTACACATAAATGTCATCTGTCACCTATTCCACAAAATCTAGCACTGTCTTGACATATCTTAAATACGTAAGATGTTAATATTTATCTATAGCTGGGTTAGCAGCCATGGGCAATATAAAGGCCACCTTCTGCATTTTTCAGGCTTGCTAACGCCCAGGATAAAATCATGGGTATCTGGCCCTTAGGGCAGTGTTCCTCATCCTTTTCTCCCCAATGCACACCAAAAAATAGGAGTGATAAAGTGCATACATTGAACAGGGTCCCTTTGCCCCACAGAACATGCCACATTCAGTTTTCACATTAAAAATATACCACAGTGGTCTTGGTGAATGGGCACTGATCTCCCAGAGCTGAACCCCAGAAGAGGGGCATTGGCTGACTTTGCTGCTAAGAGTTGCCCATTTATATATGTCTGAATACAATCAATACTCCCGTTATAGGTGCTTTATAATAGTCTATTATTTGCTTTGCTTTAAACAAAAACCCTTGTTCCAGCACATGCTTTGCCAGTTGTACTGCATTTATAAATGTCTGACCTATTTGTTTTAGCGCAGCACAGCTGTATTACCTGCATATTTGATGTGCTTTGACTTGGAGCAAGATATAAATAAAATTTTATATAGATATAGATATAGACACACTTAAAAACATGACAAGCCATATGCCCATTGAAAAATACCGCCAGTAAGTTTGCCCATTAATAAATACCAATTTTATAAATACAAATTTGGAATGTTCATTTTACTAATAAAAAAATAATGAAATACACCCACCCTGACACATTCAGATACTTGCCTACACATCGCCCTCACATATCAACACACCAGCTGAAACAGATAACAAATGTTCCGCATGGCATCTCTCTACTACGCTCAAATATGCCAGTCTGGGAAGGATTGACAGTGAGGGAGCTGTGCTTTCCCTGCACTGCTCTATCACATGTCCGTTTTAACAACAAAAGTGATGTGACTACACACTGCTGTTGGCATTTCTACAATGTAAGGTGTGCAGGCAGAGCTCAGTGATCACAGCAGCAATCACTGGATGCCAGGGTCCACTCTCCTAGGCACAGGTAGGAAGGCTGGGTGAACATCTTCATTGTGTTGTTTCAGCTGTTTAGTATATGGCTCCCTAAAATTGTATCTTTATATATGGCAATCCAACACAAGGATACCAAATTAGGAAGCCATTCACCAGTATCTTCTGTTTTATCTATATAGATGAAGGTGGCCCTCCATCCATTTGCAGACATTTCATCTGGCCCTCATGCAAAAAAACATTGCTGACCAATAATCTATAACTTTGTCAGATATGAGCTGCTGTGGAAATTACACAGTAAAACCCACAGCATTAGGTCTGAGAGTTGCAGGCATGACACAGATTGTTTATTTTGTTAAATGTACAGAACATTACGTTATTCACATTCCTTGGTGATCGGGCTCATCCTAAAGATTACAAGGCAATGCAGAGAGAATGCATTGTGAAGTAGGGAGGGGCAGGCCCATGCTGTGAATGAAAGGGATGTGCCTGAGGCCTTAGAGGCAGGCAAAAGGCTGACAACAGGTGTGAGAGAGGGAGGAGCAGAGACTAAACTATACCTGGGACAGGAAGAAGGGAGATCAATGGACTGACAGGAGGAGGACAGAGGTAAATGCTCATGGGGTTTCCCAGTAACTGGAATAGACTAAATCAGACAGATTAGTGGAAATGCCCACATAGTGACCATTCCTTCAGTACCTGTGTGTTGTCCTGTATGTCATATTTTTTTGGTGAGGGATTTGTATGTCTCTATCCTTCTTGTAGTCCTTGTGTCTGTTCCTGTTTCACTCCTTGTGCTCCCTATCACTCTGCACTGCCCTGGTTACTAATCCTCTCTGCCCAACATGTGTACCCACAGTCTGTGTGTGTGCTATGTAGCCAGACTTCTTTCTCATTCATTGTATCTGCATGGGTTCCATGTCCCATTGTCATTGTATCTCTTTCTGTTTGGACGGTTTGTCTGAATTTGCTATTTATGTTACTTTTCGACTGTGTCTAATTCATGCTGTCATTAGGTTTTTGCCCAGTATTCTCTGTGTATTTCCTTCTGCCTGTAACTTTTATGTCACTTGGTTTTCCAGTGAGTATAGTTTTGTGTGTATTGCATTCTTTGTGTCCTTCGTTGACTGTGATTTGTAGATTTCTGCTTGTGGCTTTAGATCCTGTGTCCCACATTGTGTGTGTGTGTGTCGTCATGTGTGTTCAGATTGCTATGTTCATACTATATGCATTTGTGCATGCCTATTTTATTTCTGTCTTTTAGTGACATTGCCAAATATAATACACGTTGTTCTCTTTTACTAGGTTTATGTGCCATGTATTGACTGACTGTGTCTCTATTACTAAGCAATGGAGGATTTAGGAGTGCTGCTGGTTACTGCAAACATTGGATCTCTCTCAGACCATGTGAGTTAAATTTTGAAAATGTCTGTATATTTTCTAACATCATCCATTCTTCAGGTAGTCCCCCTTTTCTATACCCTGTAGCCTCTCACCCACCCCTCTTTACTGATTTACTCTGGAATTTCCACCTTTAACACAAATTACCCTTCTCCTTTCCCTAAACTGTTTTGCATTCTCCAGCTGCCGGAGACATAGTCAAATAGCAAACATTTGCAGATTTTTTTTTTTTATTATTATGAACAAATGCAAAATCTACCCAGTGTGATCCCTCCCAGTCACACATCAGTTGGGCTTTGCTTCATTAACCATATCCTTTGCACAGGCAGTCCATCCTTTCCTTGAATGAATGAATGAATGCATCTGTATATATTTATCTATCCTGCCCCAGGCGCATCTAGTTAACTTAAAAGCTAAATATTCCCCTGTTAATAAGAACTCGACTGTTAGTAGCACCTCCTTCACATGTTATTCTCTCCCCCACCCCCTGCGTTATCATGGATGGAGATCGGTGTATTGTGTTTTTCTTGCTGTTTGTGACTCTGCATATTGGTAAATGAGGAACAAATGTATGCAATAGTATATATATAGGAAGTTACAAAATTTAGATCAGTGATGGCTAATCTTTTACATTCCAGCCATACAAATGCCGTACCATACAAATACTCTAAACATAGCTATTTAGAGGTTGTATGCAATATAAACAATAGTTGCCCCCTAACAGAAACAAAATTAAGTGATTTGATAGATTATATCCCTTAAAGGGACACTATAGTCACCAGAACAAATACAGCTTAATGTAGTTATTCTGGTGAAATTATTCATTGCCTTCAGGCATTTTCATGCAAACACTGCATTTTCCGAGAAAAGGCAGTGTTCACATTGTCCCCTCGGGACACCTCCAAGTGGCCACTAAAGGTGCTTCCTGGCTCAGTGCTGCACAGTAGGCAGCTCTGCAGTTAAGCATGGGACGCTGAATTTTCCTCATAGAAATACATTGATTCAATCATCTCTATGAGGAGGTGCTGATTGGCCGCCCCCATGGGAAAGCATTGGATTGGCTAAATATCTGCAGTTCTGATGTCACCGCGCACGGCGCTGGAAATAAGGTGAGCTTTTCATGCTTTTAAAAGGGGGTGAGATGGTGGGCTTAGCACTGTTTGCGTTCCTGACCCTATAGTGTTCCTTTAAAACAGGGCTGCCCAATTGGTTGAACCTCAGATGCTGTAGAACTACAACTCCTATGATGCTTTGCATGCCTTAAGAATGCCTCTAGAACGACAAGGCATCATGAGAGTTGTAGTTCTACAATATCTGAGGATCTACCTATTGGGCAGCCCTGCCTTAAGCATATGTTGCAAGAAATGCAAAATTTTGCATCATGGACATCTCTTTTATCAGGGGTTAACCATCACTGCTTTCACAGTTGACAGAGATGGCAGAGAGATGAGCAAAAGCTAGGGAGATGTATAGATGAAGAGGTTAGCACCGCCTATAATAATTTGATCTTTTATCCCCTTAGCTTTTGCTTTTACAAGTAAACTCTTGGACTGCAATTACTATTATTTATGTAGTGCCAACATATTCCATAGCGTTGTACAGTAGTAAACAAGACAAACATTAAATTGTTAAAAAAGCTTGTGTGACATATGTGAACATTAGGTCGAGGACCCTGCCAAATGACTACAGGATTTTCAATAGAAAAAAATAAGGGGATGGAGGGCATTTAATTGAAATAGTATGACCAGATTTACAGACCGCAAACCTTATGTTTTTTGTCCTTGACAAATTCAAACGCAACCTTACACTGGTTTAAAAATATAAGTACAGTGGAACCTCGGAACTTGAACGTTCCCATTCTCAAACAATTCAGAAGTCTAACTAAAATTTCGCGTAAAAAATATCTCCGTACGCGAACGATCCTCGGTACCCAAACACATCACGCAGCATTCACAGAGGGACACAAGTGTGGGAAAGCATGGGATACAAGTGTGAGATGAGGAAATATGGGCAGATGGACTATGTGAAGGAATAGAGGGGAATATAGGGAGCGGAAAACCAGAGGGCAGAGGGACACAAGTAAAGGGTGAAGGGATATGGACAGAATTATTATGCTAGGAGAAAGAGGAGAAGGATACCAGATGACAAAGGGACATGAGTAAATTTTGGGGGTCTGGAATGGATTAAACAAATTTGCATTAATTACTATTGGAAATGTTGATTTGGTTCTCAAACTAATTGGAACTCGAACAGTGTTCTGGAACGGATTTAGTTCGAGTTCCGAGGTTCCACTGTAAATGATTTTCAGCAACTTTAATCACGTAGCAAGACATGAGTGCTACTGATGCTCTTTTCGGGAATATTCACTTAAAGGACCACTCTAGGCACCCAGACCACTTCAGCTTAATGAAATGGTCTGGGTGCCAGGTCCCTCTATGATTAACCCTTTTTTTTTATAAACATAACATTTATAATAGGGTTAATCCAGCCTCCAAATCCTCTAGTGGCTGTCTCATTGACAGCCGCTAGAGGCGCTTGCGACACAAAAACGTCCATAGGAAAGCATTGTAAATGCTTTCCTATGAGACCGGCTGAATGCGCGTGCAGAGATCTCCACGCCCGGTGCTGGAAAAAAGGTAAGTTTTAACCCTTTCCTCTCCCCAGAGCCGGGCGGGAGGGGGACCCTGAGGGTGGGGGCACCCTCAGGGCACTATAGTGCCACGAAAAAGTGTCTGTTTTCCTGGCACTATAGTAGTCCTTTAAGCAGGAGAATTATGAAACAACATCATACATGTGCATTTTATTTTCAAACACAATTTTCCCATTCCTATTATGAAAGATGTCACAGTGATTTGGTTCCCAAAGCTTTTTGATGAGTGTCTAAAAATCTTCTAGCCCATTTAACCTGCACATCAGAACTAGGATTTTAGGTACACAATGGAACCCTATAGTGAATTCTATAAAACATTTATCCTTTACCTGCACCTCAGCAAACATAGTGTACATCATAATGTGCATCAAATGCAAAGGTGGAATGTCAGAAACTGCACTAAAAAATGCACCTACATCTTTTTGCATTTAATAACAAAAAATGGACAATCATATGAGCAAACATTTCACACAGCCCAGGACAGAGTCTTCAAGATATGAAAGTATTTATACTAAAGAGCAACTTCAAATTATAGGTTGAAATAAGGATGTGGGAATTTAAATTTATAAATAGGTTTGATGTCTAAATTCTGAGTTAAATATAAGACAGAGATTCATGGGTGCCTATTTAGCATAAGTGTATTTTAACATGTTTAGCTCTCTATACCAGATACAGAGACCAAACGTGGGTCATGTATGTCCATTCAGAGCTCTTAACCTCTCTTAATTGCCCTCCTTATACAAAACATCTGCAGATACCGACCACCCCGTGTGACATGATTGCAGAGACCATAACAAACTGACTGTTCCACCCTAATGTTCAGTGTGTATTAGTATTTTTATTTTTCCTTTATACTATGTATAAATATGTCTTCACCCAACAAAAAAAGCTTGCAAAATATCCCTCTTTTATTAGCTGATAAAGGAATCACTTATACATTGTTTGTTTGTTTTTTATATTGTATTCACGTTTAGTTATGTGGCTAAAATGGTCCCAATAAAACAATTATTAGAAGTTACCTGCATAGCTCAGTCTGTATTGGGGTAATATAGCAGAGAGAATGGGAGTCTCTCATGAATCCACAGTTGTTTTAAAGCCTAATAATCCACTTCAATGGAGAATTGGCCATATTTGCTTTACTTTGTAATTGCCTGTATTGAGCTCTATATTGTTCCTCTGTTCTCCAGATAGAGGACTGGTCATTGGATATAACTATCCAGCACATCATCAGCAAGATTTAATGCCCTTATTTGTGGACAAAAACGTCTGATGACAAACTTACCAGTATCTGTGTTACTCAATGCATATCACCACTGGTTAAAACACATTGATCTCTAAGATTTATGCTCCTAGAAAGCTTGATCCGATTTATTGCTTCTCAAGCCAAAAGGTGAAAAATTACCAAAATTAAATCTTCACAGTCCTCAACCCTCAAAAAAAAAACATTGCAAGGGAGCTCAGCATTGAGGGGAAAAAACAAGCAACACTCTTTTCAGTTGAAAAAGGTCTCTCACACACACACACACACACACACCACACAGCGATTGTAATCAATCATATGCATAAATATTATAACACATATGGGGATGTACATAAATGCCAAATCTCTCATTTTCAAAATTCTATATGCCGTTTTATGGCATATATTATTCAGATGTTTAATGTATGAACAGCACTGATTATATTCCTGCTATATCTAGTTATAGACAATTGACCTAGCCAAGGGCACTACCAATTAACTTAATTTTATTCAACCACTATATATTGGTGCAGGTATTTTATTTCCATTTCGAATAGGATATCGACAGGCAGCGGCTTCTGTTACATAGTCAATGGGTGTAAGGAGACCAGAAAACAGGGACATTGACACCAATCATTTTTTTATGTTAGAAGTTTTTTTTTTAATTTTCTGTCATTATAATGATAATGTATTATTCTTTTCCAGCAGCCAGGACAACTTCAGCAGGGCTGGATCCAGGAACTGTATAAGGTATTGAAATGAAAACTATCCGTGTACAGGGGCAGCATGCATATAGTTTTTCTGTGTTCTGTTATCTACAACCTTGCATTTTTTTAAATTGATTTTTAGAGTGGGAAAAAGAGAGAGAGAATATAAGATTTAATAGCAGTAACAGCAAATTATTGGGGGAGATCTATCAAAGATGCAGTTTTGCACAGTTTGTTCAGTCTGTTGAGTGTTTTTTTTATTCATTACTAATTTTACTTGCTAACCATAATTTGTGGATGCATGCAATAATACCAATTTATCCATCTTTGCCTCAGTTAATCTTCTCCAGAATTTCTTTTGCTTCAATTCTCTTTTTTCCACTACCCTTCATTGGGCTTTTTTGTTTGTTTTTTTAAATAAATATTTCTGTGAAAAATGGCAGAATATAGCTAAAGAAAACCCCCAACTTTTTAGACTATTTTTATAATTATTTAATCATCACAAATGGATTAGTGGCCAAAAATTTAAATACTTTGATTAAACTCCCCCATTGTATTTTACCTTTTTTTTAAATTTATTTATTTTTTTAGACCATACAGCATCATCGTCCAGCCTTTATTGCTCTTCACCTGCAGGAAGTTGGAGGAAAAAATTACAAAAAAAATATGGATTCAGCTTTACAATTCATCAGGTAAACCACATATTCAATGATACAATAAAACCTGGACATAAATTCACTTTATAATCATATCTATATTCAAGATGCGTGTAAAAATGAACACAATGCAGTTATATTGATTTATTTTCTCTATTTTGGGATATTTTGTTTTAAGTCATGCAGTATACAGTATATACCTTCATAGAGGGTGCAGGTAGCAATAGTCCTGCAAGCAATTTACAAAAGGAAGTAATACAAGATTATGTCATCACTCCTCATAGTGTGTACAACTCACATTGTAACTCTAAACTGGGACTTTCATAATCTTTGAAGAGTTGGTTTTCTTTAATGGAATAACAAGAGCATTTGGACTTAATGTGAGCAGTGCTGTGCCCTATTGCATTTGTATTTTTAAGCAGCCAGTTGTTGCATTTATCTTGTTTTTGTGCAGCATTTGGTCATTGACGTCAGTTCAACTGTAGCTGGATTCTGATTGACTGTAAACGTCATCTGTGCTATACAAACTGATATGCTGCATCCTGTCAAAGTCTGAGTGACATTAGTATCAATCTCTAGCTAATTGTCCCTGTCTGCCAATACACTGCAATAACTGGCTCTAATATGTTGGAATTTTACATTGACAGCTTGCAATGTGCTATTTTTGCAGGGAATTGATGCAGGGCGAAGAGCTGTCAGCATATGACCGGACAATAGCTTTCATAGACAGTGACTTCAGCCAGCCTCACCTTTTCACAGTGAGTATCGGTTATAGACCTCTGCTGTTTTAATTGGCTGATTTTATAGTTTTCACCTTTTACTCAGTCATTGCGCTTATCATGTGGCTATTGATATGATTGGTGCAAGTTTGCAATTCTTGTTTTATTTCATTATTCTGCTCTGCTTTCTTCCTCTCTGGCTGATCTTTCACTGCAAAATCTTTGTCCGTGGCAAGTTTCACTGTCACTCACTGTCTGTGGTATTGCTCTCTCCTTTCATTTGCAGTCTGCAAAATAGAATATTAATAGAGTATAGTAGAGCTTTTCCATATGTACTGCAAGTTTAAACATTAAAACTCTAGGCCAGGGGTGCCCAAAAGGTAGATCCCCAGATGTTTTTAAACTACAGTTTTTATGATGCTTTGCAATTCTAAAGGTATACCAAAGGCATTGAGAGCATCATGTGAGTTGTAGTTCTACAACATCTGGGGATCTGTTTTTTGGGCACCCTTGCTCTAGGCACTTCAAATGGGATGCATATGATAGACTGGTTTAGCACAGATGTTCCCTGAGGCATAAAGGGCTAGGTTTAAAGAAGAAATAAGCAAGATTTAAATATGGAGCAGTCCCTATAAATAGTTGCTTTGGTTTCCATTGTGATTGCTGTATTTTGAGAACTTGGCCCATAATAGCCTTCTTTATAAGTAGCTCTGCTATACTATGTGGAATGCAATAAAATAAACAATGTTTTGTCATAGTGAACAATGGGCATTATGGAGAACCTATTAGATGCATAAGGAAATGGATATAATCCAGAGAATGTGAAATTATCATGTGATTACAATTTTTTATCTCGTGTAGAGAAAAACACTACAAATCTGTGTTATTCTGAGCCATGAATTCCCGTCTTCCAAATTTTATGGCCGTGGACACAATAAAGGGAAACTTGTTTTCCTGACACAATAGCTACCCCCTTCCCCCCCAGGGTGCGGAAGGGGTTAATAACCCCTTCTATCACTTACCTTGGTCCAGTGCCGATTTACCTTGGCGCTGGCTCAGCTCCGCCCATGCTCCTCCCCGCTGTCTGATGTTGGCGGGGGAGACCTAATGCGCATGCTCGGCAGTGGCCGCACTTGCATTAGGATTTCCCCATAGGAAAGCATTATTCAGTGCTTTCCTATGGGGGTTCCGGTGACGCTGAAAGTCCTCACGCATAGCATGAGGATGTCCAGCATCGTATAGGCGACCAAAAGTCACCTATCCACCCGGAAATCCCTCTAGTGGCTGTCTGGTAGAAAGCCACTAGAGGAGGAGCTAACCCTAGCAGGTAATTATTGCAGTTTATAAAAACTGCAATAATTACATGTTAAGGGTAATGGGAGTTTGCACTCAGACCACTTCAATGCGCTGAAGTTGTATGGGTGCCTACAGTGTCCCTTTAATGGATCTGAGTCTACATTCAGGTCTTCAGCTCCTAAGGCCCCATTATTATAATACCATAACTATGAGAATAAAGAGGAGCACTTTAAAATAATGTATTATAAAACAAAACAATATATGGACAAATGTATTGGGACACTTGACCATTACACCAACAGAGACTTTTATGATATCTAATTCTAAATACATAGACCTTAATATGTAGTTGGTCTGCCCTTTGCAGCTCTAACAGCCTCCACTCTTCTTTGAAGGCTTTACACAAGATTTTGGAGTGTTTCTGTGGGAATTTCTGATGTCTGATGAGAAGGCCTGACTCTCTATCTCTGTTCCAGTTCATCCCAAAAGTGTTGGATGAGGTTGAGCTAAGTGCTCTGTGCAGGCCAATAAACATCTGCCACACCAAACTAATCCAACCATGTCCTTTTAGAATTTGCTTTGAGAACTTGGACACAGTCATGCTGGAATACAAAAAAGGCCTTCCCCAAACTGTTCCCACAAAGTTGGAAGCATAGCACTGACAGATTTGATTATAAAAAATGTTATGCAAAATGCCATGACAAATCTGAATTAGTTGAAATTATGACACGACACATAACCCTGTCAATTTCTTAACAATTATTTCTATCAATGTAATATAGTCATATTATAATTTTGCATTGAAAATATTTTCCAAAATGCATGAATTAATTAATACTGTTACTTTTAGGTTTTATATAAATCGCTCAGTATTTAAAAAAAAACAAACTTTATTTTTCATGGTGGTGTGATATATAAAGCGGACATGCAATGTCAGATACACCACAAATTTCTGTTTAGTAGGTACTCGTATAAATCAGACATATTGTAGATATGAGGGAAAAACAAACAGGAAAGTAAACTAACAAGGGAAATGATTGGCGAACCATAATGTATAACTTCCTCACTTGCTCCTAGTTCCTCCAGCCCCCCTCCTCCTCACCGTATCATACTACAGGGTCCCAACATGTGGACTCCCTCTCTGAAGTGGATACAGCCCATTTTTGCTAAAAGGGTAAATTGAGACCTCTGCTTGCTCCGTTGCCATCTGGTTCTCCCACTCCCTACCCAGTCATCCCACCTTTTGGGCGTCCCCTCGGGCACGGATTCATCCTGGGCTTGGAGACTTATCATGGTGCCGAATTAGGCCATCTTTGTGTTAGGCTCTCTAGGTTCCCATGCTCCTGCTTCTCCCTGGCCATATATGCCCCTGACCTCCCTGCATTCCTTAGGGAGGCAAGAAAATTAGCAGGCAGTTTACTTTAAGGGAGGCACACAGTATGGCACCATAATAGACAGAGAAGAAAATAAAATAAACACCATGTTAATCAGAGAAGAAAATAAAAGGTTAGAAAGAGTAAAGCACAAAAAGACAGCCTGTTTCAAGTCAGTGGTATGGAACAACCCAAGTGGAGTTCACAGTGTAGCTTAAGGATCTCTTTGCTGGGCAGGACCATTTATGGGGGGTCTTGGGTTCTCTCCTGGGCAGTTAATCTCTGGCCGGAGACTTTAGCGGTCAGGTCGGCTGTTGTTTCCCGTCGCTCCAGTAAAGGCAGCTTTAGGAGGCTCAGAAATTCAGCTGGATCTTTGTCGGCAGATAACTTCAGCACTGATTCTCCTTAACCCCTTAAGGACACATGACATGTGTGACATGTCATGATTCCCTTTTATTCCAGAAGTTTGGTCCTTAAGGGGTTAAGGTACCACCAAGGTCCCTGATGCTCCCCACCGGGATGTCTGAGCATCCTGGTCATTGGCATGAATCTGCGCCGCTACATCAACACCGCAAAAGGCAGGTCATGGAAGATTTTCACATGGCTATCCCCCACTATGACATTGGGGTGGTTTCTGGAGCGCACCAGGATAGCTGTCTTAACGGAGATATCTCGTGTGACCGCCAAGACATCCCTTGGTGCGTCTGCCGGGGCGGTGGGAGCTTTCTGGATTCTAAATGCTGACCGTATTGGCAGTGCCTCATTGTTGCCTTTCACCCCTAATGCCCCTGCTACCTTATTAGCATAGCTAAGTAGCTAAGCAGGGTCTCTGGGCCCACAGTCTCCGGTGCACACCGTATCCTCCAATTTCTCCTGCGGTGCCTCGCCTCCAGTGATGCCACTGTGTGCGTGAGTCGCTGGACCTGTTCTGTTATTGTGTCCATTTGGGATCGGGCTTCCACCAGTCAGCTCTCCCGTTCCCCTTCACGGGATTCCACTTCGCCTATGCGGCAGTTTAGGCCACTGATTTCCGTTTGAACCCCAGTTAGGTCGGCCTTCCACACTGCACGGAGATCGAGTAATAGCCTCTTGATGCCCCCTTTAGTGGACAGAGAGCTGTCTGTGTCGGAATCCATTTGCTGATGTATTCTGCTGGGCCCCTGTGAGTTTGCTGAGCTTTTCTCGCCTTCTGAGTTGTCTGATTCACTTGAGACTCGTTTTCTCCTAGGTGCCATCTTAGGCAAGGCCTGTGGTTGCGACCTATCGAAGGATGTACGGATATCACGCTGAAGGGAGCTCTTCAGGAGGGCTGTTCTTTTTCAGGTTGTAGTTTGTCACTGGTGAGTGCACTAAATTTGTGGCAAAACGGCTTATTATGATCCTATGGTTCCAGAGCTCCTCTCAGACACGTCTGGTCCGTTACTCAGCTAGCCACACCCCATCGCTCAGTATTTTAAAGGCTGACATTCAGTTCCATTATGATATGGTGTTTCTTTCCCTTCGATGTTTTTCTCTCCATTGAACTGTCCAGTGGCATATATTGAATTCATCTCTGTCTTACCTTCATTGGGTCAATTAAATGTTAAGCAGCAGTTAAGCCATGAAGTTGTTTTTTTAGAGGGGGAGGGGAAGGGGGTCTACATTTTTATTTATTTATTTTTTTACATTCTCACTTTTGCAGTTTAAAATGTCATGTTTTTTTTTTTTTTAATCAGTAACTTTTTCTTTTAAATCAGTTACACTTTTTATTCCAGGTGAATATATCTAAATAAAACATTGCCTACTGTCTTCTGAATGAGAGGTTTCTTACTTTTGATTACCTTTACTAGACTGACATTTTTCTATAAAAAGTTCTTCACAGCTTATTTAATCCAGGCCAGTAGACACACTCTTGGTGCTTAGACCATACATTTTTCTGTAATTATAAATGAAGATGTGAGCCTTTTTTTTGTTATCCCTTGTCTGTTCGAAACCATCCCTGTAATATACCTTATTTCATTATTTGTATTGCATTTGTCTATATCTGTGAATGTCTGTATTGATTTTATCAACTCATTTAATGAGACAGATGTTCCGCCAGTATGTTTGTCAGTAAGCCTCACTGAGGGCATCACTTGAACATTCTGAAGTCTTAGCAACAGATAATGCAGCCTCATTTGGCAACAAGGTTTGTGATCTGTGTGTAAGTTTACTATTTGACCATGTATTTGGTTAAAGTGAATCTATCGTGACTGGTTCTCTTAAACTGCTAATGACCCATACGCAATGAATTTATTATTTACTTTAGTGATAGATTATGTATATACATTTTTTCTGAATTATTAAACAACTAATTGATCCACTCCAATACTATATAGCTAGCATGCCAACTTCATTGGTGTTACAGTAATACAACATCTACTTCCGTCCCACTCTCCTGAGGTCTCTTTTCCAAGCAGTGTGTACCTCCCTAATTATGACAACTCATCAGCTATGGTGACAGTGTCTGTTCCTTTATTACTCTAACTTAATGTAATACATCCTAGCTAAAGGACAATCACAGTGCATGTACTGTAGTGGCTGTTACAAAGCAGGAGAACCTTCTTTAATGATTATGCAGAGATTTGATTGACATGTGACAGGAGGGACTCTTTATTTATATAGATTTTTATGAAAACCGTTATATATGCTAGCAGATCTGTATGCACAGTTTCTAGATTATATTTTATAAATCTGCATTTAAACCAAACTGGTACCATAACAGGTATATTTTAGATTTTCAGTTTGGGCATAATCACCTTCTTTTGATGGGTATATTCAAATGGAATGTCATCTTGTAAGTGGAATGGCATAATGTCCCTAACTCCCTATGCATTCTCACATTGTAAAGTGGATTCCTTTTCTGGATTATAACAATGTTTGGCTATAATTTGTTCTTGTCCCCCTGCAGATATTCAGTGCTTCTTGTATTTCACAGCTCATTTCGGTTTGTTTAATATTATTGTATCATACTGATAAGCATATTTGTAGTAATAGGTATGCAAATAAAATATACTTCTAAAATGCTGCATTTCCCAGTATTGAATACTGTTTGCATATATTACAGAAACTAAACCGTGTTGAGCCTTGATATGTTTATACAAATTTCAGGATAGCTAAACTGGAAAGCCAGCTTCCGGAGCTTAATGCAAGCTGTAGTTCAAGAAAAGCTCTATTACTAAATGATATTCAACTTTCATGTGGGAGATTCTAGCTATTTTTACAGTTTATGTCCCCCATGAATGCATAGCCATTTATCACCTTCGAGTTATTGTTACCCCTCAGCAGATCCTTATGTATGGAAAATATTTTCCCTTGTCTATCCCTGTTAGTGTGCTGCTATTGCTTGTAGTGGTACTTTGTATTATAGGACCATGGACCATTAGATGACTGTGGGCTTTTTATAGGATCATATCATCTATTTATCTCCCCAGTACCAAACTGCATGTTATGTACATATCACGATGCCACAGGTATAGTCACAGTGTTTAGACTGCAGTGACTGGAGTAATCCAGTAACAACTCTGTTTGACCAGAAGAGGGCAGACTTTCCTTTTTTATTTTTATACCTTATACTTACATGCAGGGCTGTGTGTTTTTTATTTTTTATTTTAGCAACTCTCTTTTCGTGTAAAATAGTTTCTTTAGATTCTTGGAATAGTGAACTATTTTAGCACAGTTTTGTTTTTGTTGTTTTTTTCTGTATTTTCTTTCAGTGCTTTCAGAAGAACAAAAACTAATAGAGCAAGTCCATGTAAATCATGAGTAGCCCAGTGAGTTATAAGTTGAGATATGTAATCCAGGAAAGATAAAATAAAAATAAAATGCTGACTTTTTTCCTGCAGTGGTAATAGTGCAACTTATGTATTGATTTGCCTTAATCATGCTGCTGGTCTCAAGAACTATGAATACTAGACTAGAGCAGTACGATTCACATCTGATTGGCCACAACATTAAAACCGCTGACGGGTGAAGTGAATAACAGTGATTATATTGTTACAACTGCATCTGTCAAGGGGTGGGATATATTGTACAGCAACAAACAGTCAGCTCTTGAATTTCATGTGTTGAAAGCAGGAGAAATGGGCAAGCCAAAACATTGAGATACTTTGACAAGGGCCAAATAGATCTGATGGCTAGATAACTGGGTTAGAGCATCTCCAAAACAGCAAGTCGTGTGAAGTCTTCCCGATATGCAGTGGTTATTACCTACCAAAAGTGGTGAAAGGAATGCCAACCGGTGAACCGGCATCAGGGTCATGGGCACCCAGTTCTTACTGATTCACACAGAGAGCAAAGGCTAGCGTGTCTGGTCCGATCACACAGAAGAGCTACTGTAGTTCACATTGCTGAAAAACCTAATGCTGGCCATGATAGAAAGGTGTCACAACAGACAGTGCATTCCAGTTTGCTGTGTATGGGCCGCGTCAATCTGCTTGAGCATCTGTGGCATGTGTGGAACAACAATTCTGATCCATAGAGGCCCCACCTCGCAACTTGCAGAACTAAAAGGATCTACACAAATTTAGGCAGATGGTTTTTATATTGTGACTGATCACTGTACACGTAGACAATAGTGCTATTGCACTATTTATAGTATCTTTGGTCAGTAAAACAAGGCTATTTAAGTTTACGGATCCTGACATTCATAGTGACCAGCTTTTCTCTTGGCCGGGTTGTTATATTTTTCCAGCTGGGTACCTGATGAGTGGTAGGAACATATGTGTTGATGGCTTGGATCTTGTTTTTGCAAATGTTAAGAACAAGATATATATTTTACTGTCATTGCTGATATTTGCATCCTGCCCTGATTGCAGGTAATGCCTGACCGGTATCTGTGAATCTAGCAGAACAGCTGATACCCTTTGATCTTAGGTACTTCCATATGGCATTATATCTGTATTTGTTTGCTTTAGTGTTTATATATGCTGATATATATTGTATTTATCTATTATTTGTTCTGATAAAAATATATTTATGGTCTTGCCATAGAACCTCTGCCTTTTCTGCATTCTCAATCTGGTGAATTCTCAGGCATTCCCTTAGCCATTCATCTTTGGGAGCCCCATTCGTGATGTACTTGTGGATGCTCTGTGTTTCATCCAGGATTGTGGCCTTGGCACTCATCAGTCTCCAACCTTCTTCCTTCCAGCTGGTGTACAGTGTCTGAGACACAAACCTCTCCATGGTGTGTACCACCAGCAGGTAATGGATGTGGCCCACATGACAAAATCCTACCAGTGGTTGGAAAAGGCAGGTCTGAAAGACAGCACTGAGGCATTAATCCTAGCAGCACAGTGTGACGGAGCTCCTGTACTCTGACTGAGTACCTCTGTCCAGTTAGCTGCCTAGTCACTTGCCAGGACCTGGAGCACTTCAACCTCATTAGCCAAGGCTTGACTTGGGTCTCTCTGGAGCTTTTCCACCCATCCAGGCTGCAGCTCTCCTTCCAGACACATATCATCCCCTCTGCCTATTCCTCTGCAGCCCTTCTTCCAGGCTGGTATTGTTCCCTATGCCTATGTAGCTTTCCTTCCAGGCAGATATTCACCTCTGCCTGCAATGTGATAGCTCCTGTGTTTATAAAGACACTTGTGTCTCTCATGCCTAGCTGTCTTTGATTTGTCCCAGGCTAGAGGGATTGTGCAGCCAGCCAATGGGTATTTTTTTTGTTATTATTATTATTATTATTATTATTATTATTATTGCCATTTATATAGCGCCAACAGATTCCGTAGCGCTTTACAATATTATGAGAGGGGATTTAACTATAAATAGGACAATTACAAATAAACTTACAGGAACAATAGGTTGAAGAGGACCCTGCTCAATCGAGCTTACATTCTATAGGAGGTGGGGTGTAAAACACATTAGGACAGGAATTTGCAATCAAATAAGGTGGGCTGCCCTTTAGGAGAGGGCAAGAGACGGGTATGTGAGGTAGGGGTTAGTCTTGGAGGCCATAAGCTTTCCTAAAGAGATGGGTTTTAAGGCACTTCTTAAAAGATGCAAGACTAGGGGAGAGTCTGATGGCGGTAGGCAGGCTATTCCATAGGAAGGGAGCCACCTGCGAGAAGTCCTGCAAGCGTGAGTTGGCCGTACGGGTGCGGACAACGGACAGGAGGTGGTCACGGGCAGAGCGGAGAGACCGAGAAGGGACATACCTGTGGATCTGTGAGGAGATATAAGAGGGGCTAGAGTTGTTCAGTGCAACAACTCTGTTACTGGGATCCCTAAAAATCCACACAGGACATATAGTTCCAAAAGAACTAACATACACAGCTTTATTTTTTATTCGGCACTAGCTCATATGCTCATTACATGTAATTTATGATGACAACTTAATAAAAATTACAAACAATTAAATCACATTAGACCACATATAGGAACTTATATTAACATAATTACATATTTATAAATTGGTGGGGAAGACTGTTTTTAACACAAAATAACACTCCTGCCTGCAGAATTTGCAATATGCAAATATATCTGAATATGCAAATTAACAAGATTTGCTATTCAGGTAGTGCATATAGCCATTGGTGGCCAGCTGATTTATTCTCTAAGTCTGGCATATTAAGGTATGTGAATTCTCCTACAATATATAAATTTCCCTATGTCCAATATAATTACTTTAGTTATCCATAAATATATTATTTATTCTATTAGGCTAGAGATTCAATCTTGGAATCCAGATTACTCTCGAAGTTTCATTAATCCCCTCTAACAGGTACATTAATAACCCTAGCTACTAGTACTATTTCTGTATTGTATGTCATTAGTCTAGGTTTATTCTAGCATTATATACACAGGTCATGTATACATTTCATTTTAAACAAAATGCAATTCATCGATCAGCCTCCTTACCCTAGGTTCTAATAACTCTAATGACTTGTTCAATTCTTCCTGACTCCCTACGTTATAGTTAGTCAAGGTTACGATCTTTACTTTGTTATAGGCTATAATGCAACACAAGTCGAACAAAGAGAAACAAAGGACAATTGGCCTATTGTTTTCCTTTGGAATAATTTCAATGCTGGTTCTTGTGCTTTTAGTTCTTGCAGACTGTTACATGTTTGTTCTGTGTGTTTCAGAGCACCTTCCAAAACCATCTGCCCCAATAAAATGTACCCTAAACAGTATTTATCTTCCGTTAAAATTGATGCTTTGTCGCAACTACTGTCTAACAGCCCATCCTCACACTTAAGAGTTCCTAATCTCAGGGTTTTTCATTTGGTTTTCGCACAGGTGTACTTTCCTTACCCACAGGCATATTGGAATGTAATAATTTGCAGTTCGCTTTGAGAGATCCTGTTGCAGTCAACTCCCTCATAAAAACAGAATAAGAACAAAGATAGGCCGATTTATTGTTCCCCCATCCTCTGTGGCGTACTAACCCAATATAGATGGCTATGGAAAAAAACTCAAATAAAAAACGATTAGTAATTGACTTATCAGCCCCCCACTCTATAGCAATGATTAGCCTAAACTCATTAATCCCGTTTGAAAAATTCTTACTACAGTACACTGCAATAGACAATGCCATACAAGCTATAATTTCAGCTGGAAATGGTGCATGGTTAAGCAAGACAATATTGCACATACATTCAAACTCCCCCCTATTCACCCCACACTATGGCATCTACATGGTATCAAGTGGGAAAACCACTACTATTTCTTTACTAGGGTCACTTCCAGATCAGTAGTCCCAGGTTTTTTGTTATGTTCGCTGAGACACTTTGCTGGTTGCTACTTAATTCATGTAGATGTTCTACAGTCATTCGTTATTTGACTGACTTTTTTTTACAGTAGGGAACAATTCTAAACCCCCAAGTAGTTTAAAAGACGCCATTTAATTATTCAAAAACCTAGGTGTTCCAATCTCCAACGATAAAACTGAAGGTAATGGCACTAAAGTAATTTTTCTAGGGATTCAGCTGGACTCAGTAGCCATGGAAGCCAGCCTCCCTAAAGAGAGCATTTGTCGCACCCTTGATAACATCGTACATTTGTATCCAATGAGATTCATGTAATCGTAAAAAACTCCTATCTCTGATAGACTTACTTAACTTTGCCATGAGGATAATCACTCAAGGCCGGTCCTTTATTTACTGGCTGCTCTGTTTATTAATTGATCTACCCAACAAGGATAGTCTAGTTGTCATAGATAACCTATGGCAGACCTTACTATGTGGCTGGAGTTTTCTATGCGATGCAGATAACTCCGCTACATACTCACTGGCTTTGCAGCAATCTACAATATTGACTGGTTATGCGGCACTTAGCCAACAGAGGGTAAAGATCTCGATGCCTTTAAAGACACATTAGCTCTTTTCGAGATATACCCTATAGTAGCCACAGCGTGAACCTGGGGCCACCTATGGTCTGTTCAGACTGTTAAATACTTGTCTGACAATCAAGCTATATGTTTTATTGTAAATAAAAGGCGGTCACAATTCTTGACCATTATGAAATTTATCAGGAAATTGTGTGCATGGTCTCTTTCAGGCCTTTATTCAAGCACACCAACCAGCCTCACGACATGCAACAGAAACCACAAACTTTCACCAATTAATCATGGATTAAATAGCCTATTTAATCATAGCAAACATCTAGCACAAGCAGCACTTACAGCAAATACTATTCAGTCATATAACAGGGCAGAACATTTTGTAAACATTTTTCAGTTAAGTTTTATAAATCCATGCATATGCTCAATGCAATCTTTGGTAACCTTAGGTTAAAACTTTCACCCAACATAATAAAAATATACCTTACTGGGATACAACATCACATGCTGACCTCATACCCTAATAAACATACTTTCATGTCATCATATCTAATTAAAACCATACTAAAAGGTATTCAGAAAACTAGTAACGGTAACTTCAAACACGTAAGTGACTCCCTATGAACAGTGATATATTGAGACCATTATCTGATTTACTTGACTCCTCTCTGTTTGAGTCTCATACTAACCTAGTAATTAAGAGTGCCATATACTTGGGTTTCTATGGATTCATGAGACCCAGAGAATTTACTAGAGAAAGCTCAACTAAAACAGAGCAGTATTTAAAAGTTGGCCATTTAATAAAACATTCAGACCATTATAAAATTTGACTGCTCCATAAGAAAACCAGCCAAATGGGTCAAATTACTGAAATACCAGTTTACCCTACACTTAATAGGTTTTGAGACTATTACTTGTCTGCAATTTACTCTTCCCCTAACTAACCATTGTTATCACTTCACCACTCTAATCTAATGATGGCAAAATTAATGCTGTATATAAAGAATATTTCTGATTAGATTAGGCCTGAATCCTATGCTGTATTCAAGACACTCATTCCGGATAGGGACAGCATCCACTGCTTCTAGTAAAAACATAACAGTCCATGTTATTAAGAAATTGTGGTTCTGGAAATCTTCAGCATACTTTACCTATATTTAGTCATGGTCCTTTGTTGTATCTGGCTGATTTTAATAAATGACGTATTTTGTATTCAATTTTCACCCTCTTTATTTTACAGGACTACCAGTATTTCTGTTTTTGGCATACCTCAACTCACTTGCGTATATTCCCTGTGTTCCGTTTATTTCTTACAACCTTTTGTGTCCCGACCACAAATATTAAGGCGGGAGCCTAGAGTTGTGGGATGGACTTTTTTTGGCTATTTAAAGTACTCTCGACCTCTAACCAGTAACCATATCTTGATTGGCGCCTCATATATGCCACCCAATTTTTGGAAAACTTTTTTGAACAAATTCCTTAGTTCAGAAAATGCAGTTTTAATTTGCAGTTGTATTTTCTGTTCTATTCGTGAACTAAGATTGCATTGAAGACTTGACATGTCGTTCTATGGCAGGCAGTCAGTACACCTCGTAGATATTGTTTCATTAAACAGTTAATAGTGTGACTTTATGTTAAAATCATGATTTTGATGCTCACAGAGGGCATGTGATTTTGCAGGGTTTACTATGAAATTCCCACATCTTCACTTACTCTTTCAAGGTTCTTTACTAAAGTGAGCATTTCAAACTTAAGGTCAAAGACTCCGACCTGGAAACATAGCTGTCATAGTTTCCAGTTGGGCTGTTTTTGCCTTGAATTTAAATTTAAAATTCTCTTTGAATTTTCACGTTAGTGAATAACCTTGTTTGAGTGTGAAGTAACAGATTGCATTATTAAACTAAAATAAATACAGCAAGGGAGACTCAGAATACAAAGTCTAGAGGACAGAGGTAAGGAATACAGAAAGGATAGGACAGAAGAAAGGAACACTTGAATAAGCAGGGAAATTCTGGAAATATCTAAACAATCGGGCAAGAAGTAAAAAACAAAACATAAAAATACTGTAAAAATGAGGCTTTATTTTACTGGATTGTAGATAATGCTTTAAAAATAATGTGAAAATAAATACAAAATTTATTAAATACTCGCTACTGCCTTTCCAGGAAGATAATTTTTTCGATCAAGAGTAGCTCATTCTGGTGTATAGGGTTCATTCTTATCTCATAAACCAATAGAAGCCACACATCCCGGCTTACTGGAAAGTGCTATTATTATATTGGTTGACCTTTGTAAGTGCATATACATAAATGCACACTAAGACCCAAGAACAGTGACTTGTGCCCATAGATAGCCTTAGCTACAGGATTAAATCTTAAATAGCAAGTTACACCTGCTAGACTAGGTACTGACAGTCTCACCCACAAGGCAATGTCCACACGTAGAGATGCCCATAGAGCAATATAATATAGGGTTATATACCATTGTAGGGTTGTATATAAACATTCAGTGATACATGAACTCTGACAGACACACCCGCTGGTTAACATGCACACATACACACTGACAGGGTTCTACAAATCAACAGACACAAAACTGGGAAAGCAGTTAGGGCCACATGCACACTGATAGACAAAACCAATAAGTCCTACGTACACAGACATTAACACCCAGAGACCTTATGCACATTTACTTACAAACTTCCCTGACTGTACATAGTACAATACAATCCAGGGTGTACACACACCGACACACTAAGTTTGTACACTCTTTAACATATCGACAAGAACACGTATACACTCACCAGGCCCTGTTTTGTATAGTAGGCACACAAAAAAATGGACATGCTGAAATGCACACACTGGTACAGTTGATGCTGCTGTATATGTTCATTCAAATACACACACTGGTACTGCACACACTAATATTCACCAACAGAGCATTGCGCATTGAAACTTTGTGAGGCCCTTAAGTTAGAAAAGCTATGCAGTGTGTGAAAAAAAGCGGGGGTCACATTTATCTCTCCCTCCTCTCTCAGGAAAGTTAATAAATTTAGCTCTAGATTAAAAGTATTGATTCTGTCAGTGAGGTGATAAATACAGGGAGGGAGGGGAACAGAGGGGTTGTGAGTGAGCATGGAGGGTGTGTGTAAAATGTATATTGTGTGCGTCTATCAGGGAGATGAGGTGTGCGAGGGAAATGTATGGATATTTTATGTATGTTATGCCAATGATGTATGCACAGTGTTAACCCGTCGTAGGTACATTATTAGAAATGTCGGTGTATGATGCAGTGGTTTGTGTGGATATTTTTGTTTGCATTTATTGCAGCAGTTAAGAACAATATACCTAGGCGTTTAATGATAATTTCAAATATTTTTTTAATGCTTTACTTGCTATTTTAAAGCTTAACGGATTGTATTATAACATTTATAGTAATGGATATGTTTTGTAATATTTTTATTTGTTGCGAAAAATGTTGGTCTTCTAACTAATAATAATACAACATTTATTTAAGTGTTCACCTCGACATCTTTCATTCTGATGCACTCTCACATAGTTATTTACTATAGTGATAGATCAAATTAAATTTCAAATTTAATGGCAAAGTAGCTGAACTGACAGAATAGCTCACTCTGAGAATGTTTCCAGTATGTCTATTTTGGCCTTAAACCTAATTTAGAAATTTCACTTTGGTGAATAATCCTGTCACTCATGCCATGTTCCACCATTCACATTGAATTTCACCCTTTGCAATCTATCACAATGCTGCACTCTACTTTTTTTTTAAAATCATTTTCCCCATGCGGCACCCCACCCCACCACTTGACAATATTTGCAATACAGTGTTATTTATCTGACCATCTTTCACCATCCTACAATCTCCATTTTGCCATATTTTGGCACACTGATCTCTTGCCATTTTTAAGATTCTGTGCTCCTTGTCAGTCCTGTCGTTTTCCACTCTGCTGTTTGCTTTAACCATCTTTTGTCCAACTATCCCTTTGGTCAACTTTAACCAATTTGTACCCTCCCTATTTCTGTTTTAGCTGTGCAGAAATACCCCTGTTGCAGTCTTCATGCTCTGCACTGTCCTACATACACAGTAACATAGAATGTGATGGCAGATAAGAACCATTCGGCCCATCTAGTCTGCCCAATTTTCTAAATACTTTCATTAGTCCCTAGCCTGATCTTATAGTTAGGATAGCCTTATGCCTATCCCACGCATGCTTAAACTCCTTTACTGTGTTAACCTCTACCACTTCAGCTGGAAGGCTATTCCATGCATCCACTACCCTCTCAGTAAAGTAATACTTCCTGATATTATTTTTAAACCTTTGCCCCTCTTATTTAAGACTATGTCCTCTTGTTGTGGTAGTTTTTTCTTTTAAATCGAATCATCCTTTCCATTCCAAGTTATCACTTTTTCCATAAATTGCCATCTTGTGCTTCCTTGTCTCCATCTTGTAGCATCCTGTGCTCTCTAACTTGACATGTTACTCTCCCTCTTTTTCTGTGCTTTTACCCTCCTATTTGTCTTAAATTGTAAGCTCATTTGAGCAGGACCTTCTTTGCCTCTGTCTGTCGGTTACGTGTTAAATAATCCCATTGTATAATTCTAAAGTGCTGCAGGAGATGTTGACATTATAAAAATGCTAATATTAATATGCCATCCAGCACTCTTACCCTTTATAATTTTGCGATTGTCACCCATCTTGCTGTGCTTCACTCTTTCCATTGTTACACTTTCACTCCTGACTTCATTAACTGTTAAGGCCACCTTCTTGCAATAGTTCATAATTCAGCACTTCTATATATCTTTCAGCTTTCATTCTTAATCTAGCCACCTTTCTTAATTTAGAGCTTAGTCTGTATATATTTCAGCGATTTACACTCTTTTTCCAACTATCAGCATTCGGCTCCCTTTCTCTTGAAATCCTTTAAATGCCACAATCTCTTACTACTCACTCTCGTATCCCATGTTGCTTTCTAAATCTCTGATTTGGCTGTTCCTACTCACACCTAACCTCTCTTCCTAGCATACTTTCTGCATCTCCATTTGTGTGTCTCTGTGTCTTTGCTCTCTTGTATTAGCTCTATTTTACTTTCCCCAATTTTACTTCCCCATTTCTTCTGTCTCTTTGTCCAGTCTGCTCTCTCTCTTACCATGCAACTGTTTTTTCCTCTCTCCTTCACCAGGCTGCGCTCTCCCCAGGCTCCTCTGTCTTTCTCTCATGAACGCCTGGTTATTAACGCTATTTTGATAGGTAATTATTTGGTACTCTATATTTCTGCGATGCTCTCGTGCGCGACTCTGATTTATTAACATGTCTGTGTGTCTGAAATCTCCCTTCTGTAGCACATCACTCCTTTAACCTGTCCAGTGCTTATAGACCCGCAGTGTTTATTAACCCCTTGCATGCCAGAACATCAATATTCCTGTACGGTTTGACCGAACTTTGAGTATTACTAATTTTATATTACACCACACTCAAAGGGAATTATAGTTTTGTTTACTTTTTTGTTTTTGTTTTTTATTAATCGTCAGTTCTTCCAGAGCATATGATATCTTCTTTTAAACCCTTTTCAGGCCTTTTTATGGAAATATCTTTATTAATACTAGTTTACTGATGTTTAATTCTTATCCATATCAGATTTCTATATCGCATACAATCTTTTCCAAATATTTTCGTGATCTACCTTTTTGACTGTTCTCTGTTATACATTATTTAGTCTCATCTTATCAGTATGAGGTTAAGTTGGAGTTTTATGAGGTTACTAAAAAAAGAGGCCATCACTTACTCCATTTTTTTAGACCAATTTGTTGGCTCTTTATCCCAAAGAGATAACAGATTTTTTTGTGTCTATGTCTATCCTTTTTCTAAGTGCTTATAATATAAATAAAATATTAATATTAATAAAATTACAATAAACTTATGAAAAGTTGTAGAATCTTAGGCTAGCCTCTCAGGAATGCTCATTGGTTCTTAATAAAAAGAATTCAATCTGTCCCATATTGTGTATAAAACAAAAAGTACTGGATCAAGTAAAATTTATATTTTCGCCCTGAAAAGATTTGACTCTTTGGGACAAGCAGTTCTTTCCTTAAATTCTCATTTTGTTTCTTTCCCTCATTCCCTCCCTTCCTGTCTCTGTGGTATCACTCTCTGACATAGCTCCAGACAGCTGTTAAACGACTTAATCTCTTAAAAATAGTTTTAATTTTCTGCCTCTTATTGATCGCCATCACCCAATTAATCAGCCGAGTGGAGCTGTTAGGGGGGAGGGCCCAACATGCCCCTAGGACCAACTTGGGAAGGGGGGGAGACTACCATCTCTGCACTCATCTACCAAAAAGACTGATAGCATCTACTGGTGCATGTCTTATTAACCCCTTTTTCACAGAATTGTTTATAGGTATTACCCCTCACCCTCCCCTCTCCCCTGCAGTTCTAGAAAATTGCTAAATGTTTTACTTTTAACCCATTCTTTCATTTTTCTCTACAGGCTCTTGGCTCTGTTTATTTTATACATCACTCTGTTTGCAAGATCCATATCTATGATTTTCAAGGTAAGATGCTGGCAGTGACATAGCTTTTGAACAGATTATGTGAGATGGTGCTGACAGTCCTACTCTTTTTGTGTGAGATGGTGCTGACAGTCCTACTCTCTGTTTTGTGTGAGATGGTGCTGACAGTGCTACTCTTTGTTTTGTGTGAGATGGTGCTGACTGTGCTACTCTTTGTTTTGTGTGAGATGGTGCTGACAGTCCTACTCTCTGTTTTATGTGAGATGGTGCTGACAGTCCTACTCTTTGTTTTGTGTGAAATAGTGCTGACAGTCCTACTCTTTGTTTTGTGTGAGATGGTACTGACAGTCCTACTCTCTGTTTTGTGTGAGATGGTACTGACAGTCCTACTCTCTGTTTTGTGTGAGATGGTACTGACAGTCCTACTCTCTGTTTTGTATGAGATGGTGCTGACAGTCCTACTCTGTTTTGTGTGAGATGATGCTGACAATGCTACTCTTTGTTTTGTGTGAGATGGTGCTGACAGTCCTACTCTCTGTTTTGTGTGAGATGGTGCTGACAGTGCTACTCTTTGTTTTATATGAGATGGTGCTGACAGTCCTACTCTGTTTTATGTGAGATGGTGCTGACAGTCCTACTCTTTGTTTTATGTGAGATGGTGCTGACAGTCCTACTCTTTGTTTTGTGTAAAATGGTGCTGACAGTCCTACTCTTTGTTTTGTGTGAGATGGTGCTGACAGCCCTACTCTCTGTTTTGTGTGAGATGGTGCTGACAGTCCTACTCTCTGTTTTGTGTGAGATGGTGCTGACTGTGCTACTCTTTGTTTTGTGTGAGATGGTGCTGACAGTCCTCTTTGTTTTGTGTGAAATAGTGCTGACAGTCCTACTCTTTGTTTTGTGTGAGATGGTGCTGACAGTCCTACTCTCTGTTTTGTGTGAGATGGTGCTGACAGTGCTACTCTTTGTTTTGTGTGAGATGGTGCTGACAGTCCTACTCTTTGCTTTGTGTGAAATGGTGCTGACATTCCTACTCTTTGTTTTGTGTGAGATGGTGCTGACAGTCCTACTCTCTGTTTTGTGTGAGATGGTGCTGACAGTCCTACTCTCTGTTTTGTGTGAGATGGTGCTGACTGTGCTACTCTCTGTTTTGTGTTAGATGGTGCTGACAGTCCTACTCTCTGTTTTGTGTTAGATGGTGCTGACAGTCCTACTCTCTGTTTTGTGTGAGATGGTGCTGACAGTCCTACTCTCTGTTTTATATGAGATGGTGCTCACAGTCCCACTCTTTGTTTTATATGAGATGGTGCTGACAGTCCTACTCTCTGTTTTGTGTGAAATGGTGCTGACAGTCCTACTCTCTGTTTTGTGTGAGATGGTGCTGACAGTCCTACTCTCTGTTTTGTGTGAGATGGTGCTGACAGTCCTACTCTCTGTTTTGTGTTAGATGGTGCTGACAGTCCTACTCTCTGTTTTGTGTGAGATGGTGCTGACAGTCCTACTCTCTGTTTTATATGAGATGGTGCTCACAGTCCCACTCTTTGTTTTATATGAGATGGTGCTGACAGTCCTACTCTCTGTTTTGTGTGAAATGGTGCTGACAGTCCTACTCTCTGTTTTGTGTGAGATGGTGCTGACAGTCCTACTCTCTGTTTTATATGAGATGGTGCTGACAGTCCCACTCTTTGTTTTATATGAGATGGTGCTGACAGTCCTACTCTCTGTTTTGTGTGAAATGGTGCTGACAGTCCTACTCTTTGTTTTGTGTGAAATGGTGCTGACAGTCCTACTCTTTGTTTTATGTGAGATGGTACTGACAGTCCTACTGTGTTTAATGTGAGATGGTGCTGACAGTTATACTCTTTGTTTTGTGGACGATGGTGCTGGCAGTCCTGTATTCTTTATTAAATCAAAGCTGGTGTGAATGTTTTTTTGCTGTGTGTATGGTAGAGACTAACATTCTTCCTGTAAGCTGTGTGTCCTAGAGTAAGTATAGCATTTCTGTTTATATTGGATGTTATATGGGATGTTGTATTGTTGCCATTTCCACTTGTTGTTAAAGGGTGATTAACATTGGTTTTGCAAGCTCTGTCTAAGATGGCTGCTGTTTGCACTGTTTATTGCGGGACGCTGGCATTACTGCTTTCAGCACTTTGTAAATGCTTGTTTGTAAAGGTGGAACTGACAAGTTTTAGTCTCAGACAATATGTGCATCCCTCATAGTGTGCTTCTATATCTGTATTTTTCAGAGGGGACATTTGTCTCTGTCCCTGCTGGCCAAAGTGTAACATCAGGATCTCTTGAAGACTGTCCCATTGTGCACAAGGAGCGATTCCCACAGGATTTCTGGTCAGAGGTATATACTATATGCAGCAACACATTCTGCAGCACTTTATGATTATAGAATGTTGAAATGTAACAAGTAATTGACATTCAGAATATAACAGAAGCAAGAGGTGAAAAGGGCCTTTTAATCTATGAACATGTTATGAGGAACACTTTTTTAAAAAAATCTTTGTTTTTGCTGTGCAGGAAGAACACACGCCTACTATGTCACAACAGCAGGAGTAGGCACATTAATAACATTTAGAAACATAGGGATGGCAAAAGAAATAAGAGCACATTTTTTTAAAGTAGTTAAAGCAGCTGACCAAGCCACAACAGCGTAGGTAACAATCATGGTCACAGACAAGATAAAATGCTTGTATGGCAATTGCTGGATCTGCACACTTTTAGAGTTTGAAATACAAGCTATAGAAGCATGTCTAGGTATAGGTTAGAGTAGTAGCCTGCGTACAGATAGGCTTTCTAGACATGTAGACAACAAAATTAGATATATAGAGACCACCAGGTACTTGTCAAAGCTGCACCATCAGCAGAGCATTAGTTGCTAGAAGGTGTCAGAGGAGTAGTACAACTATAGGTAATGCATCTCATGAATAAGTAAAATAATAAGGAGCTGACTAATAAGTAAACCAGAAGAAAATTAAAACAAAACTTTTTAGTTGACATTAAACTAGTGTGCTAAAGCTGCCCATAATAGGCTCCAGGAAAGTCAGTGTCCTTATCTCAGCCAATTCCACAAACATGCTTCAACTGGGGTCTGGATTGGCTTCCAGTTACAGATTTCTGCATGGCTCTCCCTGCCTCACCTGCGGGTCGCTTAGATCGCCATAGGTGATAGGGCCATATTTCTGCTTCTCCGCTCTCATTGCCCAGGCCAGCAAATGAGCCGGTGTCTTTTCACCACTTAGCCCCCATCTTCAGAGGACAGGCTGATGTTCTGTGAGACCCACACTATGCAAGCAGTCCCACATGGTCGTGGATGGCTGATGGACATGACGACCATCTTGGCTCTCTGCCCAGAAGGAGAGCAGTGTGCTGGGGTGTCATTATAGACACCCTCCGTCACAGGTTGGGTAAGTAATGGCCTCGTCTGGTGGGACTTGATCCGGGTCCAGAAAGCTGTGCATATAGCGTCAAAAGCTGCATTGAACCTTGATTCCCATTGAGACGGTGGATGCTCAGGTGGCGTGGTAGCCATCTTTGGTATGTCACTAGGCCTCTTCACGTCAGAGTAGGTGACAGTGTCTTTGCTCCTTAGCCCCCATCAACTTTTCTCTGGTGGGGTCCAGGATAACCCCCAGCGGTCTAGAGGGGGTGCAGGGATTCAGCTGTATGCGTTGTACATGCTGGTAGCTCCAGACCGGCAGATCGTTCGTTTCTCCCTTTCGCAGATCGCCCAGGTGCAAAGGCCTCAAAATCTATTCTGAACTGCATGTGGTTCAGAAATCCTTCAAACTCTCAGAAAATAACTCCTGAGTGGACAAGGGGAGGTAAGTGTTCGGTGGAGTCCCCTTTGAGGTTACAATCCAAGCAGAAAGTTTAAATTTCAAGCTGTATGTGAGGAGCTTACTAAGAACACACCCATTCACCATGCCAGCCAGGCCCTGCCCATTGAGGAGCACTTTTAACCACTTTTATAAATTATGGTTTACGTATAGGTTGGCATTATATTGATAGTTTGTAAAAATTAAAGGCTGTACCTGGAAAACCGGGACAGTTGTCATGTCTACCTGGCTACCTGCTTTCTTACATTTCCTGTGTCTTTGAGTATTTTGGGTCAAAATGCAGTTCTGAAAATATAAAATTCATAAAAGCTTATAAACACTATTCACATTAAAAGCTTAATTTAACAAAACTACTAAACAGTGAATGAGTGCCGTAGATAGATCAACACAAGATGAAGATTTTAATATATCCAAAGATTGAAATAAAACTTCTTGATGTATCCAGCTTCACTGTAGTCATTTATTTTTCCATTTTATGTCTACACTGAACCATGAAGGTGTGTAGACATAAAACGTTAAATGCTAAGTTGTAATTTGTTTCAAATTTTTTTACTTGTAGTTTCCTTGGACACGCAAAGGATTTATGAGGACAACCTGGCAAATAGACAACCGGTATACACCCACATGCTTTTACTTTCAAAGATTGTCACAATCAAGAAAACAAGCAACACACACTTTAATAAAACACACAAACCTGCACTGTTGGCAGGGTCATTGCTTTGGCACTATATGGCAATCAGTATGATAAATGTGTTTGTATTCAGCTCATATCTCTAGTAATGAGTTACCCTTAATTCCAGTCATTACCTCAATCCCCTCCCATGTACACACTTGGCATTACTACCTCCTCCTTCTCCTTAGTAGTACATCACTTCACCCAATACACACACGCAAACCTCTCCTCTATAACATGTTATAGTGCTCTAAAAAGCCATTGTCATTCTTTTTAGGTCTCCAAATTGTTCTACTTTACAGACTCAGACACCTGTTGCTGTCCCTGATATCTTTACTACTTTGACTAATATGCAGTTATATATATATATTTTTTTTTTTTTTTAACAGGTTATGTAAAAAGAACAGTTCTGTTGCAAAAGTCTTAAAATTGCAGTATTTAATATGAACTTTCCTTTGGTTTCCATATTGATTGTTCTTTTTCAGAACTTTGCCCCAGAAGTGATCCTTATAAATAAACCCTATGTGAATCAAAGCACTAGGAATTACAGGAACCAGAAAGTGTGGCTTGTAGAATATAACATTTTGTTCACACCTGGATAAACTCTGATAATTAGAGCCGGCCTCATAATTGTGAAGCCAAACAGTTTGGAGCACAGATTTAAGAAACACTCCATTCCAAAAATAGGAAGTGTGGAAAAATAAATAAATAATAATAATAAATATATATATATATATATATAAATAACCATTTAGTAAATATGCCCCCAATGAAAACCCACATGCATCTTTGTCATTGGGGGGTATATCTAAAAAGAAGCCTCTGAATCTGTACCTCCATGCACATGTGTCTGTTCACGCACACACTGCACCAGCGTTCAGTTAGAACGCTTGTCTCATGTGAGAAGGAATGGGGCAAAGGCAGGAGATTAAGGAGAGTGTGCCTGCCATTTCCGTTAACTCAAGGGATCTAATGGAAGGAGGAAGTAAACCTCCATGGCTATCTGGTTGTTAACCAGGGAGGTGTTTCATAATTTACTTGAAACTGGAATTAAAATCTGATACTCCATACCCAGTGGTGTATTTTGGATTTGTGCTGCCCTAGGCATGAGGAAACTCGGGCAGCCCCCTAATCTAAATTTTACCCACCCCTTCCTGTTTAGGACCAACACGCATTTTGACTGATAGACACAAACTGACACAACTACTCAGTGACAGGCACACACTCTCAGACATAGGTACACTGGCATAAATGCACACTCACTGATTTGACACTCACAATCACTTAGACACATGCACTCATTGACAGACACACTCACAGACATACTGACACACACTAACAGATATACACCCACAGATTCACTGAAAGACACACATATTCACTCACAGACATTCACTGACAGACACACACACTCCAGACATACACTGACACACACACACGCTCACAGATTTACAATGGCAGACACGCGCACTCACTGACAAATACACACTGATACCCATAAAGCATTCAAGCAAGCCAAAGTGCTTTATTGGTGCGGTGTGGTCCTTTAACCTATCACTCCTCATATTAGATTCATAATACATTCAAGGCTTAGCATACACCATATCTACATGACCGTAATGTAGCTAATATCACCTGCTTACAAATTCAATAATCGCCTGACATTCAGATATAATAGCTACATGAAACCTATAGCCCACACAGCAACCGAATGTGTCAGAAAATGAACAGTTAAGTAACGAGAAGCAATTAACTATGTTGACATTTAGGAATACTGTATGTTTTGGAAATATGGAATTTACCTAAAAATATATAATTATTTGAGTGTCAGATACAGGGACAAATACATAATATTTGTGACTATTGATTACTGCTATAATATGCTACATGTATTTCACATTGTATGTTTCAAAATGTAATAAGGATTTTGTCATAAAACTTTTTTTGGTATTCAGGACCTTTGACCTGGTGAACCTTCATCTCTTCCATGATGCCTCAAATTTTGTGTCATATCATTGCTCCCCATCTGTGTATAGTGCTAATCGGAAAAAAGCCTTGGATCACATCTTAACCAGGTACAAGGTAGTCCGCTAATAAATTAAGGCCAGTCAACATTCATAATAAATTAAAGGATCACTATAGTGTCAGGAAAACAAAGCAGTTTTTATGACACTATAGTGCCCTGAGGGTGCCCCCTCCCATGACGCTGAAGGGGTTAAAACCCCTTTAGCAGCTTATCTTAATCCAGTGCTGGGCTCCCTCGGTGCTGGTGACCTCTCCTCCCCGACGTCAGCGGAGCCGAATGCGCATGCGCAGCAAGTGCCACGCGCGCATTCAAAGTGTCCATAGGAAAGCATTTCTCAATGTTTTCCTATGGACGCTCTGCGTGATGGAGGTGAAATGTCGCAGATGCGCCTCTAGTGGCTGTTCGGAAGACAGCCACTAGAGGCTAGATTAACCCCAAATGTAAACATAGCAGTTTCTCTGAAACTGCTATGTTTGCATCTGAAGGGTTAAAACCTGAGGGACCTGGCACCCAGACCACTTCATTGAGCTAAAGTGGTCTGGGTGACTACAGTGTCCCTTTAAAACCTCTTTAGATATGTTTAAAGCTGCCCTGGAAATTATTGCTATTTTTATGGTTCTATCCTGCAGTTATAGTCTGGTAGTTTGATACCCAGGAAAGCACCCTGATCTCTCACTGTCTGTAAACATAGACTTCTTTTAATTGCTGTTCAGTTATAGGATTCAAGCATTATTATTTTATTTCTCCATAGGATCTGATTACACCTTGATCCAACTCCTGGTTGCTTTTACAGGCTATACACCATTAGGCCACTCCTTGCTGCATTCTCCTTATTTCTAATCATTGCGCTTCCTTTTTATCCCCCCCGCCCCCTCCAGATTACAAGAAAACTCAGATGTCCCATTTTTCCTGTTTGGGGATTTTAATTTTCGTTTGGATTTGAATAAAATGATCTTGGTGAGATTTCTTTGGGTGCTTATATATTATTTATGTATTTGTGTGCTCTTTATGTGTGTGTATATATTTGTATGCCATTGATCGTCACAACCATTAGATGATGCTTTGGTCTCTGCTTATAGGAACAAGGTTGGGATCTAAAGACCAGGAATGATTCAGATGGAAAGACCATTGAGTATGAACAAGATGGAGAGGTGATATTCAGAGCCAGGTTCATTCCCTCTGCTTTCTGCTTCCCTTGTATCTATCTTGTGCACATGAGATTATTAATGAAAATTTTGTAGTCTAGTTTCCTGGTTCTTCATCTACAAATCCTGCTATGTTTAATTTGCCAGTAAATTGGAGCCATGGACTGTAGGTTGTCCAACTAAGTACTAGATAGATTGATGCTTCTAGCCTTCTCTCTGATCTTGACATTATCTTTCTCAACATCTTCTTCCTTGTTTGTGGTGTTTACTAATGTTGCTTATACTCTCAGTATCTCATTCTTTGTTTCTAATCATTCAAGCACTAGTTTTTGTTTTCTTTCTAATTTACCTTTTGACTTGGCTATCTTTTTTTTTTTAATTCTTTATTTTGTTGTGCAGGTGTTTACCTATCGATTTAATGACGCCACAACAGCGTAAACTTTGACATTGTAGTAAGAACAGTGGCATGGAAGTCAATGCATATTTTTATAGTATTTTTGAGATTAAACAATTTAACATGTTACAGTAAATAATATAAAATAAACAGTACGTTGAGGCTAGAGTAAATTAACAGTTGGCACATTCTGCAATGGCATCTGGGGAGGTAATACTGCTAGGGTCTGAGATATAAGCCTGAACTCAGTGCTGCAACTTAGGGTAACACCTGAGGCTCTCTGTAGCATTAGTCTATTCAGTGTGGTATGGCGCTGCAGGAAATCTATACCGAATAAAGACAGTGTTATATAAGATAGGCAGGAGACTTATGCAGGCTAGATTTCATTATATATACTAGGACAGAGCGCCCTGACCATTAGGTGCCATCAGCGTTGCCTGAATATTTAACTGAAACGAGAACATTGTGCCAACAAACCAGGGTTGATGCGCGTCAGCCAAATAAAGTACGTAAAAGAAATGCAAGGTAATAGCTGGTTAGTGAGTATAAGAGTATCACCCTTTACAGAGTATATGTTGAAATGCTTGAGTGTACTGCTGGGTAGATAAACAGGTTAGTTAATGCATGCAGGATTTAACAGTGCTCTCTGGTGCCTGAGAGCAGGTATCTTAGCGTCCATTGTTGGCTGTTAGCCTACCCCGCTAGGAGGCTCAGGGGGAGAATATCTCGCCATGATAGTCCCGGTGCCGTGTCTTTTCGTCTCCTGGAGCCGTGTGGGGTGTTGCTGAGGTGCCCGCTGGGGGTCACTTTGTACAGGGGATGAGGCATCGCAGTACCGCCACAGATAGGGTGCAGTGCGGAGCTTCTCTCCAATCCATTGCCGTTGCTGTCATCGTGGGACGGACCTGGCTAATGGTGCCTGTAACTTTTCGGGGAGGAGAGCGACCCAGAGTGTTGTTGCGGCAGTAATGTTTCCTGCAGTTTGTTTGGTCGGTGAGTGCGTCTTTGCGGGGTTTTGAATCTCGGCCCTGCGGAGCCCGTGTTGGGAGTTGTTTGAGCTTTTGTGCGGACCGGTCTCTGCTTAGGCCTACACTCCTCCCGGCTTTATGTTGTTCCGTTCCCCTTCTGAGGCTGAGGTGGTCGTGCAGCTGTTCTCCGCTCAAGAGAGGCCCAGAAGCGGTCAAACAGGGCATCTAGCCTCTTCAGAGATTGCTGGACGATATCAGGGTAGGCTCCTGTAGGCTTTTTGGGTTCATCGCCATGAGGTGGGAGTGCAGCCGTCATCTTGGCAAGGAGAGTTGCACCTCGAGTAGGTGCAGACCTAGAGGCCCTGCCACTCTGTGCATCTTGTGGCTGGCCAGCGGGGACCGGGATAACCCCCACCGGTCCAAGGAGGGGGTAGCAGGTCTGCAATTGCCCCCTGCAGGAGCTGTGTCGTGTGCCAAGTGGGAGAGCGGCCGGCCGGCCCGCCCGGGCAACGTTCCAGGCCCTGACGGAACCCTCGACCAGAGATTGATCCGGGAGGGAGGCAAGAGGGTCAGGGTGCCCCGGCTGGCTCCTGCTTAAGGTGCGCTGCATAGTCGGTCGTTTTAGCTTGCTGGAACGCTTTACTGTAGCTTAAGTCTCCGTTTGGCTGCGGAGCTCCCTCGAAACGCGTCCAGCCGCCATGAAGCTCAGGCCCGCCCCCCTTGACTTGGCTATCTTAAACCTTATCCATCTATCTTTTCTTTCTGTCTTCCCCAAATCTTCCAATGTCAATGTCTCTCATCATTCTATCTTGCTCATATACTCTTTCTCCATCTTACATTTCTTGGACCCTTTTCTGTCTTTTATCTTCACTTTTCTCACATTTTCTTGTACCAGGTGCGGTTAATCATGAAGAGTAAGCGTTTTGAGTATCACAATGTGAAGATCTTACAGGAGGACAGTGGTCGGGCGGTGAGTATTCCATTTACATGTGCTGCTGTAATCGTCACTATGTAGAAAGTGTGTTTTTTGAACAAGAAAGAGAAAATGTAACATGTTATTTATATTTATTTTGGATATATTATCATACACCGTTCATATTTACAGACCATATGATGAGCGTTTAACTAGCAGTAGTAGTACGTTTACAGAGCATCCATTATTAATCTCAGTAGGTGATTTAACTTATCACATTTAATTTAGCAGATTTTAATTAGTCTGTTTTGCTTCTAGCTGCTAATGTATGACTTTGAGCCTCTCCATTTCCATAGTGGCCTCACTGAGATGCCAATCTCATTCCCTCCCAGGTACGTACACACCAATGGAAGGCTAGTGTCCTGTTTACCTTACACACCCTGATTGCTACCATGAAAAACGTTTTAATTGATTAATTCAAACTTTGTAACTTTGTACCTATGTTATTTGTCTTAGTTACCCATTTAGTGAGGTGGTTACTAGACCCTCTGAGTTTATGGGGACCCGTTGCCCTGCCTGGTGTGATCGTGTCTTCATGTCACATTCTGCCAGAGATCTTCTTAACAAGGTGAGGGCACTCCATATTCGCTTATCTCATCCTTCATTTCCATCATACGTCTTCTTGTCTCACAGCTTTTATCTCCCTTTTAACATTTTAAAATCTGGATTTTTTTTTCTATTTTCCATCTTGGCTTTTGGCCATCTGGCTTCAACCTGTGTTAGTCTTCTCTCTTTCTGCTTGTTTTCTTCCTTTGAGCTCATGACTGTTCTTGTTGTGTGATTCAGTCAGCATAGAGGCTAACGATATAGTCGGAAGATACCTTGGATCATAGTTCATTACTAAAGCTTGCTGAGATTGTTTCCCTTAACGAAGTCGGTAGTCTTGAGCATAGTTGACAGACTTCTGGGTCAAGTCTTGGTCAACCAACATTTCTTTTGGAAGAAAGCAAAGCAGACCAATAAAGTTGCTGTACCTAGAAAGTATCCACAAACTCGTTGAGTTGACAGAGATATGTCTGCAGTTCTTTATGGACAATAGTGGATCTTGGGTGAAGTTTCCTAAAATTTAAAGACTTGGCTGTCAGCAGTGCCCTCCTTCATACTGATTTCTGCTGCCTTGCCTTTCTCACAGCCCTCTATTAAGAGTCAGGCCTTTCTAGACTGCATGGCTGGCTTAAATTTTTTTTAGTAATTTCTCCTGTTCCGGTTCCTTGTCAGGGTATGAGTTCTACTTGGTCCCGAGTACTTCTTCTCCAAAGCGAGGCTACCTCAAATGGCAGATTTCCCATTTGTCAGTGACCCCACGGGTATCATTAACGAAACCCTTGTGGTGGGCTAATATGAACTTTCTTGTCCTGTTCTGCTTTCTCTTTTCGGCTATAGCACTTTCTTCTCAGATATCACCATATCTCTTTCCCTTCTTGCATAACCAATTCTCTTAAGTGCAGTTTCCATTACTCTCCATGCTTACACACCTTTTATCCAATACATATTACACGTTTTCCTGTCTGTTTTACATGCCATATCTGTTCACACCTAACTATTTCTCGTATTCTGTCCTCTAAAGGAAAAAGATGGAAAAAGATGTGTGTGGTATGACAGAATTGGAGCAGATGTCTGTATGGGAGATCACAAGGTAAGAAATAATGGGTTGTATTCAGTGGCGTAACTATAGCGGCCCCGTGAGCCCTGCGACCAGTGCGCATAATTTTAGGGCTGGCCTGGGGGGGAGGACCTGACACATGGAAAAGCTGGGAGGGGGGTGTGAGATGAGACACATGAGGGGAGTGGGGGGGGGGAATGAGACACATGAAAGAGAAGAGGTGGGAGAATGAGACACAAGGAGGAGCTGGGAGGGGAAAACTAGATACATGGGTGATGAAACACATGGAGGAGCTGTGGTGGTGAATTAGACCCATGGAGGGACTCGGGGGGACAATGAGACATGTAGAGGGGCTGGGAGGGGTGAATGAGACTCATGGTGGGGCTGGGGGGTGAATGAGACTCATGGTGGGGCCGGGGGGTGAATGGGACTCATGGTGGGCCCGGGGTGAATGAGACCTCGGGGGTGAATGAGACTCGTGGAGGGGTTGGGGGGTAAATGAGACTCGTGGAGAAGTTAAGGGGTAAATGAGACTCGTGGAGGAGTTTAGGGGTAAATGAGACTCGTGGATGAGTTGAGGGTTAAATGAGACTCGTGGGGCGGGGGGTGAATGAGACTCATGGTGGGGCCGAGGGGTGAATGAGACTCATGGTGGGCCTGGGGTGAATGAGACTCAAGGTGGGCCCGGGGGGTGAATGAGACTCATGGTGGGGCCTGGGGGTGAATGAGACTTATGTAGGGGCCGGGAGGTAAATGAGACTCATAGAGGGGCCGGGGGGTGAATGAGACTCATGGAGGGGCCGGGGTGAATGAGACTCCGTGGAGGGGCCGGGGTGAATGAGACTCGTGGAGGGGCCGGGGGGTGAATTAGACTCGTGGAGGGGTTGAGGGTTAAATGAGACTCGTGGAGGAGTTGAGGGTTAAATGAGACTCATGGAGGGGCTAGGGGGTGAATGAGACGCCTGGAGGAGTGGGCGGGGTGGGAGAATGAGACACCTGGAGGGGCTGGGGCGGTGAATGAGACACCTGGAGGGGCTGGGGCGGTGAATGAGACACCTGGAGGGGCTGGGGCGGTGAATGAGACACATGGAGGGGCTGTGCTGGGGTGGTGAATGAGACACATGGAGAGGCTGTAGGGTCGAATGAGACACATGAGGGGGGGAGGGGGCAAGTCAATTTGTGCACAGGAGTCCAGTGGTTTATGGTTGTATTCCTAATCCTTCAGTGGTATGTAGTCTAAGGGCTATTTACAGTTGTATATTGGTAACACGTTTCTTTTCCTTTTTGCTTTTCTAGCCAGTTTTCCTCTATTTTGACATGGAAGTTCCTTCTAAAAACCTGATTGATTGACTAAAGAGTAGGAAAAATCACCTAAGAATTTGACAACTTCCTTCACATTGAATGTGACAGATTCCCTATCCTGCCATTGTGACAGACTGTCCTTCCAACATTTCAACTATTCTGTTTCAGTCCTAAACGAACCTTTTTAGTGGGGCAGACTCATCTACCAGTCTTGCAGGATGCATGCTAATCTAATCCTATTTTACTCTGGAAGTAGTCTAAAGCACCAAAATGAAGCTTTACGTGTCACTATTACAATGAAGGAACATTGTTTTTAATACTTGTTCTCCATAGTAGCTGTTTTCATTGCATACAATCAGTGGATTAGTGCTTCCATGAGTGTTGTAAATAATTTCTACCACCATCATGCTTTCATGTGACTTTGTGCAATTACAAAAGTGTGTATATATATATATCACTGTTTACCCCTGCTACACTGTATTAATCTGTAGAATTTACATTTAATGTCTTATATTCATAAAAGCAAATGTTCCCAACTCCAGGTCTCAGGGAACACAGATTAGATTTTTAACCCTTTCACTATGAAGCGCTTTCCAAAAAAAACAACAAAACACCCTCTGAATCTGAGTTTTTTTAGGGGTCCTGGAAAGTAATGTTTATTTTATTTTATTTTGTTTTTTTGTTTTCTATGTTAAAACTTGCCTTAAAATGTAATCTTAAAATGGTAAGCACTACTTTTAATTTATATATATTAAAACAAGGTTTTCAGAAAGTATAGATGTATTAGTAGCAAAATTATAAAACTGGAACAATCACCATGGAAACAAATTGCATGTTCCTGCTAATTGTTCAGCCTTCAGAATCATGCCCAATAACTTCTCTTTATGTATAAAACTGGCCTACTTGTTTTTATCTGTGTACAAACTAATATGGCCTCTTATTGGATACAATCCCCTAAAAATGCCTGCCCTTAATACTACTCAAGAAACCTACTATTATTCATGTTGGATGGCAACTGTAATTTATGTTTGTGCTCCACTGTGTGTTTTATTTTTTAGTATTTACCGGTAGTTATTTCCTTAATAGTTTTTTTATTTATCTTATTTTGCTTGAAATATTCAATATTTTTACAGTCTCTTTATTCATATATATTCTCTGTGAATGGTATTTTAGTTATATGTGTGGTGATGTACAATAAACATCTTAAGAAATAGAACACCGTTAAAATCTGATATTCGTATCAAAATGTAACTAAGTGCTAATCGATGTATATAGCTTAAAGGGACACTATAGTCACCAGAACAACTACATATTAATGTAGTAGTTCTGGTGTGTATATTATGTCCATGCAGGCTTTTTAATCTAAGCTTACATTACTGCCTACTGGCACCTCAGTCATTTAGATAACCACTAGAGGTGCTTAAATGCATTTGTTTCTACATTTAATTTTATTTTTCAGATCTCACAAAAAAACATATATTTGCCTAAAGGGTTACTATAGTGCCAGGAATACAAAGCTGTATTCCTGGAACAGTAGCTCCCCTTGCCTCGCCCTCCCTCGGTTAAAAACCCTTTTTTTACTTACCTGATCCCAGCACCGTGTGCTGGGTCCTGGCTCCTGGCTCCGTCCTGCAACGAGCGTGGTCTAATACGCATGCGAGGCAAATGCCACGCATATTACACCTCCCCATAGGTAAACATTAAAGCAATGCTTTCCTATGGGGAAAAATCTGACGCTGGATGTCCAGCGTGCAGAGCGTGAGGATGTCCAGCATCAGATACCGGACCAAAAGTCTGTTTCGATACAGGAAAGCCCTCTAGTAATGGGCAGAGTTTCTCTGGAACTGCAATGTTTAACATTGCAGCACTAGGTGCAAAAGGGACACTGCAACCAGACCACTTCAATGACCTGAAGTGGTCTGGGTGCCTACAGTGTCCTAAGCAGAATATAAAAATAATCTTGGGAAGTGAGACTTTCTCTTTAATTTTATATTTTTAGGCTTTACTATCACTATAGCAGTGCAATATACCTTTGTATATAGAGTATGACTAATCGTTTGTACTTGTGTATAGTTGGATAGGAGTGCAGTGTGTCATTGGTCCTATGCGTCTGCTTATCAACACATTAAGGTAATTACTTCTGCCCTTGATATCACTATTCACACCCTTAAGGGTGCACCTTTATCTTATTTAACAACTTTATGACCACAGGGAAAGACTAATGCTTTAATATGTATTATGTTAAATGGAATTTGTAGTATTTTGACTATATCTCCTCAGCATGGATCCTTCAAGCAGAGCATGAAGATTATCTTTCACTCAGGATGAGATTATAGGTTGCATTTATTTTGGAGTTAATTGCAGGTTATACATGTCCAACATATTGGAATGTTGCATTTACATTTTGGGGTTTGATTATTTGCTACCTTGATGATGTTTCCCTTACAATTCCTCGTTTTGGTTCTACAGGTGTCATGGGTTCTGTGTCCCTCAGCATGATAGGTTTAGTTTACCGACCAGCTTTACCACATATTCATGATGGTGTTGCACGTTTACACTAGGTACCATAACTAAGCAGTCGTCCCACGAAAAAATGTTTCTGATCAGAGCAAAACCACTCAGTAGAAAAGCTGAAATGCTGTAACACCATAACCTTTTCAATAAATGGCAAAGGGATTTTTGGTCAGAAAAATTACTCATTTTCTGTCAGAAACCCTGCTGTTTCTCACCATGCGCTTGGGTACACAAAAGGTAGATCCCCAGATTTTGTAGAACTACAACTCACACGATTCTTTGCATGCCTTTAGAATAACAAACATTATGAAAGCTGTAGTTTTAAAACATTTGGGGATCTACCTTCTGGGCACCCCTGCAAAACAAATTACTTCAGTCCGGTTACAAGCAGCACTATGAGAAAAAAAAAATGTTTTTCCATTACAACAGCTTGTTGTTCTAATCTATTTTGTGGTGCTAAAAGGCAAAATAAAATAGTTATAAAGAAACACATATGCGGTCTGTAAGATCCTACCATTAACTTATATTTGGTGGGGTAGGTGGCCAGGGGATATGAAACAGAATCCCGTAGATTGAACATCCCTGTTACTCTCTCTAGATGTCAGGGATTAAATTAGAACCATACATTTGTGGGAACCTTGAGTCCTATCGGTATTAAAAACAGGGCATCCCCACGTCCTGTTATAATTGTTATTATAGCTCTACACCATTTTTATTACCATCCACAGGTCAGTGGCATTAATTAATCAGACCTGTAGCTGGCAATTTTTCCCCAAATCACACCACACACTGGCTCCCATTTATTTCTTTATAAATACCATCATCATATTTTTGGGGTAACTCCTGGTGTTGTGCCATTTAATTTTTTGCTCCAGGGAAAATAATTAGCTGGAAGTGATAAGTTCAGTCAAAAGCAAGCGCTCAAGGTTAATCAGGGCCGTCTTTAAGGAGGGGCAAACGGGGCAGCTGCCCTGGGCCCAGTTACTCATGGGGGGCCCAAAGCAGCTGCCCCGTGGGCCCCGTTGCCTGCAATAAAAATTTATTTTTTAAAAATATTTCCCTACCTAATGGGCCCGCGGTGCTAGTATTGCGGCTGCACTGGGGACCGCACACTAAAGGGGCCCACCGGGTGGCCCATACCTTTAGGACCACCCAGTGAGCATGTTCCAGCAGGGGTCCGGTCGGCGCTGTGGCCCTTTAACAGCGCGACCGGGCCCCTTGCTTAACGGCTGCATGGGAGGAAGTGACGTCCGCGAATCACTTCCTCCCACCTCAAAGACATCGGGCCGCGCGGGAGGCTGCTGAGCCAGCATCCAATGAGGAGGGGGAGCAAGAAGAGCCAGACCCCCAACTCCCAACTACCCCAGCCAGCACACTGGACCCCAGGGAAGGAAGCCTCTTTCAAAGGTAGGAAACTGAAGAGTGTTTGTGTGTGCGTCAGTATGTATGTCTGTCTGTGTGTCAGTTTGTATGTCTTTCTGTGTGTCAGTTTGTCTGTCTGTGTGTCAGTTTGTCTGTATGTGTGTCAGTTTTTATGTCTGTCTGTGTGTCAGTTTGTATATCTGTGTGTCAGTTTGTATGTCTGTGTGTGTGTCAGTATGTATGTCTGTCTGTGTGTCAGTTTGTATGTCTGTGTGTGTGTCAGTTTGTATGTCTGTCTGTGTGTCAGTATGTTTGTATGTGTGTGTGTCAGTATGTATGTCTGTCTGTGTGTCAGTATGTATGTCTGTCTGTGTCAGTTTGTATGTCTGTGTGTCAGTTTGTATGTATGTGTGTGTGTCAGTATGTATATGTGTGTGTCAGTATGTATGTCTTTGTGTGTGTCAGTATGTATGTGTCAGTCAGTATATGTCTGTGTGTCAGTTTGTAAGTCTGTGTGTGTCAGGATGTATGTCTGTGTGTATGTCAGTATGTCTGTGTGTGTCAGTTTGTGTGTCTGTATGTATGTCGGTGTGCCAGTCAGTATGTCTGTGTATGTGTCAGTATGTATGTCTGTCACAGTGTCAGTATGTCTGTCACAGTGTCAGTATGTCTGTCACAGTGTCTGTGTGTGTGTGTGTGTCAGTGTGTATCTGTATGTTGTCAGTATGTATGTATCTGTGTGTGTGTGCCAGTGTGTATACCTGTGCATGTATCTGTATGTAGCCAATGTGTGTATCTGCATGTGTGTCAGTGTTTGTATCTGCATTTGTCAGGTTATGTATCTGTGTGTCTGTATGTTGTCATTGTGTGTGTCTGTGTATCTGTATGTTGTCAGTGTATCTGCGTGTGTGTGCGTGTGTGCATCTGTGTGTCTGCATGTGTGCCAGATTGTGTGTCTGTATGTGTGTGTGTCAGTGTGAGTAAATGTGTCTGTATAGCTGCATCTGTATGATTGTGTATATCTGTGTATCTGCAAGTGTTTCTGTGTGTGTATGTGTATCACAGTGTGTGTGTGTGTGTGTGTGACAGTGCATGTGTATTTGTGCATACATCTCAGCATTCAACACTACACGCAAATACACACCTGCATTCAAACTTCAACACTACATATA